CTGTCACGCGGCATGTGGATGGGATACAGGGGTTCGTCCGCAAGGATCGCGTCGTAGATTTCGTCCTCGTCCTCCCCACGGAACGGAGATTGCTGCAGCAACATCTGGTAAATGAGCACACCAAAGGCCCACCAATCAACCGCACGGCCGTATTTCTTGTCCAAAAGGATCTCAGGAGCCATGAACTCTGGCGTACCACAGAATGTGGAAGTCGTCGATCCATACCACATGTCCTCCTTGCAAAGACCATAATCAGCGATCTTGATGTGACCGTCCAGGGTGAGGAGGATGTTGTCCAATTTCAGATCTCGGTATATGACACCATTTTCGTGGAAGTATTTGAGAGCCAAACACACTTCGGCAGCGTAGAACTGAGCACGCTTAAGGCCGAACTGTCCACGCTGAATGTGCAACATCAGATCACCGCCCGAAATATACTCCATCACAAAATACACTCGAGTCTCGGTCTGGAAGCAAGCATGCAAGTTGAGCAAGAAGGGGTGTCTCTCTTTGTTGGCGATCAAGAAAACTCGCTTTTCGGATTTGGTTGACTCGACTTCGTCGTTCTCAATGATAAATTCCTTCTTCAAGACTTTGATGGCGTACAGCTTCTTTGAGCTCTTAGCCTCTGCAAGCATGACCTTTCCGAAGTTGCCCTTTCCTAGTACTGCGAGGAAATTGAAGTGATCAAGGCCAATTCTCGGTCCCGATCCGCGCCCAGAGGGAGGCGTGGCTACCTGTTGTTGTGACGACGGCGCCGGTTTGATGGGGGCGGGTGCGTAGCTTGCCGCTGCTGCCGCTGCTTGAGGTTGAGGTCTTTGAGATTGGATGATTGCTTGCTGTGGTGCTTGATGCTGAGGCGCCTGTTGTTGCGCCGGTTGGACATATCCTTGATAGGCTCGAGGATCGTAAGAAGCGTGTGGCTGTTCTGGTGCAGGGGGTCGAGCGTTGGCGTAACGATCTGCAGGCACTTTTTGAGGACTGTAATCATTGAACGATTGGTTGTATTGTTGAGATGGCGGCCGATTCGTGGCGGCGGCGGCTGCTTGCACTGCCGCGGTAGATACAGCCTTTTGCTGCAATGGTCTTTGCTGCTGCTGTTGTTGTAATGGCTGCGACTGGCTAGCTTGGGGTTGGTTGTACATCATGTTTTGCGCAGCGCTCATAGCAGCAGCAGAGGGTTTCGGTTGTTCTTGATGTTGATCATACGATTGGTTCGATATCTGTGGTGTTATGGTCGTGCTGTCCGAGATGAAGCTCTGTGTGGGAGACGTGGGACCCGGTCTGGCTGCGGAATTGGGTCTCAGTGTTCGATTGCTCATTCCAGAGCTCACGGACGAGGACTTATTGTGGTGTTTCGTTCTCTGAATAGTCTCCAAGATTTCATTGGCGACGATCATTGACATGCCACAAAAGTCCGGAACCAAATGCTGACACTGGGCATGACAAGTCAGGCCACATTCCGAACACTTTTTGGCGTTGCGTCTTCCCAGAGGCAGCAGATAACCACAATGGCAGCACCAGTTGGCACCGATATTCGAGAAATTGTCGAAGCGATGTGGAATGCGGTGGTTGATCTTCTCTTCGTCGGGGTCCGTTTCGTAGTTTGCCTTACTAATGCACTTCGTGACCACCTTTGGATAGCACTTGGTGTGACAGGTGTATTTGCAGTCTGCACATTGCATGCCCGCCGAGTACTTCAGAAAATCTCCACAAAGCGCACAGCGCATGACGTTGTAGAACTGTTGCTTGACGAACTTGTGGCCCTGCTTCTCGTGCACTTCTTCCTTCTTCTGGCGCACAGCGCCCTGCCGGTTGAGGCCGATATCGAATGGCCGTTTGCCGCCCGTCTGCTTTTGGAAGCTCATTGAGAGATGAATCCTGCCTGCAGGTTCGAGAGAAAACCAAGAATCGATCATCACAGGTTGGAATTGCTGCTGGGAATTTTGGGCGAAACCTGCGGCAGAGCCGGCGCCAGCAGCGTCTCCCGGAGGCATAAACGGTGCGGATTGAAAGTCAGGTCCTGGTTTACCCGGACTTCCACCGTTTGCCATTTTGTCTGCAGATACCCAGCCATTCTGTTGAAATTCCGATTCAATCTTTTTCCGGCGCATTTCTTCCGCGATATCCGAGATACGAATCCATAGAAATCCGATTGGAGTTGGTCGATCACCCGCCTTGTCATAGACCGTGAGTTCAATCTCGTTAGCCTTGTCGATGTCAACGTGATGTGTTTCCTCTGTCCATTTATCTGTGCGTGTCGCCCGAGTCTTGGCCCGAATGTTGTCCTCGACCTTCATGATGACGAACGTTTCGGGGCCTCTTGAAAAGCGTGACGAGGCTGCGTGGTCGACATCCTTAATGGCATGAATACGCATTTCGAGGTGACCTGTTAGGGGTTTTCGCATATTGGGAGCGTTGAGACTGTCATCTAGATGCAAGTCAGCCCTGCACGGGGAAATACAAGCACCAGCACTTGGCCCACTCACCGTCAGCAGCATCGGACGTTTCAATGTCGACGTGCAAGTCCATGTATCGCTTCAAGGCCTGCTTGAGCAACTGAACCTTTTGATTACTCTCAATGCGCCGGCCCTCGGCATCCAGTCTGCTTTTTCTATCGCCTTCGTCTTGGTACAGGCGCACCATTTTCTCGATGCCTGCTTTGTACTGCTTTTCGACTGACAGTTTGAACTCGAGTTGGGAGAGCATGAGCTGGATCTTGGGACCGAGATATGGGGTGTCATACTTGATCAGGTCTGGAAGGAAGATTTTGTGTCAGTAAACCCGAAACTCCTTCACGAAGACCTGGAAGTGATAATACCTAGTTTCGAGAAGTTCGGGCGTGCTTTGGGGACCGGAGCACTGTAAGGACGAGGGTCTCCATACGGAGCTCGAGGAGGCATCATGCCCGTACCTCCCTGGCTGTACCCTCCTGGACCAGGGTCACCATAGTCACCTCTCTCGTTGGAGAAATAGCCTCGCTCGTCTTTGGGAGGAGGAGTCGGTCCCCCGCCGTGCTGAAATCGTGACTGCTGCATACGAGAATCTGAGGGAGTCTGGTACCCAGACCCGCCGTGAGCAGGTGGAGGGGGAGCGACACCCTCATTATGACCCCGCTGCCTCAGTTGTAACTCTGCCAATTTTTCTTCCAAGTATGAAATGTTCCGCCTGCTGTCACGGATGTTGCTGTCGACACGTGCTTGGACTGCGGCGTTGTTGGTAGACTGTCGCATGTGAGTGGCGGCATTGATAAGAGCCTTTTCTCGCTCGATCTTGCGATAGACCTCGGCGATGGCCTGGTCAGGGTCCGCCATGGTTGTGAGAGAAGTGATACAGAGGCGACGAGAGGGTCTAGGGAGACGGTAAGGGAAGGTGTGGTGGGTGAGTTATGGCCAGCTGCAGACTTCAGAGTGAACAGAAGTGCAATGTCACGAGCCCGTGTCGAGGCCGGAGGGGCATTTGTCTGACCACGCCGATAGCGAAGAATGCGGTCGGAAAAATAGAGAGAGACGGAGTGTTTCCCTTTGGTGGCGGAGGGAAATCTCACGGGGCCTTGGACAATATCGTACGTAGTGTCAGGACTTGAGGATGATGGCTAAGATTGTTGTTGTAGTGTTAGCGAGGACAAACATGCAGTACAGTGATGAGTGGTGGATACTTTATTGCGTGGATTGTGTGGGTGGTTCACAAGTTCAGGCTTTCAGGCTTTCAGACTTTCCGACCTTTCAGGCTTTGCGGGAGCCGTTGGTGGTGACTGCAAAAAGACGCCTGCAGCTGCAGTTGCGACTGCGCCCACTTCGCTCGGTGCGCTTCGAGGGCTGAAGAGGAGACTGTCCGCCACGCCCTGGCCAAGTCACGTCCCGGTCTCGGGTGTTTTCTGTTCTTTGCCACAGTACAGAGGCGGGAGAGGTGGATGGGACGGCGACCAAGTACCGAGTACTAATGATGGATAGAAGCACCACAAAGTAGATTGGGCGTGACGTAGCACCGCTAGAGGAAAGAAACAATAAACAAGCAAAGATGGTGAAACTTGAGTGCGACGATCCTCCGGGAGGGTTTGTTCTCGCTCCTCTACTCAGGGTCTGCGCCTAGTCATACCCCTCAGAGGCCGCCGGGGGCACCCATAGCCTAAGAGCCTAGCCTCCAAGGCTACAGCACCACCTAACTAATTGAGTTATGGGAAGGGCAGAGCACGCGAGGGGTGCCTGGGGTTCGCATTTGGGCATCCCCTCCCCCAGCACTCGCGTCATCAACCAAATAAAAGTCACCAAAAGGGAATTTGCAATGACAAAAGCTGCAGTCACTCATCTTTCCCATTTCGAGCCTCAAAGGATTCAATCCCTCTCCGCTTCAGCACCGTCGAGTGCCTGTCCTGGTCAATCTGAGAGCCCATATATTGATGTCGATGGGCTCAATCTTTTCAACTCCAACGACTGAGGCAATTGACTTCATCATCGCTCAACCCCTCATCCACGCCTCGTCCTCCCCGCCAACTCCCTCCCCGCCGTACAAGCTTGCCCTGTCCTTGTCCAGCCACCTACCGAGTCCTTAGTCTCGCATGCCCACACTTGCGTCCAGCCCTAAGACCTACAAATAGAAACCTCAGTCTCTGCTAATGCACACCGTCCACTAAACGAGAGAAATGGATTGATTACAAGAGGCCCTTTGCCCACTGATCTCACACACATATCGGACCGAGCAGCTGTGGACGCATCCCACCGCGGTCGCGCTTCATGCGGCTGAAAGCTGGTCTCAGACGGTCAGACAGGGGTCGGATTTGAGCTTTCCGATCGCACAAAAGTGCAACGATTTCTGACTCTCCATCCTCCTCCAATGCCTTGGTGGCCTTGGCTGATATTTCCGGCTCGTGCTCCACTTCCCGCAGGTCAGAATCCTCTGCACTCAGGTATTTGTTATATATGCTCGTTGCCCTGTCTTCGGTGACGCTGAACATCCAGGCTGTGTCTGATGCCTGCAGCTCATGAATATTGATCACACTATCAGTCTGCCGCTGGACCCGTCCCCATAACTCCACGTCCGAAGAACTCGCTGACCGTTCCGAATCGATTGTTGCTTCTTGCCAACGCCGCCTGGAATAATTCGTGCTGCTCCGTGCTTTCAACTTGCTGTCGCCGGATCGCCCGAATGGTATCGTTTCCAGGTTTGCAAAGGGGACACTCCACCTTACTATCATTTTCATCCATGCCAATTCCCGGCTTGTTCAAGCACTCTTGATGGAACGAGTGCTTGCACATAAAATGTACCGTGGGTAAAGTGAGGTTTCGATTACACGACGAGCACCGCCGCGCTTGGAACACGACCGGCTTCGTACTCAGGTCCGCCAGCTCTGCTTTTTTGGATGCAGTTTCAGTTCGGTAAGAGTCGATCAATCGTCGGTTAGCCTGGATTTCCTTTCGCTCACGAGAGATGTTGTCCGAAAGGTAGCCCTTGACCATTCCCATCGTGACTGAGCCTCCTTGCGACAGGACTTTCACTACTTGGAGCGGGGCCATGAGATTTTCCCTGTCAATCTTGCGGAGCACAGATTGGAGCTCTTCTCGTACTCCAGGTGCGTTGAGGACCTCTTCGGATGAGGAGAAATAGCTAAGTGCAAGCGGATAGAGCGATTCATCCTTGGATCCGTATTTCCTGAGTGCAGATATGGCGCCAGAGGTGTCCCTGGCCGATGTGAACGACCGAAATATGTCGGCGTACAAATTTTCTCGTTCTCGTACTAATGTCGTGCCAGCTGGGAATTTGGAAAGTGATGACAGGAGCAAGACATTCGAGGTGTCAATCGTGGACGAATCCAATGATGCGGCCTTGTTGTCGGCGACTAAACTGGTTGCTTTGACTTGCCATTTCTCCTTCTCTGCCGAGCCTGTTGCGGTGTTTGCGGCCTCGAGATACATCTCGAACAAAGTGGTCGACAAGTCCGATTTGTCTTCTTTTGAGAGGTTTTCCTCTAGAATCAGCGCCTCCAAGAAGGTGATAAACTCTGAGGGGTGGGCAAGGAACGAGGAAAAGGCGCTGCGCGGACGCGGTTTTGTGTATGCCGGAGCTGGCTCGACGTCGCCACTGGACTCTGCTTCGTCGTGCTCGGGCTTTTCCTCTGCTGCCGGCGCTGCATCAGTACTGGCGGACCGATTCATGAACGGTACACTCCAGAGAGCCGAGAGACTTTGGAATGCACCACCTCCTGTCTGAGCCTGGACATCGGACACCGCGGGGACATCCTTCTTGGGTGTATATTTTCCAGTGTAGTATTCCACAAACAGCTTGGTCGTTTCTTCAGGGCAGTGTTCGAGGAGACTGCGGGCATATTTCATCAACACGGGATATGCTGCATCAGGTTCCAGCCGCCAGATGTATTGCAAGGCTTCCGCGTACTTCTTTGAGTCTTCCACCAATATGTCGATCACCAATTCATTTTCACCATGCTTGGTCGCAAGGTAAGCTGCCTGGTCAAAATACCCGCCTTGTCGACACATAGCAATGGCCGTTTCGACGTCAAACTTGGCCGTCCCCGGAGTGCGGATGAAAGCGTCCAGCTTATCTGTGTCCTTGAGCTTTGCGTAGCAGTTTAGCAGCAGAGTCGTGTGGTCTGCCGTAGCTCGGTCGTGGTCATGGAGTTCTTCGAGGTAGTCGATCAAGTTGTGAATTCTCTGCGTGTCGAGAAATCGCCGAATGACTTGTGAAGGCTCAGTGTTGTCGATGGCTCTCAGATACTGCTGCATCGCCGTATCGTAGTCACCCTTTTGGTAAAGATAGTCCCCATACTTCCTGAAGATGATGTTCTGTTGTGTTTTGTCGGCACCCAATTTCTGGGCCAAGTTGATGGCGTAGATATACAGGTTTCGCTGATAGAGAATCTCGAGCTTCTGCTGCAATGTCTTCTCCTGATATCGATAAAGCTATTTAGAATCAGTAAGACGACTCTTCCAACAAGCTTGAAAACAGACCTTTCCATCCACGGTCAACAGAAAGAGTTCGTTCCATTCCACAAAGACCTCTTTGACTGGAGCGGGCAACGATTCCGAGTGAGCAAGGTATTTGAGATCGGTGTCTAATAATGTAAAGGAGGAGCTGCTGAATAGCTCGTCAATCTCCTCTCCCCCCAACCTTCGAAATGTTTTGGATTTGGACATCTGTGCCACCCGCGGCGGACACACAACGCCGACATACTCCTTGTAAATCTTGACGATTTTCTTCGGGCCCTCAAAAGCATAGCTGGGCCCACGGCCGTTAGGGCCGTAGTAGTAGATGGCATCTTCTCGCGCAACCACCATGTCCCCAGTCTCCTGGTCTTGTGTCATACATCCAACGTTGCAACCACGATTGTCGACGGTGCGCACTGGTTGACCCTGGCCTTTCCCGGATATGACCAGGCTGCAGATCTTGGCCGTGTTTGCAATGTATAGGACCTTGGTCGCGCCTTGACGGACTTCCAAGCAGGTGATGGGGTCTTCCGATTCAAAGACGGTTCTTTGCTTGGTCCCGCGGTCGTGTATAAAGTCCCCCCGAATGACAGTGACGGATCCATTGGCAAACCCCACAGCCACCTGCGTCAAGTCGTCCAGAACCACCAGTGCCGACGCTGGAAATTGCCGCCTGCCATTCTGCACACTGATTGTACAAAGACACCTCGGGGCCCCCGTCTTTTTCTCGATCTTGTCCAACGCCCACACTTTCAAGGAGGGTTCCGACGAGAGGTTCTCTGAAATGGTCACAAGGAACGGCGTGTTGGGCACATGTCTGAGGTGCGTGACGGAAGCATCGGGCGCGTCTGAAGCTTGAAAGGTGCGCACAATCTTCAATGCGCGGGAAAGGATGCGAACTGATCCGGCCGAAGTACCAAGGTACAGGGAATCCGCGCCGGTCGTCAGTGACACGATGTCGTTCTGGAGTCGAGATCAGCCATGAGGTCACTGCAAGTCTATGCGACGGGCAAGAACGTACGTCGAAGACATAGGAACCATCCTCATCTGCAGGAACAGGAATCTGGGAGACCTCGAAGAACGGGAAAGCTTTCCAGCTGGTGAGCGCCATGACTCCTCACCTCAAAGACCGGTCTAGCAAAACGCACAAATCCATGTCAGGGAGAGACAGGCCGGTCAGCGCAGTCGAAACATGTTACTCATTGTGCTGGTGGTGAGACGAGAAAATGCCTGGTGGTGCTTGTTCGATTTAGTGTTGGGTGTTGCGGAGGTGACGTCGAGATGGAGAAGCAACAAGCGCAGCCTGCGATGGGCGGAAGGGCTGCGTCCACACGCTCTCCTCAGCACAAATTCTACTTGATACTGAGGGCTTAAATAATTGATTTACATATTATCTAGGTACATGTGAGACTGGTATCCTGTCCAGTACTGTACAGTACTTTGCTTTTTACCAGCTGGAATAATCCGCGCTCAGCAGAATAAAAGTGATATCGTGACAAGCATCTCGGGTCATTACAAGGTCATCAGTCCTTCCACCTGTTGCGAGTTTCACTGCTCCCAGCTGAATCTGTCAGCCGGGGTGTTCGATCGCACAGGTGGACCAGGGGGACGTTCTTCTGTCACGGTGGTCAGCCCTTCCTCGACAAATCTGCTTCCAGAACTGGGTGAGCGTGATGGAGGACGTCCATTCAGCTGTGGTACCAAAAGGCTGCCACGGCTCGTGCTCGTTGCCGGGCTGGTACTTCCTCCAGGCAGTGATTGTGCTTGGGATCTTGATGTAAGTTCTGGTGATATTGGACTGGACATGCTCCTGCTATTGGTATTGCTGGATTGTCGCGAATGACCATCGTGACTGGCACCCACTGGGCTAATGCCCTGGTCCCCGGAGGACAGAGTTCCGAACGCACGGCTGTGCCTGACGCTGTACGGGCTGACACTATTGCTGAAGCGATGGTTAACCTCCGCTGGTGAATACGGGGGCACCGGTGACCCAGATCTCTCGCTAGCTGCTGCTTCAGCCGCCTTGTTTGCCGAGTGCTGCTGTTCGAGCTCTGCCGGTCTTCTGGGATCGTTCCTCATAAGCGCCGATCCCCGGGGGGCTTCATTGCTCTCGAAGAAACTCGGAGAGACAGGGCCAGCCGGCATCTCGATTGGCGTGCTAGCTGCGAGTTCGAACCGACTAACAGACGGGTCTGCAGGCACCTCGATTGGTTGACGTTTGTCGCCTAGCAATTCAGAAACAGAGGTCTTTGAGTCGGGATGCTTTTGTAGGCGACTCAGGAATGACCGTCGCTTCTCCTTCTCCGTGCCAGAGTTTTCTGGTTCAGCTCTCTTCCGGAAACAGAACCACAACGCCAGTCCCAATACAAGTAATCCTCCTATTCCAGCTCCTATCCCAATGCCTATTTTGGCGCCCGTCGACAATCCGCTTCTCGGGGGCCCTGGCCACGTGCTGCCTTCAGGTCGAGAGATTGCTAGGAGGTTGACATTGCTAACAGCATCCAATGTAAACACGGCCTGGGAGATCGAGAAGTTGTTGCGTTCGTAGTCAACAGTAAGATAGGTCTCTTGAAGGAAGGCTCGACCGACGGTATATTGTGTGGAATTGGCTGCTTTGCGTAGAGGAAAATAGTTGGTGGGAGGAGAGGTGAAGTTTGCGTCCAGATTTGGAAACGGGTATGTCAGCTGAAGATTGAACGCATCGTACGGTAGCGTAAGTTCAATCCCGTCGGATGAGCCTGGCAAATTGCTCAATGTGAATGTGAAAGTTAAATTCCACGCACTGAGAGCGCTGGGTGACGATGAATTATCGTCTGGGAAAAGGTAAAGTTGTAAAGTGTCGTCGTAAGTCAGGTTGAGCGCATTTGCAAAAGCGTCGCACGCTGGTTCGGGAAGCCATAAGAATGGAGTTGACGAGTCAATGGTGAACAAGTCGGCTTGAGATATATCCAGAAGAGTTTGGGGGTTGGAATCCCAATTAAAAGGTAAAGATTCGGCCCCTGATGAAACCGAGATCGAATTGATGGCAACAATCGGTGAGTAGTCCTGGCTTAGCGTGAAGCTCATGTTGTTCGGCACGAATCGATTCGCATCAATGCCTCCGAGCGTTAACGAGGCTGGAACACTTTTCAGGCCTGGAAATGGCATTAGCAAACTGCGCTTGGGATAGAGCTGACAAAGAGTACATACGGTAGGCTGCCCCTGCAGTGTAGCCATAACTGCGGCTCGGGATATCATTGCGCTTCTGGATCAGACTCGATAAGAGTGGTGAGATGTCTTCAGTACCGTTGAATCTGGTCTGCTGAACCCCGAGTCCCAAAGTTCCGACCCAATATTCTGTAGCATTGACCACGGAGATGATTTGATCAGGGACCGAGATCGCATCGTTGAGGGAGAGCGTGTCCAAGCCATAATATCCATATCCGCTGCCTCCCAGCTCAGGGTTGAAGTTGAGCTCAAAAAAGCCTCGAGCATTGAAAGAAGACGACTCGTTTGTCAAAAACAACCCTCCTCTTTTATTCTCACAGATTGAGGTGCCATCGCAGCCAGCAGGACCTACTACCCACGTTTCCTGACTCAGTGTGCTCGGAAATACAGACAGATATTGTTCGGGAGATCCCACTCGTATACTGATGGCAGACCACAGGCCATCGTAGCCGAAGAAATCAGTACTTGTTGTCGCAACAATCGGAATAGGTTCTGAGGCTTCAGCAGTGCCAAGTGATAGTATGAGACTGAAGATAATGAGGATATCGCGACGACATGACCATGAGCAAGGCCGCAAGCGGTTGCGGTCTGAAGAGCGCATCGTGCTTGGGATTCAACGAGTTCGGAAGGTCTTCATAGCTTGATACTTGGTCCAGGGGCGCGGTCTGCAGGTCAATTGTGCTCGGAGATCTGTAACGAGGGGCTGCGATCAGGTGGTACAAGTTGGCACCAAGGCGAACTGCTAACGAGAGTGATGTCGACTGCAACTAAAAACGAGAGGACGTCGGCGACACCACGACGAGGTGGACAAAATGTCTCATTCACAGGTGACAAGAGAGGAGCAGTTACCAATGTCTACGAGTTACGCCCATCCACGGGGAAGGTCTGAGAGGGCGGACTTTTTTTGAGACCAACCCTAAAGCAGGAGAGGAGAGCCCCGGGCATCAACCAACCAGGCGCGACAACCAGGAACTAGGGTGCTAGGCAGGAGCTCCTCCCACTACAACGAATCACGATGCGCAGCACCACTTTCTCCTCTCTCTTCTCCTGTCAGAATTTCCCAGAGAGCATTCCATCCACTTCCTCGAGAGTACAATTACACGGACATAGGCTTGGGATATTGTTTCTCTTCGTTTATGAGAGATTGATGGGAACGACATTCTACTCTTGTGCCAATGGGCTAGTTCCGATTTCACAGCTGCGTCTCCCCACCCATGCGAGCTGCAACTCGACGCAAGGAGCCCAAGCAACGATGGGTCAGGCCCAAGGTGATGGGACTTGGCACCTCGAGAAATCTGCTCGGCACTTGCGATTTTGATGGGAACCCCTACCAAGAGCAATTGTCTGTCACCAGGCGCGCGAAGTGGCACTGCCAGAAATAATGCCTCCCGCGAGCTTGAGAGTTCAACTCAATGTCGGAGCGAACCGATCGAAGAGAAAGAGCCCCATTCTCCCTCTTGAAACTGCTTGGCCCTGCATCATCCGAGATGGGATGTGCAACTTTCCCTCTACGGTACTGGGTGTTTGTGCCATCGCGACTGTCGCAGACATCTAGTCACACACAGCCTGTCTCTCGGGGATGTCTGAACGGCGGACTGCATCGGCGACCTGGTGTTATTTCTGAAATAGAAGAGAGCCTCATCGTGGGCATGTCATGTGTCCCACACGAAAGGGTCTGGTGCGACGTTTTGGGCTGGACCTGCATCCGCAAACACGAGGAGAATGATTGATTCTGATACCACAAGGCAGACAGGTGGAGCCGGACATGAATTCCTCGGAGCATGTGGCACATTGCTTCTGGTCTCCACACGCCGAAGACCAGATCCCTGGTTCAGGAGGGTTATTGAAAGCAGTGTGACATGTGCTCACTTCTTTGAGAGTATCTTGACAAGACAAGAGTACAAGCAGAGTGAGAGGGAAATCCTTCTCGTTTATCAGTATCTGATGGGACCGTGGCGCGTCTCAAGCCAGGGATGCGTGGATGAGATGATGTGCAGGGACTGGACAGTTTGAGTTTGACCATCACCATGCACGGTAGATTGTGCGGGCGGGATAGGAACCACCACGATGAAGTTTTCGTACTCGTAAAGCCGAGAGAACAATTGTAACTCGTAACTCCTCGCACACAGTAAGCAGGGAGATGAAGATGGTTTGGAGACAAGCCATGTTACAACCAGTGAGCAGCCTGGACACGGTTCTTTCGTGCAAGACATTCGGACAGATGATGGTGATGGCGTCGACGGCGTACCTACTGGCGGGGCCTGGGGCCTTGGCCCTTAAGGAGGTCCTACCTAGGAGACTTTTTAGCTAAGAAAATTCCCCTTGCCGGGCTTCACGGTAGCTGCGGGTGACCCCTTTGGTGCTTTCGCGTCTTCATTGATAGGCACCCAATGGGCTCACAATGGCCACCACAGCCACTGACATCTCGCGACAGTGGCTGCAGGTCAATCCAAAGCTCCAACCAATCTTGTGGCGCCCTTGCAGCACTGACCGCGTGTGTTGACCTGACGGTTGGTCGGCAACCTGTCCTCCACCACCTCAGTTGATGGGGTCTCCAGCCAGCCAAAGTTGCAAGATGGCGATTACAAAACCTGGTCTGCCAGTTCTCAAAAGCCTGGAACATGCTGGGAACCAGGGCCACTCGGACTGCTCAAGGCTGTAAGTGACTGGCTGAAAAGCCCTGTCACTTTGAAGGCCCCCTGTCGAGTCTGTCCATCTCCGCCTCTCTTCCGACCACTATTTCCGCAGAACCGCAAAACTCTATGCGCATCAATCCAGACGTCCACTTCCATTTCGTCTGGCCTTGTCCTTCGTTTTGAACCACAACAAGTCACTGCTTCCTCGTTCTGCTGGGGAACAGGAGTCGAGAACCGGCCCTTGTACCTGCGTGCTGTCGTGACCCTGAACCATCTACGAATATATCTCTTCATGCCTTTCGAATCCCCGACGTTCGCCATCACTCCACGTCCACGATCGACCTGGGACACGTGGATCGCAAGGGGGACAACTTGCCAGCACTAATCGCCCGCCTTTTGCTATCATGAGGAATTGAAGGAACCCTCATCGAATGCTTAATCGCACAGTCGTTCGTTCTTCTACAATTTTGGACCCAACACTCGCTTGAAATCTGGGGTTCCGACGCAAGAGCAGGGCACTATTCTCTGAAGACGAGATGTATACCCTGTGGTCGCTCGTTTGTCTATATGTTGCGCTCTCTAGTGCACTGAACTTGGATCTGAGTTTGGCTTTGAGCTTGGACAAGAGACTGCCCCTCAGGTTCATGCGCAGAGATATCGTTTATTCCAATACCACGTCGCCCCAGCTAGATCTCAGACCAGAGGTCACCACGATCGCTTCGCCGAGTACATCTAATCTCGTTCTCAGTGAGACGACCTCGACTCCTCAGCCAACAGTCGCTTTACCGGAGTCTACGTCGCCTTTCAGTATCGCCGACACGAACCCGAGCTCTGCTACAATCGCCCCGTTCAGCTTTCCTCCTAACCTTCCACCCACTGTTACCAGCCCAAGCACGATCGTTCCAGTCAGTCCTCCGCCAGTCCAAGACCCTCGCGGCTCGAATCCCAATTCATTGACAGTCGCTACACCCAGTCCTCCACCCATTTTTGGTCCATCGACCCCTCCCGAAACAACAGCTATCACATCGGTTGATACATCAACCATTTCTTCCTCTAGCAGCAATGTTACACCCATCAATGGACCTGCGCCTCCCATTCTCAAAACCCCTCCACCACTACCATCTTTCACACGACCTTTCACGAACTCGAGCCTGAGTATAGATCTCGGTACTACTACGAATGTCTCGACAACATCCCCAACTTGCACTGGCTCGGTCACCTACTTTGGCTCCGTTCCGCCCACAGTCTACGTCACAGTCACCGAAGGCTTCAACGTGACGATGACAGCCAGCAATGCGTCCATGACCGAGACACCGACTTTAATCACGCCTTTGCCTGCCTGTCAAGCAACGATCATGCCCATTGCTGCGTCATATAACCCTGCATCGTCCGCCAGCGGGCAAGACCGGAGTAAAACAGAGTCGAACATTCCAGGCCCATCGACTATTCCTCAATTTGCGACCAATAATCCTTTTTTTGCTCCGGAATCCTCTGCGCCCGTGGTACCAGGAGAAACCCCTGCCCTTGCGAGTTCTCAACCACCATTGGTGTCCGCTTCGCTGGCCTCTTCGGCTGTCTACTCGAGTGTCGACTATACCAGTACTGTCGTCGTCACAAAGAAGACCCCGGTTCCCGTGGTGGCTCCGCCAACCACTTCTATCGACATCAACTTCAATTTCCCCTCGCAGAATCCCACCCCTCCCCCCAGCGGAGGAGGCAATACCGGTGACAGCAATAGTGGTGATAGTGGACAAAACACTGTCAACAATGGTGGCGGTGGAAACTCTCCTTCCAGCAACAACGCACCCGTCACTCCCGCAACAAATAATGGAGGCAGTTTCCCATCAATCAGTGCTCCGACTGGCGGAAGTTTGATTGTCGAAGCTCCAACAACTACACGGTTGGGCAACATCATTGCTTCTATCCTCAACTCGCCCTTTGCGACTGCCTCGCCGACTAGTCGTGCCTCTGGAGCCGCTCCCTTGACCACCACTGTCAACGGTGTCCCGATCATAGTACAGCCCTTTAGCGTGGTCATTGGGAGTCAGACCGTCGCGATTCCCAACTCGGCCCCCACTACTGTGCAAGCATCTGGTGCTGTGTTTACCGTGGAGCCCTCCAAGATCATAGCTCCTTCGACGACCATAACAATATCACAGCTTCCAAACGAGCAGATTGTAACGCCAGTTCCAACGGGTACGATCACTACCGCATTTGGCCGTCTCACTCTCACCGTTGGGCCGACAGTCGCGATTATCTCTGGAACAACGTACAGGGTCGGGCAGGGTGCGCCAGCTACGACCGTCACCGTTGATGGAACCAGAATCTCCATCGGCTCCGCTGGCGTGGGATTGCCCAGCACTACTGTGGCGCCTGGTGGTGCGACGCCGTTTACCGTCTACACTGTAGAAGGTCTGACCTTCTCTATCGCTGGTACTGAGGCTATTGTTGGGGGCACCACATATCGCATTGGGTCGAACGCTCCCCAGCTCACCACGACCATTGGGTCGCAACATGTGTCGGTATCGCTCGGTCCTGGTGGCGTTGGACTGGCGAGCACTACGTTGACTCCTGGCGGGCCGACTGGCTCCCCCTTTGTTGTGTACACCGCTGATGGATTGACTTTCTCGGTCGACGGCAGTGAAGCCGTTGTCAGTGGCACTACTTACCGCATTGGATCCAACGCTCCCCAGGTGACCACAACCATTGGTTCGGAACATGTGTCGGTATCATTTGGTCCTGGTGGAATCGGCCTCGATTCGACCACGATTGTTCCACAAACAACCTCGTCACATAAATCGACCACCGAGTCAAAAACCGCATCCGCGACTACATCTCCGACACAGTCTGCAGATGTCGCCAACGACGCACTATCCAAGATTTTACCAGCCAGTCTGCGATGGTGTCTATTTGTTCTGTCTTTGGGATGGCTTGTTATTTGAACACCCGATATGACGTGATACGATGGAGTTTTAGATTTTTGATACATTGGAAAGGGAAAAGTCTAGTGCCTAATAATGGCTGGGATATGGTGGAATTTGTTTGACCTTGGACTTTGGGACGATCATGATACCCGCAATACATTGACGATCTGAGTGATTGGAGTTACTCCAGTGAAGAGCAAGAGCCCTTTGGGGAAATGAATACGGCGGATACGTTTGGAAGAGAAATATGGTAATAGTGTCTGTGTACGGACTGAATGGGTGAAAACCACCACAAACGCACAATTTATGTGGCAAGTTGCAATATCATTTCCATCTTCAACTTGAATCATGGTTTCATCTGCACAAAATATCTCCTACTATCATCCCAGATACACTCATGATAGAAGCCATGAGGAGGTTGATTTGGTTGTTATCCAAGATGTCGTTTCCAGAGTTGATCGACCTGCTGCTCTCTTCACCGCTGGACTTTCGGCCATGCCCTTGCACATGTGCTGGGGGCGTCTTGGGCCTAGTAAGCACCTTGAGGCCGCCGGGCCCTTCAACGATCTTCCCAGAACGTCGATCGATGACTGAGGCTTGCAGCAGTGCTCCCAAGAGGGAGTCGAGAAGCGTGCCAATCGTTCCGAGCCCTGTCAATAACGCGAACAGAGTGAGGGCGTCAATAGGTGATCCGGCACAAAAGCGCAGGAGTGTCACACTCGTAGCAGCAATGGCAGCGCTGCCTCCCACACCGGCCAACAGTCCAGTAAGAGTCACCCCGCCGTTGGTACCTCGTGGGACAACTCGCAGCGGGTTCGTGATGAGCACTGGTTGGGATTTGGAGAGAATTCCCAGCTCGCTAGACAGAGTGTCGGCCGCCACCGCAGCATAGTTGGCCATTATCCCCATCAGCAACAGGTCAGCAAACGTGTTGCTGCTCTGTCGGCTACCACCAAAACATTCTGCGCCCTCGCTCGCACCTGTACCAAATAGCGAGACATGCAACAAGCACAGGGCACTTGCGCACCCACTGTTCGCAACGACCTGCAGACTTGTGCGAGGCCCTTCTCCGCCTGAAGCTCCACTACTTGACACTGTCAACGTGGCTTTCACGTCATGTTTCACTTTTGTAGCCGTCGTGCCGAGCAGGAAAAATGTGCAAAGTAAAGTGAACGGGAGGGCGGACGGATGAAGGGCGTGGATCGTTGCGGTAAGTGCTGCGGTCACGATGCCCAGCGGTGTGAGGGATCGCCGAGTGTAGGCACGAGTGACAAGGAGGAGGGTTACGGGAATGGCGATGATGGGACGCATCTTGGAGGGTGCGAAAGGTGTCGGAGGGTGGAAGAGGATTCGGACGGAATATATGCACCACAGGAGATGGTACACCAGCTGCATATGGATTATGTGTGCCTTTGTTGTTGAGTTACTAAGAAGGGTGTGGCTGCTACTGACAAGCAGGCGATGACGTCTGGCTGTGGCGTCCTGCGGTCTTCAAGTCCCGCATTTGACTATCAGTTCACAGGACTTTCCATCTCTGTCAACAGGTATCGCCAGGCAGTCAATCACAGTCGCCGGAAAAGGTCGAGGATGGGATACCACTTTCCAGAGCTTCTTGAAGCACGATGTTCACATCACTTTTGGCCAGATCTGCCATGAGGCAACCAGAGATACTTTTCCGGTCCGCCTCCAAAATCGGTTCTCTGCACCACACCACCAAACGAAGGCTCCATCTCGCACCCCCTTTCCTCCTCGACGACTATATCCCCCGATATCATCTGCTCTCCTCTGCCGAGGCAGCGAAAAAACGGTCTGCAGCCTATGCCCACCTCCGTCAATGCAATCTCTGTCCACGTCTCTGCAATGTCAATCGTTACGAGACTACCGGCCACTGCTTGATCGGGGCGGAAACGGTCAAGGTATCAACCATCGCACCTCATTTTGGGGAAGAGCCATGCCTTCAAGGGCATAATGGATCCGGGTCTATATTCCTCAGTGGCTGTAACTTGAGGTGTGTGTTTTGTCAGAACCACGACATTGCCCACCAGAAAATCGGCTTCGATCTGACCCCGGAGGAGCTGGCGGAATGGATGGTGAAGCTGCAGGAGGTGGGAAATGTGCATAATATCAACGTGGTGACGCCTGAGCATGTCGTGCCCCAAATTGCCCTGGCTATCCTGACTGCCCGGGAGATGGGCCTCAATATACCCATCGTGTACAACACTAGCGCATTCGACAGCCTAGAAAGTCTCAAGTTGATGGACGGATTGGTCGACATCTATTTACCGGACTTTAAGGTCTGGAACAATGAAACGAGCAAGCGGCTCTTGAAGGCCGACGGGTATGCGGACACGGCAAGAGAAAGCATTCGAGAAATGTATCGGCAGGTGGGTGATTTGTGCTTCACGGCCGACGGGATCGCGAAGAAAGGAGTCCTGGTCCGTCACCTTGTCATGCCGGGAAAAGAACAAGAAGGAATACAGATCATGAACTGGTTGGCTGAGGCTCTGAGTAAAGATGTCTTTGTGAATATCATGGAGCAGTACTTTCCCACGGCTCATGTCGGCAAGGAGAAACGAGGGACCAAGTCAGACGCCTCGAGCAAGAGATATGCGGAAATCAATCGGCCGGTGACCCATGAAGAAGTAGGGGTGGTGCAGAAGGCGGCCAGAGATGCTGGACTTTGGAGATTTGCTGAGCCGGCGAGACATGGTGGCTGGAATATCTGAGTTCCAGGCCATCTTTCCTGGCCAGTCTCTTGTTGCCATACATTCTGAACAGTCAGCCATCCGGCGCCACTCACACTCGGCTAAGGCAACAGCACACGGCATTGTGTCAAGACCCACGAGGCTTCCACATGGTCAGAGCTTCTTTGTCCATAAAAATACACAATCCGGCCCCCCTTGGTGCCCACGGCTGCTATTGGTCAGCTTTGCTTCTTTGTGAAGTTGACAGGTCAAAGACGCATGCTAGCACAAAAGCCGTACGCGGAGTCGATCGGTCAATTCTTCCATCCTTCAGTCTTTGAAGAGGCCTGCTCAAGTATTAAAACAGCTCTGCAATGGCATCTCTCCGCCATCTAGCACCGTTCCGCTCGACGAGACCAACACTGGTTACCGCTCAACATTCTCAAGTACGCCAAGAGGCAGAGTATATCCAGGAGCGTATAGCTGCTGCGGAGTGCCTGTACAGACGACTAACGGCAGAGATAACAAAGACGCAACACAGATTGGTAAAAGCTCGAAAACACAAGAGTTCCGCTGGGCTGGCAAATTCTTTGAAAAGGAGCATCAGAAAGAAGCGATCACGTCTGAACCGATGTGTGAAGAACCGCCAGGCGTTTGAGGCAAGACTGGCCACTATCTTTGCTGAGATGGACAGAATGGAGCAACGACAATGGCGCCACAGCTCTCCGAACCTCCCCGATTTTGGGAGATCTCATGTCCCTGAGGTTGGGAATGCCTCAATAGCATTGCCGAGCTGGACGACCTCGTACATGTCAGCCCCATCAATCAGGAGCACTATGCAGACCCTCAATATTCCGACTGTTCCAATGCAATTGCAATCCCCTAACCATGCTGTTCCTATTCACACTCCCCAGACACCGGTCATACGTCCAACACAGTTTTCGCAGATAACATCAGGCCGTCCGCTCCAACAAGACTTTGGTTTCTCTCAGGCTGGCAATGATGCCGTGATCAGCCCAAGTGATACAGTTTCTTCTTATGAATTGAATTCACCAAACGGTTTTCCGGTCACTTACATTCCTGCCGCCCATCAAGCTGACGTGCTCGACGCGATGCATCGCATGCACATCTCTACACCACAGGAATCTTATACGCAGCCTTCGAGGATACCAACCACAGCGGCAGGGCAGGGCAATATCGATTTTTCTCATCGTCTCCGCATGCTTGATCACCAAAGTGCCGCGTTTCGACTGGAGAGAGCGGCCAGAAAGCACAAGGGTCAGCGGTCATGCTAGCGAGGTGGTACAGCCATTGGTTTTGGGTGATGACTTCTCGGTTCATGTGGTAGGAGTCAAATTCGTTGTTCATTCAGAGGTACAATCAGTCGTGGATCCATCCCTGACTACGTTGATGTCTTGCGTTTTCAATCTCGCGCGACTAAGTGACTGTCGCCGCGGCGATGACCAACAACACCAGAGACACATGGTACATTGTTTGCTCTTTTCTTTTCTGCCGTGCGCCTCTCCGCATCTTTGTTTGCCACCAGATCTTTCCCTCTCAAGCAACTGTTCCAGTTTCTCTACGCACGCAGAACTTCAGTCTCTATCGCTAGTCAGATCGAAAGCCTTTCCAAGATTCCCTTTTCATCTTCCTTTGTCTTACTGTCTTTCCCTTACCGTGCGTGACCCCTTGTCCTCGTACCTGGGCGAAAGCCACCCCATCCTCAACAATGAAGCTCTTTGTTTTGCTGTCTCTTCTTGCCGCACGCTTCATCACCTGCTTCCCATTCATTGGACATGATACAGACAACAGCACCATAGACACGTATGACTACGTTGTCGTGGGTTGTGGAATTGCTGGTCTGGTGGTGGCTGCGAGGCTGAGTGAGGATCCAACTGTCTCTGTCGTGTGTATCGAAGCTGGCTCTCTGTATGTCTCTCCCCGAACTCATGTACTGCTGACTGACAAGACGACAGTGACAACTACGAGGACTCGATCGAGATACCCGTCTACATCGGTGACCGCCCTGCAGCATACGAATGGGACATCAACACAACTCCACAGAAGCAGCTCGATGGCAAGCCACGTGTGACCGTCATGGGCAAGGGCGTCGGCGGAGGCAGTTTGATCAACGGCATGATATGGAATCGAGGCAACCAGAACGACTTCAACATCTGGGCGGGACTAGGGAATCCAGGCTGGGATTGGGAGAACCTATTGCCTTACTTTAAAAAGTCCGAGACATACACACCACGATACTACGATGGCGTCCAGAACCAGCCTGTCACATTCGACGAATCCATGCACGGTTTCTCTGGACCGGTCAACGTATCTTACCCGCAATACTTCTGGCCGCAAACAGGTAAGTGACTCTCTGGCAGTGTTCCTTTCGGACTCGAGTTGACACGATACACAGGCAACTGGTTTGAAGCACTGAATACCCTCCATATTCCGGACTGCTTCGACCCCAACGACGGATTGTCGGCCGGGAGTTACTTCTTGCCATCGTCGATAGGTCCTGTCAATCAAACGCGCTCTGATGCGCGACAGGCATACCACGACATGGCTGCTGGTCGTCCAAATTACCACCTAATCACGAATGCTCAGGTCGGACGGGTCTTCTTCGACAACAACTCTACAGGATCCGAGGCAGTTCGCGCAGGAGGCGTCCAGGTATGTTCAGTTCGCCAGAGTTCGTGCGGAGCTGACGATTACAAAGGTGGTGGATTTACTCAGCAACACGACCCGGTTCATTGGAGCTGCCCGCGAAGTTATCCTTGCTGCTGGTGGTATTCACACTCCACAGATTCTCGAGCTCTCTGGTATTGGTAACGCCAGTCTATTGGAATCTCTCGGCATCCCTGTTATCCAAAATCTACCAGGAGTAGGAAACAACTTGCAGGATCACGCCATGGTACATCTATCCTATCCATGTAAGTCCCGACGTGACAGAATGTGCTGTTCACTCCACTCCGCAACTGCATGCTACTTGATCTAACTCGCCAACAGTCCAGAATACATCTGTCTCGCGCCCAGCCTGGCTACTCACGAATTCGAGCTTCGATTCCGCTGCACGACTTGCTTATCTCTCCTCGCGAACCGGCCCATGGACAGCGAAACCTTCGACCGCAGTTGCGTTCCCGTCCCTCGCGCAAATGGCAAACTCTACCCGGTACATATCTCTCCTCGAAGACGCAATGGGGCGTTTCGGGCTGGTCCCGTCCGTCCTGCCACCGGAGTACACCAGCCCGGACAGGAGCGGGTTGACCGTCCTGGTCGGGTATGGAATGCAACACAACATGGTCGCCGCGTCCCTCCTGCTCAACACCACGCCGGCGTACGAGATCCTCAACGACAACTCGGGCGGCCTGGACCTGGCGCTCATGCGGCCGCTGTCGCGAGGGACGGTGCACATCACGTCGGCGGACGTGCGACACGACCCGGCCGTCAACCCCAACTGGCTCAGCCACGCCGTCGACCTCGAGATCCTGCTGCTCGCCGTGCGATTCAACCAGAGGATCCTCTCCACGCCGCCCATGCAGGGGCTGGAGCCGGCCTTCGCCCCGGGCCCCGACGGGAGTATCGCGCGCGACATGACGCGCGAGCAGATCGCGTCGGTGCTCCGCCGCGGCGTCGGCACCGAGTTCCACTACTCGGGCACGGCGGCCATGCTCCCGCTCGACCTCGGCGGCGTCGTCGACCCCAACCTCACCGTCTACGGCACCCGCAACCTGAGGGTTGTCGACACGTCGCTCTTCCCCGTCATCCCCGGCGCGCATTTGCAGGCCGTGGCGTACGCCGTGGCCGAGCGCGCCGCAGACGTCATCAAGGGCGTCGCTGTCGATGTTGTGGTGGGAGGGGGAGGTTCGCCCGCGTAAAAGGCGATACCTGGAGTTTGCGGTCAATGTTGCGTCGGGGTCACTGCAGGCGGGGAGGCAGGTAGATAGGTAGACATTGACAAACGAGCAGGCATCAGTAACAAGTGGATAGGAACACGTTGAATTGCATACCCATCTATCCTGATGGTCACGGCGGACTCTTCATGCTCAATTCTGTATCTGTCCCCTTGTATGTGCGTCACACACCCCCGGCCCCCCTTCACCGAGTGATCTTCGTGGTCACGACAAGACCTGACTCTCGCCGTCCGCACGAGAGAGAGAGAAAGAGAGAGAGAGGGTTATCTACCTCTCTATTTCATCGCCAGAATCAATGACGCGGCTGTCCACTGACTCACTCACTCACTCACTCACTCAGCGGTTAACTAGCGAATGACCTATAAATGTTATCTATCCCCCACTAAAGCCTTACCCTTGCCTCAGTGAGTGAGAACTCAGAAGTGAAGCAACCAAGAAGCCCCCTTCTCAGGGCTCTAGCTAGACACTGTCCCAGCTGCCCATTCCCTACCAAGTGAGTCCTGTCCACTGTCCAGTCCAGTCCAGGTGGTACAAGCAATGTCTAGAATCGACAAGTCTCGGTTACCTGATTCAGGCGGGCGGTTCCCAACATGGCATAAAGCGGCGGTTTGATGATTCCTATTACGAGGTGCGAGCAGTAGCGGTGGTAGTAGCAGTAGCAGTAGCAGTAGCAGTAATTGACAGTAGGGCAAGCGATATCTCGTCACCCTTGACCACCTTGCCGGGCCGCCGGAAGGGTATCTATGAGACCGGGATGCATGCTGCGCTGCACAGTCAGAAGTCCCGGCAACCCAGTTGGCGCCCTGCAGAGGTATCGGCTCGAGATGGGCTTTTGTAGTGTATCGTATCTTGGTAGGTAGGTATGTATGTACGGGACAGGACAGGACACGGGAGGTGTGGAAGTAGGTACACACACCTTGGTCATGACCATATCTCGTACACTCTGTCAATTCGAGCTCGTGTCGGTCGAGAGGAAGGGACCATTCCGCGCAGTTCACCCGGACCGAACGGCCGAAGAAGATGGTCAACACATACGCACGATGCGGACCCGTCGTCTTTCGTCACGGAGCTGGTCATCATAAAAACGAGGTAGATATACGAGGTGATATGCGAGCACAAATTACGGAGCATCTACCCATCACTACCACTCGTAGAAGTAGGTCCTCTGGTACTGTTAAAGTCCTCCGGGAGTAGTGGGCTACCCGAGTGGGACATTTCGCCCAAAATAGTTTAGGGCATGTTACCACAACACATTCCGGCCCTCCTTCCACTCTAGGCAAGTCACTAGTCCGCATTCGCACAAGGCCCGTCGCTGCTTTTTCCAACCTGCCGAAAAGCAGCCTGATCGATGCTTCCCCGCAGCGAAAACCAAGAAGACAAGGTGCCGCCACATGATATGTATGGATCGTCACTTGTCAATGACTCGGCGAGATGGTGCAATTTGAGTAAGTTTTTCTTGGGTCCTACCGGTCCGCGGACAGTCATTGGTTTGGGGATTCCATAATCAATTATTGCTTCATCGAGAGAGGGAGGGAGAGAGAGAGATCCGTACATAAAGCGCGTTGGCATCCCCAAAGCTTTGGGAGCGTATTCCTCAGAAACCCCGCCTCCCATTCTGTTCTCCAGCTTCCTTTTCTGTTTGGAAGGTCCATACTCGACACGCACGACGGAGATTCTTGACACAATGGCTGCAGCTAAGAAGCCTGTCCTCTACTATTTCGACCTCGGCAGTAAAGGTCGTGGCGAAGTCGTCAGGTGGGTGAGAAGTAGAAGCACATCACCCGAAGCCGAAATTGAATCCCTTCGTCGACTGTATATTCGTCGCTAGCCCCCGTGCTGACTCTGGAGAGCAGGCTCTTCCTGAAGGAACTCGGCATCGAGTACGAGGACAAGCGGAATCCTTACGACGCCACGTGGGGGGAGCTCAGCAAGAAGTACGAGGCTCAGGGCCTTACTATCACTCGCAAATTGCCGTCGCTGGATATCGACGGCCATATTTTGTCCCAGGTGGGTTCCCGCGCACGCCCCTGCCCACGACGACGGCTTTGTCTGTTGTGTCTCTGTCTAACCATTGACCTAGCACGTTCCTATCCTGAGATATCTCGCACGGTCTGTGGGCGCCTACGACGGCACGACAAACTATGAGAAGTGGCTGGTGGATGCTGTTGCCGACACCTACATTGACTGGAGGGTATGTGCCGACTCTGCCATTTCCCCAACATGGCTGTGGATCTGAACTGAAACTCGACGCAGGCCCTGTGGGTGACCAACCTGACCGAGAACAAGCCCGAGTACAAGACCACCACGGTCCCTCTTTACCACGGGATCTGGGACAAGTTCTACTCCCAGCACCCCGGGCCGTATCTTCTTGGGAATACAGTCACGTACGCCGACTTTGCCATTTTCCAGGCGCTGGATAATGACGAGGTGCTCGGTTGGGGTCCCGTAAGTCACAAATGCTTTTCTCCGGCCATCTACCATGTTGACACTTTCCCAGGCCTCGCTCCCGGAGAGTCTGAAGGCGTTGAAGGCTGCCATTTCCGAGCGTCCGAATGTCAAGGGGTACATAGCGGCGAGAAGTGCTTGATGTGATGACGCATAACAATACAATGCGCGGAGAATGTATTGTTCCGAAATTTGTTCGAGGTATTATTATGTTGATAAGTGGCCTTGGCTCAGCCACGACACGTACCTCAACATTGCCACCAAGAGAAACGTCAATCTCCGCTGCTGTAGTGCACGTTAGCCCATCTGCCACGATGAGATCAGGGCTGGATAAGAGTTATCACCTCAGCAGCCCAACCAGCCGGCAGTATGATCAAAGCTCATGTGGTCCCGTGGGTCGAGGAAACCACGCTCTCTAGTCAAAGAGTTCCTTTGGTTCGATGCTGTAAGTCCTGCTCTGCTGCGCCTCGTCGAGGGATAGTCTTGCGATTTCGACTGCGAGTCGTGTCAGGTAGCATTTGTGTTTTCACGGCGATTGCTGGAGCCGTTATCCATCGTCCGTACACAAAGCCATCTCTTTCCCGCGGACTAGGAGAGGGCGGTAGAGTTTAGACCTTCGCGGCGAGGCTGAGGTGTAATGTGTGTTGATTCGTGAGTCAAGTGGTTTCAAAAGCCGACGGTGTTTGAGTGAGGCAGTTGGTTCAGCCGCCAAAGCACTGAAAGTGAAGTGAAGTGAAGTCAAGGGGGAGCGCAGCCTTCCACCACAACCAAAACGATTTCCAGTCAGATGTTCATCGTGATTCCAGTTATTACGGAAGAGGTTCTCGACCATATGAGACCCGTCATGAATATGAAAATGACTTGCCCGCGGATCGCCGTGAGGGCCGCACCCAAACCCATCCTTTCAATTTGCTAGAATGCCAGAATTCTCGTCCTCGTCATCGCCGTCGAGGCCGTAAGACCCGTGGAGGACCACGCCACCAAGGGCAGCATGATGCATCAAGGCCCCGAGATACCAGCCGTGTCCACAAGCAAGCCAAACCTGATCCTTCCAAGCTGATCGCCCTTAAAGAATATCGAAGGCTTCAGCGGATACACGATGAAGAAAAGGAAGGGAGAAACCAACAGCAAGAAGAGGGACAAGAGAACAGCAAAAGGTAACTCCGAGGGTGGTGCAGACCTTCGCGCAACTTCTTCATGTATTTCCAATAAACTTGTAGATACCTTTTCTTGTCCATCCATGGTCGTGACCATCCCTGTATAAGTCGTCTCGCTTCTTTCTTGGCAAATCTGACAGCCTTATCATCCCATGCCTGCATGCGTATCTTAGTCGATGATCTCCGTGCTGTAGATACATATGCTCAATCCCAATGCCCGATCCCCCCATACCAAGAAAGCAAAAATGTCCCACTTCTCCACGACGCAGTATAATTCCATCTCGGCGGCGTACGACTCGGTCAACGACCTGCCCATCTCGCGCGCCATCGTCATCAACGTTGAGCGCATGATCCGGCCGTATATCCGGGGTGCGCGCGTGCTGGAACTTGCGTGCGGGACGGGCTTCTTCACGCGGCACCTGCTGGACTGGGGCGCGGCGAGCGTCGTGGGCGTCGACGTGTCGCAGGGGATGGTGGACATGGCTGAGGCCGAGACGGCCAGGCGGCCCGAGCATGCCGGCAAGTACAGGTTCATGGTGGCGGACTGTAGCGCGCCGTTCTCCGCGAACGCCAGTGGCAATGGCAGTGGCAGTGGCAGCAACAACGACGGTACCGGCGGAGACTTCGACCTCGTCTTCGCCGCGTGGCTGCTCAACTACGCGGCAGACCAAGCCAGCATGACAGCCATGTTCTGTAACATCGCCAACCACCTTCGGCCGGGCGGGCGGTTCGTCAGCGTGCTCCCGCACCCCGAGGACGACGACCCGATGGTGTGCATCGACCATGTCAACGCGCAGCGCCGTCTCGGGTACGGGTACGGGATCGAGGTCCGCCAGACGCTGGCCCTCGCCGACGTCCCGCACGCGTACCACGTCCACCTGTACTTCGACACGGTCCCGCCCGTCGACTTTGGGAACTACTACCTGCCGAAGCGCGTGCACGAGGCCGCGGCGCGGCAAGGCGGCATGACGGGCCCGCTGAGCTGGGAACCCGTCTCGCTTCCGGACAACTACGACGAGATTAACCGGTACATGAAGACGCCCGTGGCCGCGGGGTATTTTGATCCGTGGCTCGAGTACCCGGACTTTGGGATGTTGGTGGTGGAAAAAAAAGCGAAATAGATGCGCAATAGTAAATCGAATGGGATAGGTAGCCACACACACACAGCCACAGGGGGGTCATTTTCAGGAACCGTAGCAAAAAAATCATGAGGAAAATCCTTTATCCGAGGTGACGCCAAGCCCACTTATGAGTTGGTCTAGCTCAGCCATTGAAAGCCGAAGCATTCCCAGCGACCTTCTCAAACCCCTTGGTCACAAGCAGAAAAAGGTAAGACATGCCCACAACCACCTTTCACCGAAAGATAATCGGTGGATTGAACGTACTGTCGGAACTTTTTTGCGTAGGTTTATTCCACGGTTATTATCTATACTAGTTACGTTATGCTTTCCCCTTCCTCCACCTGTCGATACGGGAGTAACCCGTGGTATCATGCCGGTAAAGCTTCAACTGTCTGATAAGCAAATCTCTCATTCGGAGGTGAAGGACGACGAATCGAATGTGTTGCACAAACTCGCGGCGTAGGATCGACGGTGTAAACTCTTCAATCACCTATATCGAAACAAGACCGTCCTTCGTGCAATCACTGCGTATCATCTTGGATTGAATGTCAAACTATGTAAAGTATCAGAGCTTCAATCTGTGTATTCCGATCTTTATCTCATAAGGTAGGCGGTCCAGAAAATACTGACGAAAAGCTTCGTTTCGAGGCTAGCACCTACATCTAGCTTCAGCAAAACTGTCTATCCGTCCCGATCCCTCGCCTATATAGATCTAGACTCTCGACGGGTCAGAGGGCAAGAGGACTAATCGGGTTTCATAAACCCGCTAACCTCACCTCGGTTTATTGCTATCGAGTAACTACCTCTCCTTCGCCGGCCGGCACACGATTTCTATCACCGACTACTAAATTAGCTAAAATTCCCCGTCCCTTCGAAATACATTCGTCATCGAGGAGCAAGCTTTGACTTATCAGAGAAAATATTTCCTCCAGGTTGGCTCTTACGAACGCGTCGAGGACTCGTCCAGACGGATAAACGAGAGATCCAAGTGAAGAGCTTGAAATCACCGAGAGCGTCCGTACGAATTTTCCTCATCTGGATTCCTTGGAGGCGAGAGCCATGGATTTCTCTCATACAGCCACACGAAAAGAGCCACTTCGTGTCAAACACTTCTGGAAAGAAGAAGCCCGGGCCCGGCCATGTCCAGCGCATGTCTATAGCAGCAGGTATTATATACGGTATGTAGTTAGTCCTGGCCTCATTCGTGGTGCCGCTAGAATCACAACAGCGGCCCATCACAACCCCTGTCGAGCTGTTCCAGTCTCGTGATGACTGCTCACAAAAGTTCCGATTTAAGAGCAAAGTAGGCTATGATCAAGCCCAGATATCAGAACCTCTTTCCGAGTCTGCTTTTCATCGAGCGCTTTTCATCCAATATTCTTAATCCGTTAAAACATGCAAATTATCGCGACCGACGATGATTTTCGGCTTACAGTCGAGAAAGTCCTTCTGCGGGCCGAGGACATGGTTCAGGACATCGATGAGGAAGGGCGTTTACTCAACCAATGGAGTTTACGGAATTCGCCGGACTCGAAGGACATCGGGCCCGAGTGTAAAGAAGTACTGCGGCAGCTCATTAAAAAATTTGTACGTTGACATACATCGATTCTTCAGCCGCTAACCCTAGGTAAGGTCCCTAGAATTAGAGACGAATGCAGCCGCGAAGGACGACACTTTATCCTGCAACACCAGCCGAAATTAGTTTGGCTTTCGAAGGGTTTTGTTGCTCGGGATCAGGTGATCGTAATAGTGATAATACGAAAGCCCGAATACTCTAAACATTTCACGAAAGAGCCCCTCCCACTCCAACCAGACTATACGACTGCCAACCCTATAGAAATTGAGGAAGCCCCCGCAAATCATCAGCAGACTGCTTCGAAACAAACCACTAAATCGACGGCGATAAAGCAGACACCATCGACCACAATTCCCTTCGAAAAGCTCGAGGAGCAGTGCTATGGTGTCGTTATGGATTCGAATCGCGAGCCCCACCCCCTTAAGATACCGGTTGGTTATATTCTCGTTATTCACGACGGCGAGGGTGTTGTCCTGAAGACTGGCATTTTTGGCGGGATCTTCGTGGAATTGAAAGGCGTGAATGGGGATGCCACTTCGTCCAATTAGGCCAATCCAAAGATATTTTCAGTGGAAACCCTCCTCGAAATTCACGCCTTCTACATCCACAGAGACTCCATTCGTCTCGTGGGAGGCTTCAACGCTTCGCAGTTGGGCTTCAGTAGGAGTATACGGCGGAAGGGCCATTCTCCAGGCGTCTCAATTGAAGTGGCTGGCGATGAGAATGGCAAACGCTGCGGCCGCGTGCCTTCAGCAAACAGCGAGAAGGTGTGGTTCTGATCATAACGTCGCGAGAACATATGGGTATTGGGACTCGGTACTATAGGAACGTTATTTACGATGGCCATCACGCTATTTCAGAGCCTACAGAACTTCATCATTCACTTATCGGTCCTCGTAGTCGTTGGATTTGGCTTCGGCAGGGGGCCAGTAGCCCAGGGAAGTCTTGGCATTCCGTGACCGAGATCTTTGCAGACTTTCCAGCATACTCCGTATACCTCAGTGATTCCTTGTCGTCTGCGCTCTTAGGTCATCAACTCTCTTGTAGAGTTCTAGCGGATTCTCAAAGGTACACCAAACTTCTCTGGGAACGCCAACAAATGCTTTCTGAAATCGTTCCGAGTTATCGTGATATATATTTTGTCTGGTTGTTCGAATGAGGATAGCTCGGATCCAGTGTGGGTGACGCCTCAAAATCTCCCCGTAGACCTCTGGATCGCGCTGTCGACTGTCACCAAGGCAGATCATATTCTGAGATCTTCTCGATGTGGGAAAGTTTGTATTTCTGCACGGTATCGTGTGGAGGTAGCATCATTTTGAGCACCCTCTCCTTTGATGGCAGAATATCCTCTCTTCTATAGGAAATGCCGCAACATCTGGAGATGACCGAAGATAAGGGAGAAGATTGTACGGCGATGCCGAGAGATACTAGAAGTACGGATCTTGCAATACGTGTCTGCCTAGACAACTGTCAAGATGTCCGCTGAGCCGCGCACGTGGGCGCCACTGTTCTCTCCTCCCCAAGCTTTAAGGTCCTCGGAATCGAAAGGGAATAAGAATAGACCTAGCTGAGGGGTGGGAACACCTCCAAGATACCCCGAATCTCGAACATAACAATCTACACTGATCATCTCGCCTACGCCAGACCTGCTGTTGGTCATGTCGTCGGCTCAGGAGCACTTTGCTAAAGTTGCCTCGGTCTACGAGAAGGGAACGGGAGGCGCGACGCGGAGAGTCGCAACTCACCTTGTGCAGCTGGCTTCACCCATCAAGGCAGATGCCAAAATTCTGGACAACGCATGCGGCACGGGGGTGGTCATCGATGAGCTTCTCGCGGGCGTTTCGGACGCCGCGGTGAGGAATTCTCTCATGTTCACGGTTACTGATGCTGCCGCCCCGATGGTTGAGTGCCTTCTTAGCAAGATAGGAACGCAGTGGGATATCCCTGCCGATCACGTCACGGCTCTCACTCTGGCTGCGGAGGACCTTGATGGCATCGCATCGGACAGCTTCGACTATTCTTTCACGAATTTTGGCTTTTTATTCTTCAAAGACGCAGAAAAGGCTGCGAAGCACATATACCGTACCCTGAAGCCCGGAGGTCGAGCATTCGTCACTTCCTGGAAAGACCTGGGCTACATGCAGGCAATAGAGAAGGCGGCCGTCCAAGTGCGACTGCATCACCCACCGCCGCACCTTCCCTTTGACACGGCTTGGCTCGACTCCGCACATATCAAGGACGTCTTTGAGCAAGCAGGCTTCCAGAGCGTGGACGTGCACCAACAAGCAAGCTCGTACGCGTCAGAATCAGTCCCCGCGCTCAGCCGTTCGTTGGTGGGAATGATGGAGGGCATGTTGAAGATGCAGGGATGGTCGGATAGTGAGGTGGAGAGCCTTCCTCCAGAGCTCGAGCGCGCCATCGAAGGATTGGCTGACGCGCTCGTGATTGAGCCAGATGCTGCGTGGATCAAAATGATGGCACACGTAGCCGTCTGCGTCAAATAAATACACTCACTCACTGTTCTGGAAGGCTATCTTTGATCGGGCAGCAGGCAGGGGTCTGTGTCGGGCAAGTTCATGCGAGACGAGCGGCTGATCTGACTGTACGTCACGAGCAGACACTAAAGACAGCAGTTTACTAGTAATCCAAATACTGTAAGTCAATCTGATACCGTATCGTGCTTTCCCACAATCCAAGTCTTGAATCGGCGCTTTATGGAATCCGGGGTAGTCGAGTATGTAGAGCTTCGAGTGATCTGGCCGAAGAATGGTTATGACCATCACACTATCCTCCTCAGCCTCGCTGGTCCTACACCGCTTCGATGCCTTTCCTTGATGTCCAAACTCCAGCTCCACCCAGAAGATGGCTTCTTATGACTTGGGCTGGCGACACTTCGCAAGCTTCGTATTTAGCGATACTGTCAAAAAGCAAACAGCGTCAGTCTTGGCTCCACAATCAACCCCGGCCCAAGCAGACCTTACCTTCTTGAATCCAATGTCTTCGGCTTTTTCTCTGAAAGCCTGTCGCGACATGTTCAAGCCATATTTTCGGATGATACCAGCATGCTTCTTATCGCCATTTACCCGACTAATATAGGTGTTAGAAGTCCCGAACCATTTGATAAACACTAGACCTCACCAGCTACGGGAGCCTTTGCCGTAATTACGAGGTCGTGAATAATAGACTGTTTCGTGAGCCATACTTCGAGATGTTTCGGATTACTGATATTCCTGGTCAGTTGGACGTCGCACATTGTCGTTGTGAACAAGTCACTTTAAATATCACTTCACATTTTAAGGTACTCTTTCACATTTTAAGGTCCTCAGTTTCATCTTAGCGTCAGGATTGGCATCGTCGACAAAAGTGACGTGCTACGACAGTGGAGGCGGGGAATCCATTGGCTCGTGGATCTCGGGAGACTCGAAGCCTAGCCGATGAGCGAGAATCGCAAACTCAAATAAAACCGTCGTATCTGCTTCTTTCATTTTCGGTTTTGCCAATAAATTTTTCTTCTTCGGTTGCGAAGCCATGTCGGGGTAGTTGCGCATTGCAGATATAAAGGTTGCATGTTTACATCGCCGCCTTCCTCGAACAACTTGATATTGCAGGTGGAAAGCATCATCGTGCCCTGCTATGCTATCTTATACAGATAGCCAATGTTTTGCGCATCCACAATCCTGATCTCGCCATGCGCATCTGCTTAAACAAGAACGAGGTACAGCTGTCCGCAATAATCTCATGACATACCATCCGTCGATGAAGGATCTCTGCCCATAAACACTTTGTACAGTCGCTTGCTGATTTGCGGGCCCAATCGCTTGTCGCTCCAACCGCCGTCTTTGTTCACAGTCTTGCGAACATCTTCAAGCATCAGGTTACCGTGTTTGTCAAATCCATTCACCAGCTTTCGAATACTCCTATATTCCTCGACGATGCCGTAGGCCATACTGGGAGTGACCCTCTGCACCTCTTGCAGCATCTTCACATATGTGTCCTTGGGGTCATCGCCAGTCCGAACCTGCCCGCTGTCCATGCAGAATGACGCGGATTTGAGATTGTACTCAAGCTGGGCCAGGCGGTAAGGCCGCGTAGAAAGATGTTGAGTGAGTGCGCATATCTGAAACGCCGAATCCGCGGGAGTCGATGTGTGTTGAATCAGTATCGGTTGGTGGGCCAGTTGAAGATGGAGGAGCAGGTCATCGACAATATCGGATGTCACGACCGACAAGTCCAGTGACTCGGTGGGAGCTTTTTTGCGCTTCCGACTCCTGGCCTGGGGCGGGGCAGGATCAATGTTCGCCGAGTCTCCACCATCGGCCTCCAACATCTGAGCACGGACAGCAGCAGTGTATGCTCGATTCTTCGCACTCTCATTCTTCCGAAGCCAGCTCCTGAGTCCTTCGATGAGATAGATTGGTACGCAGTCGCCGAAACGCCGGCGTATGGACGACACGTGTGCGTCCAGATTGGCCTTGAGCTGTGACTCGTCCTGCACCACGCAGGTGGCGGATCCTGACTGCGACGTGGCGGCAATACCAACAAAGTCTGCAGCGGCCAAGTGAATTAGAACATGCTTTTCATTCACGATCCGACATCCGGAGGTGGGTTCCCACAGATCGTCCTCGTCGTTGTACATCGATTTCACCTTACGGCGCCAAGTGACAATGCTTCCATGGTGCACTTTCTCGCCTTCTTCGACTAAGTTGAACTGCTCATCCACGTAGTTGACATCGACCTGGACGTTCTTCATACGCTCTTCGACTTGATTGCCGACACTTGTATCCTTGAGAAAGCTCGACATATCCAAGATCATCTCTGGAGTCGCGTCTTTCTTATTCGTGCGTGATTTGTTGACCTCGGCAAGGTCGGCCGCTTTCTGCTTCTCCTTGGCCTTCTGCTCTCTCTCCAGCTTCTTCTTCTCTTTTTCGGCCTCTTTCAAGGCACGTCGCTCCTCTCGGGCTGCTGCCTTCTCCTCTGCCCTGTCCTTGGCATTTACAGCCCTTTCAGCTTGATCTATTTTGGGAGGGTGGGTGCTTTTGACGAGGACTGGGCTGGATGAGAATTCAATGTCATCAAAAATCTTGGGTCCTCGAACTTCCGTTGACGGATGCGTAGATTTGGCTTTGGGTGCTTTGGGCGGTTTCGATGTAAGCCTCCTTTCCTCAGTAGACTCGGGATTGAGGGTAGCCAGAAGCTTGCTTGTCCTGCGATCATAGCCCTCCTCCATTGACTGAGACAGAACCAACTGGCGATCGCCAAGGGGATCATCTTCCAATCCATCCGACAGAAACCCCCAGGAAACACCCGCATCCTTCTTGGCTGTGGGCAAAGGTTCTGGAGCTGATGATGAGAAGATAATATCGTCGAAAAATTCAGGGTTCTTCTTCGGCTCCGACGAGTGTGAGACAGGGGCCACAGAAGTATCGAAGCTGAGCACTGCCTGCGGTCCGTCACTAGAAAGAATCACGAGGGGTACTGAAGAGCTTCGTTCGTAGGTGACATTTGCACGTTTCGAGTTCAAGTGCGAACTCGCGCCCGGAGTAGTGCGTTTCCTCTTCGAGAGCCTGTCGATCCGAAAACCAATCGAACCAGCCAATTCAAAGCTGTCGATTCCAAAATCAATCTCGTCGTCCAGCCATGTTCCCGTGCCTATTGATCTTGAAGCAGCCTTCGAGGCTTGGGGACTTTTTGGTGGTGATGACGATAGCACAATCACCTCGGTCATTGTTTGAGCCCAAAATACGTCGACCTAGAGATGAGCGCAGACAGAGAAACTGCATCATCTGCGTACAAGTGTTGGAGGCAGCCCGGATGAATGGCAGTGGTGGTGGTGGCAACTTGGAAGTGTTGTCATTGAGGAAGTCTCGATCGGGAAAAGTCTAAACAAGCTTGGCGTTCGCCCGTTGCGCGTCGTTCTCACTCCGACGCGTAAAGTGTTTTATTCGTCTACCTCATACATACATATTTCTAATCTACTGCCCTGCGCCGGCAAACAACTTTAGCTGGGGGTCGGTCTCCGGATTCATTCTCCTGGCGCGGGCGAATTCACTTGCCCTCCTGTCCCCTCGTCCGTACTTCGCTTTGATGACAGTGGCTAGCAATGCTGCTGCGAAAGCTGCCGTGAGCCAAATAGCAAGGACAATATCTTTCCTCTCTAGAAAAGTGCTGCGCTTGTTTTTCAGCATCTTGGTCATCTCATCATTGAACTTGCCCGCCATTCGACTCCTGGTAAAGTGCTCACGGACCCGTTGTCGCCCGCTCTGACCCATCCTCTTGAGTTCGTCCGTGTCAAGTTCATGCAGGACTTTGTTGATCACGGCAGTCCATTGCTCTACCTTCGCAGAGTCACGCAACCAACCTGTCTCATTTTCGACAATGGTTTCCAATGGTCCACCGGTATTTGACGCCAGAACAGGTAGACCGTGCTGCATCGCTTCCACCGGTACGATCCCAAAGTGCTCGTTCCGAGGGGTGTACAACAAGAGCCGAGCGTTTTCCAGGAGAGTCTCCTTGAAGAACCCCGGCACAGACAACAAGAACAAGACTTGTATGCTGCTTGGAATTCCCAAAGCTGTTGGTACTGTTTTAGCAGTTGCTGTGGTTAAACCCAGCCCTTCGGCCAAGTCCACAAGCTCTTTATGGTATTCCACATTTTCAGTGACCCTTTGGTCGTAGCCCCCGGCTATGATCAGGCGGGTACCTCGACGGGCTGCAGGAGAGAGATCTTGATACGCTCGAATGGCCAAGCCAATGTCTTTTTTCCGTTCATATCGATTTATGCTGAGCAGCAGCTTGAATTGACCGCCCCACAGTGACTCCATATCTTTCCTGGCCCCGTTGTCTCCATCATTGACGCAGGGATATATGACACCCAGTGATTTTGCCAAGGATGGCCAGACTCTGGAGGCGACGGATTTCGTGAACTCGGAGTTGACGACTATCCGATCGCTTGCACTCATGCTCCAGCCTTCGAACCAGTCAAAAGGAAATCTGTAGATTGCTTTTGCAAGCCCGAGCAGGCCAGAACCTCGGCGATCCGTGAGCAGCTGATCTGGGAAATGGCAATAGAACAGGGTCCGTTGGCGATGGGGGTATAGCCATCTCAGCAATGGAACGCAGGCAGAGAGCTGGTCGACCACGAAGATATCGGGTTGAAGTGTGCTCAATTCATTACTCCATATTGCGATCGACAGGACCAGATGAAGCTGGCGCAGGGTCGCGAGCAGGATGTGAAAGCGATTCAGGAAAGAAGGAGGAAAGAGGGTGTCGCCGCGGACTCGAACGTCGAGGGTGCCTGTACTCACCAATCTGTCAATGATTTAGCTACGGCGAGCACACCACATCAGGGGTGGGCAACTGACCATCTCGTGCCTCCTCAAAGCAGTGGTTAGGGTCGCAATGTGATGTGAAGATTGTGACTTTGTTTCCCTGCTCTTGTAGACCAACTGCGGCATCGACAATCAACCTTTCAGCACCACCAATCCCGAGGTCTGGGTGGAAGAAGACAATGCGCTTCGATCGTGGCTGGACAGAGCCAGTCACTTTCTGTGAGGAAGCCATATTAGAAATATCTGCGAAAGCATAGGGAGAGTGGCTTCATTTCCTGTTGAATCGGTTTGTTTGTTTGGCGAAACTGTCTGCACCCGCGGGACCACGCAAGCCACGGTATGACATCGGCTGACCTTCCTCTCATGTCCAGATCTTGTTAGACGAGACGTGTTTGCTTAGGTTCTGAATGTCCGCTGCATCCATCTTTTCCAGTTGTAGAATGTTGTGCTACGTCCGTTGTTGTATCACAAGATTGCGTGTCACAGTAGGCTTGCGTCTTTGACCTTTCACCACACTACAAATGCGCTCCTTCTGATGCCCAGTTGCGACCCAAAAACGCAATCAAATGTCTCCCGCGCCAGGTCGCTCATCGGGTAATCTCAAGGCCCGTTAGTATTGGTGTCCTCCGCCACTTTCCCGCAGAGGATGTGATTGGCAGCACCTAGAGTCGTGGACCACGGTGGCCCGGGACTTTTCATGCGAGCAGGGCTAGAGTGGAGACAGCTATCACGAATGGTACCCATGAAATCTGGCATACCATACCCTAACTGTAGTAGGTGCATGGCTCCGGATGCGGACACTGATAGAGCGTGCAGATTGCGAGTCGAGAAAAGAAACATGAGCTCAATAGGGTACGTCGTCTCCGTCCCGTCTCTTCCTCTGCTCTATCGATTTCTTTACCACCACCTTCGCTTTGCTCTTCTATGAGTGTCGCGCCTGCAGGTGTTTGATCGGCGTGCATTCACTTCTTCATCTTCCGCGCCTTCTGTCCCTGAAGCCGCGTCTCTGGTTCCGGAAACTTCATCTGCGCCTGGCCTAATTATCTCCAGCCATCCCCTCGCTTCACTCATTGCTCATCGTGTTCGACCATTCGCTTTCTTCTCTACCACTTTTGCATAATCCAAAGCTCAACTGCTCGGTCACCATGACTCAGGTAAGGTGGTGGTACCTCTCCCTACAAGACGAATGCTGACCCCTCGACAGCTCAAAACTACCTTCCTCGCCCTCGTCGCCCTCTTCGCGTCCTATGTCTTGGCTGTCTCCCCGCTCGTGGTTCAAGGGTCCGACTTCGTCAACAGTGTCGATGGCACGCGTTTCCAGATCATTGGTGTAGCGTAAGAGCAGACACTGCCATGGCTGAGGCACAAGCAAGACGCTGACTGAATTTTGCAGCTATCAACCTGGCGGTTCTTCGGGCTTCAATCCAGGCTCTGGAATTGACCCGTTGAGCGATGCTGATGTTTGCCTCCGAGATGCCGTGCTCATGCAGCGCCTGGGTGTCAACACTATCCGCGTCTACAACCTCGATCCGGATTTGGACCACTCTGCTTGCGCCTCCATCTTCAATGCCGCCGGCATCTACATGATCCTTGACGTCAACAGCCCCTTGCCCAACCAGTCCCTGAACCGCGGTGCGCCATGGGAATCGTACTCTTCTACCTATCTGGAGCGCGTTTTCGATGTCGTGGAAGCCTTCATGAACTTCAACAACACCCTGGGATTCTTCAGCGGGAACGAGGTCATCAACGAGGATTCGGTCCCGGAGGTTCCAGCCTATATTCGGGCAGTTACTAGAGACCTCAAAGATTACATCTCGAAACAAGCTCCACGACCCATCCCCGTTGGCTACTCTGCTGCTGATGTCCGCCCACTGCTCATGGGGACCTTCAACTACATGTCATGTGGGTTGGACAATGACACCAGCTCCAAGATTGATTTCTTCGGCCTCAACTCTTACTCTTGGTGCGGCGATGCCACTTTCCAGTCGTCTGGCTACGACGTCCTGGTTGGGGACTTTGGTAATACCACAATCCCAGTCTTCTTCTCCGAGTACGGCTGCAACCTGGTCACTCCACGAACGTTCACCGAAGTCCCCGTCCTGTACTCTGAGAACATGACACCCGTCTTTTCTGGTGGGCTCATCTACGAGTACAGCGAGGAGCCGAACAACTATGGCTTGATCAACTTCAATGACAACGGAACCGTTAGCATTCTTCCAGACTACAACAATCTTCGAGAGCAGTTCAATTCACTCGATGTCGATGCGCTCGAGAAAGCCAATGCCACAGCGACTTCGCTCACGCCCCCGAAATGTGCAATTAACTTATTGGGCGGATCAAACTTTAGCACCAGCTTCGATCTTCCAGCTCGCCCAGACGGTGTTGATGACTTGATCCAGAATGGTGTCTCTGGCAAATTCCCGACCGGGACTTCATCGATCACAAACACCAAGCCTTCACAGACTGTGTATGATGTCGATGGTCAAGAAATCACCGGACTCCAACTCACCATTCTGCCCAACGATCAGAGCAACTTGCCAGGTAACAACACGAGTGGAAGCACACCCAAGAGTACTCCATCTTCATCGCCGAGTGCCACGACCGCCGGCAGCGAACCTACCAACACCAACGCAGCCGCAAAGATGGACGACATGAGATTTGGGTCACTTGTCTTGGGCGCACTGACTGCGGGTCTCGTTATGCAATTGTGATTGGGTGTGACCGGGCACTACGGGACAGGGAAATGGAATGCGTGTCATACGTCGATTGTGTTTCGAATCCAGGCTTCATCCAGTGCATCTTCACACGGAACCAAAGGCATAGTTCACGTTCTTCTTCATGGACATATTTGCAATTGACTTTGCAGGTCGAAGTCTAAACACCATAAGACGTGCTAATACTGATGATTAGATGAATCCAGAAGAACGTTTATTACCACTCGAACCTTTTGTTCCATGTTCCATTTCCATTGAGATCCAACTGTTTCGCGGGGGGTTGGTACTTACTCGTACAGGTTCGGGGTGGCAGGAACTGATGGAACAAAGTTTTCATGTCATGGCTCAACCCTGGTCTTTTGGTGTGTGGCGTACATTTCTCCTTTGGGAGGTGCCAATTCTTGACTTCAGCCAGCTTGAAAATGAGGTGGTGAGGATCGGACGAATGGCGGCACGGGAAAATGAACGGGGGCGTAGCTGCCAAGACTACAGTGGGGCCTCTTTGAGGTCATACCTGTGGCGCAGCCACAATTATAGCCAATCACATCGCCCTCGGGAGCGCCTCTGGTACCCTGTGCTGCGTCGAAGTCAAAGCAGAGCGAGGTGATGCCAGCTGGTGATCGACGCCACCACGTCACCCACTTGTCCATCTATTGTTCCTCAGGACGATCGCAGACCAGGGTACACAGAAGAACCTTCGACCCCTTGCGGAAAACTACAAGAGGCTCCAGCCGCCCCCATATCTCTGTCGTACTCTCGTTCTCCTTCGCATCATCCTCTATTCGCGCGACGAAGCTTACGCTTGGAACTCAACCCCTCGATCGACGTCTACACACCATGGCTATCGGCGGTGTCATCCTTCGCTTCGGCCAAACAGGCCTGCGACTTCTCGAGTTTGCGTCCTCTGCCATCATTCTGGGTGTCTACAGCTACTTCCTAGCCGTCATGGCCGACAAGGACATCCACATTCCAACATGGGAGAAGGCTGTTGAAGGCATGTCTGGAGCGGCAGTTCTGTACACCATATTCGGCGTCCTCTTTACCCTCTGCCTCGGGGGCGTCTCTTTCTTTGCGCTCCTTGCGGTCTTCCTCGATATCTGCTTCGTTGGCTGCTTTGCTGCCATTGCCTACTACACCCGTCACGGCGCCAACTCATGCAAGGGCTTCGTCAATACTCCTCTGGGTTTCGGCCTTGACACTGAAGCTGCACCGGGTGCTGGTGACTGGGGATACGTGTGCAGTCTGAATACTGCCTGCTTCGCCATGGCCGTCTTGAACATCTTCCTCTTCCTGGTCACTGCGGGCATGCAAATGCTGCTGGCCCGTCACCACAAGAAAGAAAAACGCTACGGACCTAGCCCCGCCAACAACTACACCAAAGGTATCGGTCGTCGACCATTCTGGAAGCGTAACCGCGCAACTGGATCGACTCGTGACGCAGAAATCGCGACAGGGACTACTCCCCCAGCAGCTTACCGTCCCAGCGACGAGACTGGTATGACCGGCTCGACGATGCACGGTACCCATGTGCCTGTTACTTCTGAGCCGAAGTATGGCCAGCCAGGCTACGGTATGCAAGGATACACAGCTCCTGCGACCAACTACTAGCTGTGTACGATTTGAGGCAATAGGACGGCGCCAGTCATTTTTTTCTGTCAATCAGTCCATGGGCAACCTAGCCGCCTCCAACCTTTATGCCACTGATCTTGTGAAAGACATCCCGGAGCCAACAGGGCGGAGGATTAGATGGTCACAGAGCTTTATACCAATGTGTATTAACAGCTTGTCACAATGTTACGGCGTGGGGGAGTTGTGGGTGTTCACAACGATATCATAATACGAGTTACATACCAACCACCTCACCAGCGTACAAGCTGGGTACATAATAATCACACTCGATCAAGATTCAGATTTTCACGCGTCATGTTTGTTGTTCTGCCTTGTTTTCCTGTTAAAATTGCATTCGTGTGACATATTCTCCTGGCCTTGGCTGTTGTAGGTCATTGGACAGTCTGGGTGACCACTGGTGACCAACAGAAATGTCTCTCTTGCAATTGATTGCATCACAATTTTCCGGTTTGGTGACGCCCTGATACGTCATGCAAGGGGTCAATCAACAAACATTTTCGCCCACATCCGCCCCACCAGTTTCATTGGTGTTTTGATGGGAGAAACTCCCCAGTCCACCTTCTCGTATGCTCCATCGACTGCGCCACACTTGTCCCAATGCTACTCACTGAGTTCTACGAGTCCCAACGAGCCGTGTACCCTTGCAGGCACCCCAGAGCCATCCCTCTCCTCGCGCCCTCCATTGCGATTTCTCCTACAAGCCTCCCTGCAACCTAGACACTATGCCAAATATTGCAGACTTCATGTTGAGGAGGCACAGATACGGTGGGTGAACATAACAGCAGGGGATATTGTAAACAGATGGAGATTGAGTCTGAGATTCAGTCCGCGTCGAATCAGAAAGAGGAGGAAAATGAATATTCGAACGCATGGCCAACACTTTGCTTATCGCTATACCTGTAGAATCCACGAGAGAACCGTCCCTCAAATGACACGAATGGGATAGGCGAGTGCTTGACCGTGGCACGGAATTCTCGGAACACGTGATCCTCCTCCAAAAGATTGCCTGACGCCAGACCTGATTCATCCAGCTTCTTCATCGTCGGTAGTATTTCATCTGTTTCGATAAGAGTGCCCATGTCCCTTGGTGGCAGTGTCCTTCGTCCCATCATGGGCAGGAATTGGCAATCCCACTAGTGGGCATCATGCCATGGTGTGGAGCTGTCTGATGTCTATCCATTTTGAGAACCTTCAACATGCCATTGACAAAGCATCGTCCCGACGCAGTGGATGCGGAGGGCAGCAACAGACCTCCGCTTAAAGGAGTCCAGACAGATGACTTCAATCACTTCACCGGAGCTCATGGAGCCCACGGAGCCGAAGACCTGAGCTTGGAGGAACAAACTGCTATCCTACAGGCCATGTCACTCGAGTCTCCTCCTGGCTTCGAGTCTCCTCATCCATCTCCCGGAATTGTTCAATCACCGACGAGCCTTTCGACTTTCAGCGTCCAAAGTCCTGGCACAACATCCATACCGTCAACCCCTCTCACACCTATCTCCCCAGCCGCTACGAATCCCTCCCCATCTCAGTCAAAATTTGTATCAGCCTTACAAGATGTACGACATTTTGCTGGTGGCTTGATCAGTCATCCCTACGAGTCCACCAAGCACTACACGATCCTACGGCATTCCTTTGGCATAGTATACTACAGCGGGTCGTCCACAAATCTAGCCATCACAATCTTCTCCGATAGGGAGCTACCTCCCGACCGGACTTTGTGGTTACAGCGAAGAGGCTTCTCCGGCAAGACGGGTCTGAAGATCGGGGGCTTACTAGGTGCCAGAAGCACCTGGATTGATGTGACGCCATCCACCAGGGCAATGCCGGAGCAGGTCAATCCCACTGACGAACGCGCGTGGCAGAGAGACATCAAAAAGTTTTTGAGAAAAGCTCCAAAAGAGCTTCGAGCTCATCGACCACGGGAAACGGATATCCTCCGTATTCCTTGCGATGCCGACGATGGCTATCTGAGGGTGGTCCTATGCTCTGCTGATGGAAAGCGGACGCTCTGTGGTAGCCCGGTGTTCCGACTGGCGTCCTCATCAACGGACTCAAGTGTGATCAGAGGCTCGTCCCTCAAGACCATGCCACTTGAGGCAGGCATCAGATTAGCAGCAGCTGTCGGAAGACAATTCGTCACGGCGACTGCTGGCCCATTCGTCGAAACTGCGCGGGAAACAGTAACAAACCAACTGACGTCGGTCTATCAACCAAGTGCAGTCGCCCAGCAGGTTGCTACCACCGCTTACGATCAGAGTGGCGTACAGGATCGCTTTGACAACATGAATGAGCAGTATGACACCACTCGAGATGAGTCTTATACCCGGACCCAGCTGGATGGGTACGATGCCTTGGGTCGCCCAGACGTTGTCGGACCTCCATCCGGTCCAGTGCCACCATTTCCCGTTCGGTTTCACGGAAAGGTGATCGCCGGCACCGGCAGGAGTAGAGTAACCTTGAACATGCCGACGGCTAACTTGACGGGCGTCCCTGAGGATGTTCTTTTGCGGTACCAGGGCGTGTTCTTTGGTTGGGCTGCAGTAACCCTTCCCAGCAAACTTGCTGCAGAGAGGAACATCTCAAGTGAATGGCATCAAGCAATTATTTACATCTCGCCAGACCCATATGGAAGGAGAAGTGTGGTGGAAAAGAACACTGTTCGACTTTATCTGATCCATGATTTCCAGTCGGTCGACTTCTTGGACGCTAAAGTGTCGGTCCTGATGATGGGTTACTTGCGAGCTCTCGAGCTAGAGTCCGACCAAAATCCGGACGTTGAAGCACAACAGTTTGACTTCTACAAAGATGTCGCCGTGACGAACGCAAGCTTGGCCCGATCCGCCTGGGCAGCGGATGCCACATTAGAGCGCATCAAGTCGGCGTCGTCCAATCGATCTTTGACAGAACGATACGTCGATTTCAGGCAGAGTACACAGAGACAAATTGACCGAGTCCCTGTTCATCGGTTGGGAGTTCGGACAGATGGAGCGACCATGAAGGACAGATTGATTGGAACTGGTGGAGTATGGATTCCAAGGTCACCTTTAACGCATACCGCTACAGCTTGATCAGGTCCATTCAGACCCTTCACGCTAAATCGAGAAGAGACAAGGACCTTTGACGCCTCAAGCACATCAACCGCCACATCACAACATAACGGAATGCTCACACGTTGTCAACCGTGGCTCTGGGCGGTCCGTGTTAGAAATCCCAGCAGGCGAAGAACTACCTTGTAAACCAACAGCTTGACCCCTGTGGCATGCAAAAGATCAATTGTCCAGCGCGAGGTCTTCCGAACCCTGGTAGCTCGAGGAATGGCCACCTTGTCATACGCGGTGATTGCCTCGTCAAGGGTTGAAGCATTCTTGAGTGCGTTGGCAAGGTCCCAGGCATCCATTATTGCCATGTTGGCACCGTTGCCTGCAAAAGGGCTCACTGCATGGTTTGCATCTCCGATCCATATCACGGTTCCATGCCTGAGCGGCCGATTTGGGAATGGACGTCGATCCATTGCATTGAATTGCATGATCGTTCTTGGGTCCGTTGCAGAAATCAAATTCTCGACCAAAGGGGCAAAGTTTGTTGCCAATTCCCTTGATTCTTTGAGCAATTCGTCGAGGCGCTGTTGAGGAATAGGGTGTCGCAATGGCTCCTTCATTACAGGGCTAAGACGACTCAAGGCCCAAAGCACAGACTTGTCGTCTACAGGCGCGACAAAAAGTCCGATCCCATTCGCGCCCAACACACCGCCCCAGTCACGGTCCACAGGCTCGGGGATGTCATCGTGACTGGGAAACTTGGCCGTGCCCGACCGGAGATACACGCCAGCATAATCGAGGGTGTCATTTGGTCTCAACAGAGAGCGCACCTTGCTTCGGGCTCCATCAGCAGCTATAAGGATGTCGCCCATCACAGTCACGCCAGTGTTGAGGGTGACTCGCATTCGACCGTCATCGGTCGCCTCTGCCTCCGTCACAGTCGTTTCCCAGTGGATTTGGGCTCCCGACTCTATAGCGGCTTCGGCGAGAACTTTCTGCAGAGCGTTACGGCGAATTCTCATGCCGAGCAGGATTTTTGGCCCGATTGGTGGCGTCGCGAGACGCAAAAAGGGGCGAAACTGAGGATCCCAAAGGTTGAAGAAACCACTCTCTTCTGGAGTTCTCCCAGCCTTGACACTCACGCCCCTTACAAGATCATACAATCCTAGGGAATCCAAGACCTGAACAGCACCGGGATCGTTGTCTGTTCTCAAAGATAGACTATACCCTTCACGTCCGATACGGTTCTCATAGCTATCTCGCTCGTATATGATGACTTGGGGTCTTTGTCTCCCCGAGGAACTCGCAGGAAATGTTTGGGCAATCGCAGCGGCAAAGGTCAATCCAGCTATGCCACCCCCTGACACGAGGATTGTTTTGCCGGCCAGGAAATCAGCAGGCAGTTCCATAGCCGATGGAGCCATTGTGCTTAAAACAAGAACGAGCAATGAGATGATTGCTGCCACTGTTCCAATGCTGCTATGTACACACCCTCCAGGCCGCTCTGTTTCCTGGATCCTTATATAATATTCCTCCACCCTCGAGGACTGTCATCGGGATTAGGACTAAGCTCAGGCAGAACAATTCTTGGGAATAGATGCAGGGTTTCGGTCTGCAGGCCACCAATCAAGCACCTGGGGAATCCTTCCATTCCAGCACCATCTCGCCCTCTAGAGTAAGCAATCTCGAACCTTGTTAGCTTAGCCTATGACCTCGTCAATGTGACGACCTCCAGAAAAGGAGACGGGGCCCTGCGAAACGAATACGACGGCGTTCACATGGCAATTATCCTCGGTCAACCTGCCTTGTGCTTCCCCAGACTCGACGATCCTGGACTCCTCGTCGAACCGCTCCATCTTTTTGCCCCTCACTTCGGAATTTCCCAATCAAGGATCCCGCGGAGGCAGAAACCGTGGGTAGTGGGGAGCTACACAACGGGGAACTGTGCAACTGGAGACAAGTTGGACGGAAGCAGTGTTGGTCTTACAGGTGGTGGCAATGAGCGGGGTTGCAGCACAACAGGCAAATGATAGAGTCCAGCGGGATTCCGAAAGCGACTGAAAACACTTCAACGGTGGATCGGGTCGGTCGAAAGCAGAGCGGAGTTCCCGCTTAGATGGGATGACGACTTGTTGGAGAGTTACTATGAGGATGATTCTATCGCCTTCGTTCTTCCCCTCTCGTATATCAGATTCCAGTCTCGCCGTCTTCTTGGAATCGATCTCTGTCACAAAGCATAGACATCTCCCTATTAGGCTCCCTTAGGTTACCCGGCTTTTTTACCTGCCGCCATGGCGCAAATGAATGCAGTTCGTTTCTACGGTCAACGCGACATCCGGCTCGATCAGATCCCCGTCCCCGCCGTCAAGCCAGGGCAGGTCAAGATCGCGCCCAAGTTCTGCGGCATCTGCGGCTCGGATCTGCACGAGTATCTCGGCGGGGCGAACCTGATACCGCAAGAAGGACACCCGCACCCGATCACGGGTGAGACGCTGCCTCTGACGCTGGGCCACGAATTCAGCGGCGTGGTCGAGGAGGTGGGCGAAGGCGTCGAGAAAGTCAAGCCCGGCGACCGCGTCTGCGTGCAGCCCACCATCTACGACGGCAGCTGCCGCGCGTGTAAACGCGGACTCGTCAACTGCTGCGACAAGAATGGCTTCGTGGGCCTGAGTGGCTGGGGAGGCGGGCTGTGTGAGCACATGGTCGTGCCCGAGAGTTGCGTCAAGCCCTTACCAGACAACATCCCCTTGGAGGTGGGTGCGCTGATCGAGCCGCTAGCCGTGGGCTGGCACGCCGTCGACATTTCCCCATACAAGGACGGCGACTCGGTGCTCGTGCTAGGCGGCGGCCCCATCGGTCTCGCGGTCGTGCAGGCACTAGTCGGCAGAGGATGCAAAAACATCATCGTCAGCGAGGTCAGCGGCCGCAGGAGAGAATTTGCCAAGCAGTTTGGCGCGCACCATGTCATCGACCCTGTCAAGGCTGACGTCGTGGAGGAGGTCGAGAAGTTGACCGGTGGCGAGGGTGCCGACGTTGGCTTCGACGCTGCGGGCGTGCAGGTCGCCGTGGATACGGCCTTCAAGGCCATCAAGGCGAGGGGAACGCTGGTCAACATCGCCGTGTGGGAGAAGAGGGCGACGCTGCAGATGAACGATATTGTCTTTAGAGAGAGGGGTTATATGGGAGTGTAAGTTTGGTTGTCCTGGTTTCCCTGACCAAACACAACGGCTGTCTCCTTCTCCTCCCCAAGCTCGCCTGCGGTCTGGGGAATGAGATCACCTGTTCGACTAGCTCATTGACTGACCACAACTGCACCGCAGAGCCACCTACGCCCTCGGCGACTTTGAAGCCGTCATCAAGGCCATCTCAACCGGTACGTTTCTCCCCCTCCCCCCAGTATGAGATGCTCTTCATCTCATCCATCAACCCTGCATTCGCTTGCCCAACGCAACGCAACGCAACTAAACTAACATGTGTGTCGGCCCAGGCGCCATGAAACCCGCCGGCATGATCACCAAGACGATCAAGCTCGACCAGGTCGCCGAGGAGGGCTTCAAGACCCTGATCGAGGACAAGGAGAACCACGTCAAGATCTTGGTCGACGTGGGCGCGGGGATTTGAAGATCTGACGAGGGTTGACGTTGAGGTTTGAGGTTTGAGCGTTTGAGCGCTTGAGGAGGTCGTCCTACGAGAAGAGAAGTGGCTCGGAAGACTGAAGACTGAAGACTGAAGACTGAAGATTGCAGGCGGATCCATCGCATCAACGAATCTACCAAGGGGTCAATCTTCTCTACCGAGACCGAGAGGAAGAGCAGGATGATTGGAGAAGGAGGGTGGAGAAGAAAGGGCGAAAAGGCCAAAGGCCTGCTTCCTGGAACACGAATGTTGAGATGTATGCATGTGTCTTTGTATGTGCACCTGAGCATGAATCAAAAGCCCCAGCTACCTAAATCATGAACAAAACCTTGACGACTAATGGATCGTGATGACGGATCACGATGCCCTTCCACCTTGTGCCTTTTTTTCTACCTTTTCTTCTTCTGTTCTTTCTAATTCGTCAAAGTTCATATGGTATCATCATTGCATTGCATTATTCATTCATCATGACCCTGGGGTTTGAAGCTCGTCTGTCGTCCCGCGCGCACACTCTCTTTTGATCGCTCTCTCTGTTGCCGACACAGATGCCAGTAACTCTGTCGTGGGAATAATATTGGCGGTTGTGGTGGTGGTGATATTATCATTGATATCGTTCAGACCTGCTCTGCAGCGACAATGGTGCCCTCGTGCTGCTGTTGCTGATGCCCGGTGCGGCCGCCGCGCTCGAGACTGGGCTGGCGCGAATGGTCAGCGGTGGTCCAGCCGCTGCGGGTACCGTGGCTGACGCGGCCCCAGCTGAGGAGGCTATCGCTGTTGTTGTGGCTGTGGTAGCCGTCGGCGGAAACGAGCTTGTGCTCGGAGATGAGGGCCTTGTTGATCTCAAAGTGCTGGATGATCAGGCCGACTATCAGGGCTAGCCCGGCCAGTCCAGTCAGGAAGGCGAAGACACCGTGAAAGCCAGCGATGTAGGCGTCGATCACGGCAACGGCGCGTGCTTGAGCAGCCGAGTCACCAGCTGGCGTCTGCTTGAGTACCTCAAGGTATGCCTCGGCCTGCAGCGCGATATCCGTGGGCAGGCCCTGGCTGGCGAGTTTGGCCTTCATAACGTTCTGGAAGACGGAGCCGCCGACGCCAACACCGATAGCCATTCCCAGGCTGCGCAGGAATGCATACATCCCGACGGCACGACCCTCATCACCGGGCTTGCACGCTGCCTGAGACGCCGTGTTCAGTGCGTTGAGGTTCAATCCGTGCCCGAACCCAAGCACAATCATCTCCACCGCCCACACGGCCGTGTGCGTGCCCCGGTCCCATGAAATGCTCAAGCCCGTGCCCAGTGTCGCCAGCACCCAGCCAGTGGTGATGGCCCAGCGGAACTTGGCGGTCCGCGTGATGGCGGCGCCGACAATCACCGAAGCAGGTACAAGGGTCAGCAGCACGGGCAGGAGGGAGACGCCGGTGCGGAGTGGAGAGTACTGTTTTGCGGCCTCGAAGAAGAAAGGGATGTAGTAGAGTTGTGCATAGAGCTAAGAGGGAGAAATGGTCAACACGTGAACCCACACCTAGGGAGAAAGCCAAGGGACAAGAACTTACAATCAGGCCTTGAGCGAAGGCACCGAAATAGATGGCATGGGCCGACCACACGTGGAAGAGCGAATGTCTCAAGAAGGCAGTCTCTTTGGCACCGAACCTTTCCCATACCATGGTGGCGACCAGGCCGGCCAGGCCGACCAACAAGGGCACAAGGGTTCTCCAGTGGCTCCAAGCATAAGTGGTGCCGCCCCAAGAGATGGCGATGAGGAAGCTCGTAGCGGAAGAGATGAACAACACCCCACCGATCCAGTCGACACGGCCCAGCATCTCCCTCAGGGTGGCCTCGGGACGCCTGAGGCGGACGAACAGCGGCACAAAAACCAAGCCCACGGCACAGAATGGCAGCATCAGATAGAAGACCCAGCGCCAGCGAGTCGGGCTGGCAAAGGCACCGCCGATGATGGGCCCGATGACACTTCCCAAGGCCCATGCTCCTTGACTAGAGTGGATAGAGGTCAGTAAACGAGAGTCTCAGGCGCGGGAGATCTGGTTTTGATCGGGATGGGACATTTAGGCCAGAGAACTTACAGGACGCCGACATATTGTGGTCGAAATCGCAAGGGTACAATGTCGGAAAAGATGACGAGGGAGAGAATGATGACACCGCCACCACCGATGCCCTGCAGGCAACGGCCCACGAGCATGATGCCGATGCTGTGGGCTGTGGCGCAAAGAATGGTTCCGACGGTAAAGCTCAGCAAGACAGTGAATAGCGTCTGTGGACGCCCGACAATGTCACTGATAGAGGCAGTGAATGGCATCGTGACCGCTACGACAAGGAGGTAGGAGGTACCTATCCAAAACCCTTGCGTGGATGTCGCATTCAAGGCCTGGACAATGGTCTATGCAGCCACAGATTAGCAGGGGAGTATTTGCAGATGGTGACCAATGGTCCATACCGACAAGGCTGTGACAATGACAGTGGCGTCGAGGCTGACCATTAACGAGATGATGGCCAATGTCACCATGACCAGAGCTTCTGCTGTCGATGGCTTCCATTTTAGAGAAGGATCCTTGATGAGGGCAATATTCTGCTCAATATCGGCTCCACTCTGCTCTTGTTTTTGTCCGTCCATGATGGACTGCGGTTTTGTATCAGTGGGAGAGGGGTTTTGTTTGTGTTCAAACTGCAGGTTGAGAGGTGAAGAAGGTAGACGAGATGTGACCTTGGGACAGCTACTTGTGACGAGCATCGTGACAGATGATTCTGGAGGGCATATAAGATGTTTGTCTCATCTGTGACGGGCCGTATAGTCCGCGGGGATGATGGCAGCAACCCATAATTGTCACTGGAGCGTAAGCACCAGGACGACATGGTGGAGGTGAAGCTGCTGCACTGCCTGCGCGTGTGTTTATAGACAGAGATAGCATTTTCAGGGGCAACTGAGTGAATTGAGGATTGCGATGGCTGGTGTCTGTGTGGGGGACGCAGTCACAAAGTATAGAGTGCAGGAGAGGGATTCGGCTGCCCCCTGATCATCGTGCGCTTCAAAGCTTGGCGTTCATCTTCCCCCTTCCTCGTTAGGCAGGTAGGTAGATCCGACTCGCCGAGAACCAAGTACCAAAGTCTCTATTGTGCTGATGGTGTTAATTTTGGTCACTGTTGCGTATTCTACTGCTCGAATTTTGCTCGATGTATCGCCCAAATCATCAGTTGCCGACGCTGTTCCTCATCCGGAGGCATTACGCGAGCTGACACTGGCTCCCGGGCCCATCTCTGGTGATCTTGAACCCACCCGCGGCCGACTTTAATAAGCCGTAGGGCTGCGACTAGGAGCCTCAAGGTTAGCCCGCCACACAGCGGAGCTGCCGTGGGCCAAAGAGACTCAGCCGCACTGAGGGAATTGGCAAACCGACACGATCGACCCGCCGGGCAACTTCGGCCACGACCCATGCCATGTAATCACTTCTATATCCTCCTCCAGCGCCCTCCAGCGCTATGCTGCATCCTCGTCTCTTCCTCTGGCCTTCTCAAACCATTCCATCACTTCGAACTCCCAGGTACACCCCTAAAGCATTGACTGAGCGACGATCCTCACGAATAAGAGATGTCAGAGATACGCTGGTGAAAAAAGGGAGTCGGCATGCCAGGTACCGTATACCGTGCTGGTTTTTGTTGCACAAGGGCCTTGATTTGGCAGCAGACTCCAATGGGCCACTCAGGACATGATGGAATATCCAGAGAGTAGACGTGCAGCTGCTCGCTTGTTGGACGTTGTCATTCAATTCCGTCTAGACCCGTGTATGTCGATACATTTAGATACGCTCAATACACCAACTCTGTCTCCGCCGTGTCCGCCCTTGCTTTGCCTGTATTCATGGTAATTTTTCTCTTGTATATTTCGACTTTCGCAGGCCTCAACTTCCAACATGAGAATTGTCTCTTCTTCACAATATTTGCGTCCCTTAGTTTTTGAGATCAGGATTTGTGATCAAGGCATATCCATACCCATACCCATAATCCCAAATCCCACTCCTGATCCCACGCCTTCCCCACAGGTGGTCCCACTCAGCCTCGCCGCTGACTCTGAGAGCGTTCGTCCGTCGAGTAGGATCGTGGGACGTGCCGACAAATCCTCCGGAATCGGGCCAAAAGCCGCGCTGGCCCCCAACGCCTGGTCGAATGAGTTCCCCTCAGAGATCGACGTCGCATTCCAGTTCACCATGCGACTCAAATTCGCCTTCCAGTGGTTCCTTCTCACCTCAGAATGGCCCTCAACTGCTGTCCACCGGTAATCAGAAGGTCACCGAGCGATCCACCGCCTCGCTGGCAAAGGTCCTCGCCGAGAGGGCCGATGTCCTCCCCTTGTGCATGTTTGGTGGATTGGTCGAGGCCTCGAGCAATCTTAAAACCCAGTCAAAGGAGAAACAAAAACTCACCTGGATCAAGGTCGAGCCTGGTACGAAGTGAGCATGGTCGGGGTCGACTGCGGATCAAAACACCAAATCTCTTCTGCTCCACCAGAGAGTTTCATCGTTGTCGTGGTATTGGTCCTCAACCGCTCCGCCGGACGCTGTAAGAGGAACGGACGGCAAAAACAACCACATCTGGGTTCAGGTACAGACAGTGCGGGATCTGTGTCAGAGCTGCAAGGTCGAGAAATACGCTGTGGTGGATACCTCCGAGGAGGCTTCCACTGGGTGTCCACCACATGGGAATGGAACAGGCAAAGCCGAGGTGACCAAGGGTTTCCCAAGCCTCATTCATACATTGTTGCATCCTACATAATCATACGTAGTCATAGCATGAATTTTCTCAAGTGTCCTTGGCAGTGAGGGAGAATCACCTTTTTCTGATGTCCATATGCTGAGGATGACCGTATCAGGAATCGGGATTCTAAAATAGGATCTGCCTGGGGCTGGCCAGCCATATGGCGTCACTGGGAGTCCCTGGCGCCACCAACGCTAGTTGAGGCTCACCGGCCCCACCAGCCGTGGCCTAGTGCCACGTCCACAATCACTTCCCACCTACACAGACATCATTGCCATTGCCATGCCGTCCACCACCATTGACGACAGCATCCTCTCTGCTCTTCAGGCGGACTTCAACCTCGTCAGTCGAAGCTTTCAGTCCGCTGCGAACGAGGCCCCGAGGTTGCCGAATTGACCTGCAGTCGCTGGCGACGGAATGGAGCAAATGGGACAAGAGACGAGAGAACAACCTGGTCGTTCTGAAGAGAAACCTGCGGCTGTTCAGTAGAAATCGATGCAATTGAAGTGGAGGAAATAGATGACATTATAGGACCATTTATGGAAGCGCTCCTGGTACCACCCGGGCAGCGGAACAGAGGCAATTGAGTCCCAACATCGGCTTGAGAGCAGATATCGAAACACGTGCCTGAAGACTATGAATCTTCAGGTCCAGAGGAAAGTGTCCTCTCATACACTAACCACAAAGGACGCAGTTGGTACTTAAGCTTGTCGAACCTGACGCGCATACATTCATTTCATCGGCCAGCCCGAGGTTATGGAGTAAAGCCAGGGAGATTGTTTTGATCGTCTCCGGAGCTGGTGTCCAGCGAGAATGTTGCCTCGCGGGCGTGCCCGAGAGAATGATTTGGAGCTGTTGGAGGCGCTTTGTTGCCCGAGACACTGGGAAATGTCGCTCCCCTTGCCCATCGATAGAAGCTAGGGGATGCTGCTATGTCGAGTGGACATTAAAAGTATCTGCGAATACCCGCGGCCTCTTGTGCTGTGGGTGGGTGCTAGCACATCCTTTCGTTCTAGATATTTCATAATGCCTTCATTCATCCGGCCTTATCGTTCTTGGACTTTGATTGCTCGAGACGCTTCAGTTCGTCGCGGAGGAGCTGCTCTAGCCCTTCGTTCCGCCGAGTAAGCAGCATGACATCGTCCGTTTTGATCGTAGATCTTCCTGCGTGTTTGGCAAACGCTTCGAGGTCGACAGCGGCATTTCCTGGACCCATACTCGTTTCTCAGTCGAACGATCTCTCCATTGTCAGGCAGCAGCCGGAGAATAAAAGATTCCTACCGATTTGTGCCCACACGAGCTCCATCAGACTGCCGATGAATTGGGGTGTCGCATTGACCCCGAGATTGATACTCTCTTCATCGACCATCTTTCCGATCTGGAACCATAGCGCAGAGCGAAGTTTCTGGGGCGGTGTTAGCCCTTGACACTCCACCACTTGACATCAAATCCTCGGTGTCCTTTGATAGAGCGCGAGAAATGGGGCGGGCCTTACTTTCTGCAGAGATTCCGCCTCTGTATCGTTCGATGAGGCCATCACGAGTAAATGGGCGACAGAGAGGTGATGTGAGTAGTTGGTACATGCGTTCAATTTGCGAGCTTGACAGCGTGGTGGCACCGTGTAAAGTGGAACGCGAAACTGACGCGTAAGAGGCAAGTGCAGCACTACGGTTGTCCATGTGCTCCACGAATGTACAACGGTAGAGCAGAACGACAGCGGTGACCTCTGGAGTGCGCTCAAAGCTATGGTACCAAGTACCTCGTCATGCTTGCACGAAAGCTACTATTTCCAACCTCAATTGTCTTCTCTCTACACCAAATAACTCTCTGCGGACCACAGGTCTTGACTGTACCCGTGTACTTCCAATCGCCAGCTACTCCCTGCTATAGAACGACAACCTGCGTACTGTGAGAGGCCACGCTGTGAGACAAGGCCGACCAAGCCATCATGTCCAACTTCACCTTCCCGGACATCCCCACGCTCCTCGAGCCATACATTCCCCCGGCACTGCAGGCGTACTTCACCCGGCAGAACCTGCAAGCGGTCGTGCGCGTCATCGTCGGCATATCGACGTACATTCTCTTTCGACCGCACCTGGAGTCCCTTTTCCGCAAGGTGACGGGGACTCCGGATCGGCGAGAGGAAGAGGCCCGGGTCAGGGTCGAGTACCTCCGGCAGCAGCAGGAAGCGGTTGCCGCCGTTGCAGGGGGACAGGGCAAGAGTGTGGGCATTGTGGGGAAAGACGGGAAGATATATCAGGTTGTGCCGCCGCAGGGAGGGCAGCAGCAGCAACAGGCAGGCGGAGGAGGGAAGAATGAGAAAGGTGGTCGGAAGAAGGGCGGGAAGGGGAAGGCGTAAGAGTTTCTGTTTTCCTGCGGCCTCGCGCCCGTGGGCTCGAGAAGATCAGGTCGTTTCACTGTCGTTGCATTGGGCCCCGGTTCACTTGGAGAGAAGACATATATCATTACGGCAAAGGGAGGTCTGAAGCAAGCGACAAACGGATCCTTGTCACCCTGGGGACCTGCTACTTCAACCGCGTCACTTTGAGTGGAGGGAAGTGATTTGCCACTTTTATGCCAGAGCGCCAGCCGTAACGGTAGAGAGAGCGTCTAATACTTGGAGGAGAATGGCAAGTATGCAGAGAGAGCTGGCAGAACCGGATCCTGCATCAACGAGAACAAATCAATCGAGACTTTTCAGCAGGTAGAAGCTATTGTTGTGTTTAGCCTCCCCCAACCAACACTGAACAGACACGATTTCGTGTCAAAGGCTGCGCAAATCTCACAGCCTCCCTCTAGCCAAAAACCTCACGGGGACATCGACGTATCGTGCCCTCAAGTACTCGGCGCAATTCTTGCCCAAAAAGTCCACGGTGCTGGTACTTCCGGCGCCTCGATCCAGCAGGTTCCGGAACAAGAAATGCACGCCTCTCAGATTCGGCAGTTCGAACCTCTCGATTTCGAGCTTGGGCACCCGCGTCTCGTCCCACTCCTTGCCCAACAGGAGTTTGACGGTCTCGACGGAGAGCAGGTTTTTCAGCCACACGTATTCGTCCTCCCGCGCGACCCAGAAACCGCAGTTGCAGTCCGACCCTTTATCGCCGGAGCGGGCATTCACGATGGATCCCAATGGAGCTCGCTCGGTCGGGCCGAACTTGGAGAGGTCAACTTGCAGTTGTGTGACTGGCTGACTCGGCTGCCTCTCAGCGAAGACGTTGGTGACGGTCGGCGGTGGCACGAGTGTTTCTCGCCCGTTGAAATGCACCACGTGTGACACCTTTGCTTGGTCCAACAGAGTCACGTAATACTCAAAGTACGGTTTGGGGAGACCCTGACGAAAATCCAGATGGAATGTCCCTCCTGGGTACGCCTGCATGATATTGTCAATCACGGGTCTCAGGAACTTGGGCGCGGAGATGTCGCTGGCGTTCTTGCCTTGCACGAATATTCGAAAGATGCACGTGGCGGCATTTTGGTTGTCGGCGTCGACAGCCGGTGTTCCCAGGACGGCGAAAGACAATGTCGTGAATTTGTCCGAATATGGCTTCAAGCTTTTGCGCAGCTGTGCCTCGGTCATGCGCGCCTTTTCGGCAATGTTCAATCCAGTCAGGAAGTACCAGGCCTCAGCCTGGAATCCGCCGCGAGCGGTGATGCCGACTTTGGTCGTCGGAGGCGGCGGCAGGGCTTTGACGCCGTGCAATGCGACACGGTCGGGGCCGAGCTGTTCGAACCACAGCTGGTCCAGGACGGCGGTGACATCGCTGTTGAAGTACCAGGGTCCTTGGATCTCGTACAGTAACTGCGACGAGCATGTGTGGACCGTCACCGTCCCGCCTGTGTTCTTCTGTTTCGTGATGACCACCTGGCCATCTTGCGAGATCTCTGCGATGGGGTACCCGATATCGACCCACCGACCCCCGGCCTCGAGACTCTTGAAGCCAGTGAAATTGCCACCGGTGACATATGTCGAGCACTCGATCAGGTGGCCCGCGACGAAGGCGTTGGCCAACTGATCCAGGTTCTCCCGCGACCACTGATGGAACCACGCCGCGGCGCCAATGACGGGCGACGCATCCGCGACCCGGCCACAGACGACGATCTGGGCGCCCTGCCGAAACGCCTCGGCGATGCCCATGCCGCCCAGGTAGGCGTGCGCGTAGATGGGTTCAAACTCCCAGCTCTCGAGCACCTGGCCCGTGTAGACGTTCTTGAACTTGGACGTCCCGCTCTTCATTCCTGCGTTGATGGCCGGCAGAACCTCGTCGCCCGAGATCCACGCCACCTTGATCTTGTCCTGCAACCCTTTTTTCCGCACCATCTCGACCACGACATCATACAGTCCCTGCACGTCCGCGTTCCCGGCGTTGGCGGCGACTTTGATGCCGTGCCTGGCCAGGTCTTCCAGCGCCGGCTCCAGGGCCTCGAGGAACGAAGCTTCAAACGCCGGTCCAGCGGCCCCGAGGGGGTTGTCGCTCGAGGCTCCCTCAGCCGTCGACTGCGCCGCGTCTACCTTCCTCCCCGCCCCGATCGCCATGTTCACCTCGGACATGTAATCGGAGATGATGACGTCGATGGGATCCGAGACGTGGTCCCTCGCGAAAGCGGCCATGGCATGGCGCCGGTCAGAGGCGGAGCCGGACGCGCCTGGTCATTGGGGGCCCCCAGAGACATTGTCAGCAGGTGGAGGGGTGCAGGAAGAGGAAGAAAAGGGAAGTTGATGGACTGAGTGACTGATTGCTGGATTGATTGGACGGGTACTTACCTGCTATACGAACTGGTCTGGACGCCATGGTTTGGTATCGAATGGTATTTTGTTGTTTCTGGATCACCTTCTCTTTCTCGCTCCCCCTCGTTTTCTCTGATTCTCACAGTCTTTCTCTCTCGTGTCTCTCGTTACTCGTCTCTGGCGTCTGTGTACCCCCTCTCCTCATCGAAGAATGTCGAGAGACAGAAGCGGGACTTTTGATGCCGATAAGTTTTTGGCCCTTTTTGCCGTGCGGGGGAACAAAGCTTCAATACATACAATAAATATACCGAGTCCAACTAGCACGTGTACGAGGTACCAGTGTCAGATACCCAAGTGGCCGGGGTGTTTATCTCGGTATGTAGGTACTCGGTACTGTACTCGTAGAATATACAGTACGAGGTAAGGATCCGTGAATGGTGTCTGAATCAATGCAGATCGAGAGAGGGGAGAGAAAGCCACAAAGGGATTTATAATTTGGTCAAAGCTCAAAGTTCATTCATTGATAGCCACCGCAGCGCCCAACCCTACTACTCGGGACTTCTATACGTGATGCTCATACATGGATGGGCCTGGGGAAATGATGAGTCGGCCCCCCAACCCAGTTGGGGAAACCCACGATAGCCCGAGGTCTTTAATACGTAGCGCCGAGGCTCTGGAAAACGAATCCGTTGTCACCCAAGCTGGGTGGTTGGCTGTTGAGGAGTCGGGATTTGGCCCTCACTAGGTATACCGAGTATAGCCACATACATAGCAAAACGAGAGGCATCCAGCCTTCAACAATAAGACTAGTCAGTGGCAGCATGAGGTAGTCGACAAAATAATCGGGTAATGGGACAATGGCAAAACACAAAACATATTGCAAACGAATACCAGTGTCAATGATTGTCTTGTCTTGGTCCATTCAGTTCAAACCAACACATGGTTGCCTTCATACCAGCTCAGCCCATCCAATACCGATCGTTGCTTAGTACCTCCCTATTCTTTTGCCATGTGAGCTGAGGGAGTTCATGGGGACCTCTTGGGCACCTCTTGGGCCGTATGAGACTGAAAAAGAAAAGGAGAGTAGTAAAGGGGAAAAAAAAGAAAGAACCATTTCTGTCAACTGATTGTCATCACCACCCGGGGTGCCGTTTTTGCAACGATCCGTCCATGCTTCCGCTCCCTTGCCGTGAGTGCTTCCCAAGCACATGCTAATGCCTCGTTTTCGTTGGTATCGTATCGTCACTCTCAACCAAAAAGCGAATGCCGTGTTTGTTCGATCATGTTGTACACAGCCGGCTGCCGGTGCTAAGGGACAGTCGGGTGGTCAGGGGTCATCGCAAATGTGAAATGAAAGAAACTTTTCTGTTGTTCTTGGACAAACACCCTCCCATACCAACGATAAACGACGCTAAGGTTTCGATTTTGCGCGCTGCTTTCAACGACTTGACAAATGAAAACGTTTGCTTTTTCCGCTCCCCAACAGGAAAAAGCATTGCCCATGGACGAAACGCCTGCTGCGCCGAGGTTTGTCAAAACGTTTTCACTGCCTCGAGGTCAGTATCGCTCCATGGTAGGAGTGGGCACAGGGCTGTGACCGACCTTCAAAGGCGCATAGGGCCCAAACGAGTGGTTGGGAGCCATGCCCATCGAGGGGTAGATCGGAGGAGGTGGCGCAGGGCGGTAAGGCGTGCCCGCTGGACCAGAGTTGTTCTGGCTACGTCCCCAGCTCAGGCGGACCCGCGAATTGCCAATGGGATAGCCTTGCATCTGGTTGATGGCCATTTCAGCGGCATGGCGTTGGACGAATTGGACAAAACCGCAGCCCTTGCCTGGCGGGATCTTGACATAGGTAATCTCCCCGAAGCCCTGGAAGAAAGAGCGCAGTTCATCCTCGGTGACATATCCAGACAAGCCCCCAACAAAAACAGTCGTGTTGTTGGGATCGGTGAACTGGTTCATGGGTTGGTTCATAGGTTGTTGCTGGCCGTAGTACCCCATAGCTGGCTGACCCATCGTGTACATGCCGGGGTTTGGAGCCATGTTTCCCATCGGTCCACCCTTGTTCTTGGGAGTCGCAGTAGAAATGCGCATGGGACGGTTGCCGCAGTAGACGCCCTGCATCTCGCTGAGGGCGCGCTGCTGGTCCCCTTCATCCGAAAAGCGAACAAAACCATATCCACGCGACATGCCCGAGATAGGATCGGTCATGATCTTGGCCGACTTGCAAGAGGGGAAACGGCCCTGGAAGAGCGAGACCAAGACAAACTCATTGACTTCAGGACCGAGGTCACCGACGAAAATCGAGTACTCGGGTCCACGGTCGTCGCGGCGATCAGCGAGACCGCCTCCGGAGGCCCAGTTGAGTTTGAAGGGGCGGTTCGAATTGGGTATCTGGGTCCCATGAAGCGAAAGGGCCTTGGCCGCAGCTTGATGGGACGTGAAGTCGACAAAGCAATAGCCAGCGCTGCTGCTACCACATGAGTTCAGAGACGTGCGAGGGAGGGGGTTGGCTTTGCCAGAACTTACCCTGAATACTTGTCGCGGATCATCTTGACGTTGACGGTCTCACCAAGTGAGAACCAGACGCTGCGAATAAAGTTCTCGTCAATCCAGGGTTCCAACTCTCCCATCCTGGCCGCGGCGTCAGTAACACAATCCGAGATAATGTGGAACCCAGCTTCCAACTCACCAAAGGGTGGTTTTTCCCTCGGTGTTTGCACCGGGCGGTGCTACACCTGGAGCATCAGAGTGCGTGAATTGCTGTGGACTCGGAACGTCGACTGGCTGACCCGGAACAGCTCCATCCTGAGTGGGAACTTGGCCCGGGGCACCCTCCTGCGGGGGGTTTGAAAATTGACCGTATTCAGGGAAAGACATGTTGAAGGACGAAAATGAAGATGATGAGCTTGAAGGCTAAAGTACACTTCCTGTGAGATGAGTCAGATTCTATGCTCAATTTTTGACGGTGGACCTCTCCCGCAAAATTTCCACGGAGCTGTCTTATGGTGGTCGTCGCGGTCATCGGGAGGTGTGCGGATGTGGGCTGGACATACCGAGATCGACTAGACAGATGTCTCTTGCTAGAGAAGTTGCCGCGAAAAGGGATATTTGAGGAATTATGTGGACTTTTTTGACAACTGAACCAACTTTTGTCGCACAAGAATATCCCGAACGGCGAATGTCCAAGGCAACAGGGTACAAAGCGATCGCAAGGAGTCTTTGGGAATCGAAGGTTGTTCTGAAGTCTGGCAGAAAAAAAAGGTCAGCGCATGCGATGTGATGAAGAAAGACGTGAAGTAGGTGGAGACTTCGTTGACACCCGAGCTGTGAAGAACAACATTGCAGTGATTCTAGCTGGTTTTGCGACCGTGGCTCCTGTGACTAGTGCGACTCAGGTGATGTCTGAGCTGTGATGATGCTCTTCAGTCGTCGTTGGTGTTGATGTCGCCCTTGGATTTCCAACCTCCATCTACCATGCGAAGCTTGTAGCAAGCATCGCCTCGTACACAGCGACGCACCTGGCCGATATCCGTCTCTTGGGTTTCGCGCACGGGATGAGGGAGGCTGGGAGGGGCGAAGGCACAAGCAGATCAAGGGCTTGCTATACATACCGGATCAAATGCGCAGTGGTTAGATGGGGCCAAAAATGTCAGTGCAAGCCACAGATCAGACCAGACGCAAACGTGAGGAACTCCGAGAAGAGCAGGCGCCAATGGAAGCAGGAAAGCAGAAGCAGAACTGCGATATTAAGAGGGACGCGCGCAGGAACAAGAGAGGTCGAGAAGATGGAGGGGTGAGGCAGAGAAGAAAGACGAAGTGGAAAAGTGCGGGAAGCACGACTAAAACTCAACTGAGAGGAAGGCATGAGAACCGGGTCGGGGGGTTCGAGCTTCGTCCAGGGCCCTTGAGGTGTGGGTGTGGGTTGGGCGCGAGGGGTTACTCGGGGGCCACTGGGCGACCCAAGGGCCACTGAAGACAAAGTTGCAGCTAGCTAAGGTTTGAGCTTGGAGCCTTAGAGGCACCAGAAGGGGGAGGCGGAAGCCTAGTGAGCCTGAAAGCTTGGGGGGGCATATTTAGGCGAACAGATGATGACGGGAAATCCATGAAAACTCTTCCCTCGATGACATGAGGATGATGAACCGCAGGACCGCAGAAATGAGAGAACTATCTTCTCCATCAACGTTTGGCTTTCTTCTACTACGACTCGTACTAACTCAACACCTACCTCACTGCGCCGTTTCTTATTCTGTTTGCCTTTGCCAACGACCAGCCTTGTCTCGACTTCATCCCACACTCTACAGTTTAGAGGAATCGCACCATCAACAATCCCCCCGTGCCTCTCCTAGCTCCCCAGCTCACCAACAACCCTCTCCCCCCCATTCACCCATGTCCACTTTCAGCTCCGAGGTCTTCCTGCCCCAGACTGCTAGTTACTGTAAAGAGTAGACACCATACTAGCCATGCAGACCGTGGATTACGCCACAGATGAAAGGTCCTGTCAACAAGGACCATGTTCTCGACATTCATTTGTCCTTCTTGCCGCGTCACACGCCCTGATCTCGCACCATCGAGCAGCCTGCAGTGAACACTTCTAGCCAAAAACAGTCTTCGGCGGGCTTGGGGACTCCTTATCCACAAAAGTCTATTCCCTCTTCTGTCCGAAACTCAATCCCATGCCAGGATAGCATCTACACTTGGGAGAAAAGAGGATGTTGTAGCAGGGCACTCTGGTGATTCTTCAGCTTCCAAAATGCGGGCCTCGAGCCCTCTTGGTTGTCTCGTTTTGTTCGGATACATACATATGTTCGTTGACAGCTGTCATTGCCAGGTTTGGTGCAACATCAAAGACATCCCCGAAGCGTGTTTGTTGATGCCCAAGGCCATCGTGCGCACCAATCATGCCGCTTAATTGATGCGATGACCTGCATACCCGAACAATCCAGTTGACCGATCGTCCAGCCGCCGGCCTCGCCTATCTCGAACTCCGTCCTCCTCTTGGTGATCCGTTGGTTACACCAAACTACTCATCCCCACCGATGTCGAGTGTATGCTGGGGAAAATTGTTTGGTGTCAGCAAACAGATGCTGAGGCTCGAAAGATTCCATGGCTGACGCATCTGGATGTTTTGTCAGGCCACATCAGTCAGGCACGCAGGGGTCAAGGCGTAGCCTCGATCACGGGTCTCACATTCTCCAAGAAAGGCACCAAACAACCATTCGGAAATCTCTGCCGAGCAAATGGCTCGCTGATGCAAGAAACTTGGCCTGTCATCCGGGTGCGGTGGGGTCACCCTAATTGTCCTTTGGACGTGGCCCGTGGTGGCCCAAGCTTCCGGCTGAAGATACACTGAGATATCGGATACGAGATCGTCGGCAACTAGGCAAAATGTTGTGCTTGAGCATGAACCCCTCAAGAGCTTTCTCTGATCGCGACACGAAACAGGGCATCCTAGACCAAAAACAAAACCCATACCCTATCTCAGCTACGGCTCTCTCTCTCGACAAGAATCTTCAAGAACCCTACGACCGCTTTTTGCCGCAATCGCCCGGCCATATCGGCCACCCCTGCGCTTGGCAGATCCCAATTGCGCTTGGGCGTCGTGGGCGTGCGTCGGTGGCTTTCGGCCCTTGCCCGAAACAGCCTGGGTGAAGCTCGGATATTGTTGCACCTCTGTTCGGATGCCCTGATCAGCGTCCTGATTGAACAGAAAAGATCGGGGAAGATGGTGTAGGGGGAAACGGGGTACCTACAGCGTGATCCCGCGTTTTTGGGTGTGTGCTTTCTCCTCGTTTTGCCCTTTTCTGCAATTTACCCCCTTTGCATCCAAAGCGGTGGGCTGAAGAAAATCCCCTTCCCCTGTGTGATGGCGAATTGCATGGCCGAATTGTTTGGCCAGGCTTCGAGCCGTAGCCAATTACTCTCCCATCTGCAACCCTTTTTTTTGGGTTCTACAGCCTGCTGTACAGGATCTCGTGTAAATCTGTTCTTAATGCACAGCTTGACAGCTTAGTCTAGTCTCATGTGGCAAATACACACTTTTGAATTTGTCTTTGTCTGCAAGTCAAGCTATGTCACCCTGGATTGTGCCTTGGAATCCATGCAATCCCCCTTGCATATTCCCCCGTTGATCTTGTTAGGGCGAGCTGACGAACCTCTCTTCGATGCAATGTCTTATCCCATCAACCCCTTGCCAGCGCCGTCATGATTTGCCAATTGTCCAGTTCGTGCAATGTTCAACTCATGGGTAGTGCATGAGTTCGTCAAAGAAAATCAAAGAAACTGAAGATAGCCGAAAACAATTCCTGCCTGTCCTTTGAATGCTGAGGGTTAGTTTACCACAGCTCTGTACAGCCCGACTTTGTGGTGCCTTCTCATTGAACTCCCTTTTCTTCTGGCCGAGGGCAGAACCAAGAACGTCAAATTGAGACATGGTCGATGTGGGTGAACTCTGAAAGGTAAAACCAGCCTTTTTTTTGTTTCTCCGAGATATGAATATCCGCCTATCCGACGCGCCAATGGCTGCGTGAAGTGTTATGTCGCTTGGTTTCTTCCCCATCCTCAAAGTGTATGTCGTCGATTCTTGTTTTGAGCTGAGAGATGTGGGAAAGAAATCCTTTGTGATTTGATGCGCCGACAAGGGTGCACAGCCGCAGTGTGACGTCCTTGCACGTCTGCTGTATCCGAAAAAGAAAGAAGTCATAAATCATGGTTGGAAAATGGGCTAACGGATCGTTTGCTTGTCGGAAGGAAGGACGCGCCTGTGATGTATCTCCTCGGAGACGATAGTGAAACAAAATTCTCTGCAGTCGTTTCCTTCACTGTCGTATACTGCAACTTGCGTCGAGCTCGTCAGAGACCTTGGGAGAAGTCTGGAAGTCGATGATCCGTAGGCTGCCAGCATGTTTCGCGGGTCAAGTATCTTACATCCACGAACCTTCCTTTCTTCGTCCCTAGTTTCTTCAGATGCGCTTCTTCTTCGAAGCCCTGGCTAGACAGCCAGTCTTTCAGCCACACCTCGAAGTCATCTTCGCGATCATCAAGTTTTGCGGCTATAGAGTAGTCCTTTCGCTTTTCTTGGTTGGGAGCATTCGTCAAGAGTGGTTTGTTTTGGGTGCCTTTGCCGTTGCGACGAGTCCAGCCATTCATTGGAACAGCAACAGCACCACCCTGTGTCTGGCCAGATCCGCGAATGCGGTCAAGCAGTTGTGGTGCCATGGGAGTGGTGAAGCTGCGCACCTGGAAGATCAACTTGTTTAGATCTCGTCCACCGCCAGCACTGTACAAATGCCTCGTCTCAGGGGCAACTCGAAATTCATAGCCGCCTTTCTTCATGTACCCGCGGTCGGTAGCGTCAAGCAGAGCATCCATCAAGCATCGTCCCACACCTGCTTTACGGTGCGTAGGCGCCACATACAACTCCAGCTCCGCTGTAATGCTTTCAACGTAATCACACGCGGACCAGTCTGTGGCGGCAGCCCAGCCAACGATAGGTTCGTCCTTCACCACGCCAATGTACTCAGGGTCAACATTCTGGATGGGATGGTTGGGGTTGACTCTCATGTTCTTGCGAGCTTTATTGCGGGTATTCTTGCGGTTACGTTCGACCGCAACGATGAATGGCAAGCGAGCCTGGGTTGAATGCTCCAGCCGCTGATACATGTCATCATCGCCAATCTCTGCCAGTTCCGAAGGACGAATGCCGTGAGCAATATGCCAATTGAGAATGGCCTTCATACCCGGAACGTCCGCGTTAACAGCGGGGCGCAGGTAGATATTTTTATTCGTGATAGGGCCAGGCACATCTTGTTGAGTGTCCTCTCCGCTGGCCACCGCGTCATGCGCAGGCTCGACCGATGTTGGCGGCATCATGTTTGCTTGTGACTCCCTCAGCTCACGCTGTAGGTATTGCATGCGTTTATCAATGAACTCTTGTGCTGTCTCGTCCTTGTAGCGGGCATTTTCGAGATCAGAGAGATCCAATTTTGCGTCGCTGTCGAAATCCGGTGGGCAACTTGCAAGTACCGTTCCCAGCTCGGCCATTGTGAAGCCATAGCGCTCGGCATTAGTGGAGTTGATCACTGTCTCTTTTGGCGCAAACCCAATACCGTCGGCATGGTTGTCGACATTCTGTACTTCTTCTTGCGGAATGGCTGAGAAATCGACCTCTGGGCCCTGTGACATGGTCCTCATCGTATTTGCACCAAGCCAGCGGTCGAAGCCGCTGATATATTCAGGGGTATTGTTGTAGAAATGAGCGCGGTGTTCCCAATCGACCGGCGGCGGCTGGAACTTCCCGTCCCATCCGACGAGTTCATCACCAAGCTCTCGAGGGTTGCGCCTGTGGATCAGTCTGCCGAAGCCGGTTGCCATAGGTTTCGTCGAGTCATTATCACTTCCTGGTTCTCCACAATTTTCATCCTGGTCCTGTTGCATAGGATTCTTCTCAACCATGTCCGGCCATCTCTTCATGTTTTCCTCCTGTACTAACTCCGGAGGATTGATGCTAGACAATCGACCCTCAACTCGAATAGATCGGCTCTGTAGGTGGTCTGCATCAAGCTCAGCAATGTGATTCGATGGGGCAATGGCCGCTCTCTGTTGAAGTCCATGAGACTCTAGCGGCATGGGTTTACGGAGGTGATCCAAGGTAACGAGTGCTGTGGTGGTAACATTCTCACCATGGTCCTTGCGTTTAATGCGTTGAAATGCCTCGCGGGATCCTGCTGCTTGAAGGCGAGCAATGACCTGCTCCGGAGTCTCGCTCCCCTGCTTGAGTGTTTCGAAGGTCTGAGGACGAGGAAGTGACACAGCTTTCTTTGCGGGATTTTTCTGACTGATCGCAGGAACATTATGAGTTCTGTGCTCGTGTATCTTCTCGCCCATCATTCTGTCCTGAGCACGCGATACATTCGTCGAGTCTATGGCAGGGGACTGAGCCGAAATTAAAGCGGTGGTGACGTGAGGTGGCGAAGCTTGAGGACCTTCAGACTGCGGATCAGGCACGGAGGACAACTTTGGGTGAACGTCTGACACAATTGAAATCTCTGGGTTGACCTGAGAGGTAGAGTTCAGGCCTGATTCACAGTTTCTTTTTTGTGTCGCGTTAGTTGACGGTCCGTGGCCTGTTTTGCTCGGATGTCCATAGGCCTTCTTGTCAAACCCAGGGATGTCAACGACCACTGGCGCCGAACGAGGTATATTGACATTCGGAATGGGCTTTGATTCGCTCGGTCCACACAATGGCACGTTTCCCGTTTGCGGTGTTCCATCACTTGTCTGCACATTTGAAGACATCCCCGTGTCCTTCGTTCCTGACTGTGTGGTCTCTTCCCCGCTTTGAATCACGACTCCATTCTGTGTGGACTGCCGTGACATGCGTGACGATTGCTGACTGATGCCCCTCATAAACAGAGGATACCAACCTGGATCGCAGTCCAGCTCAGGTCGATCTTGACTCTCGTCACTGAATCGTCTTTTGGCGGTAGGACAACCATATTTCTCCGGGTGAAAGCCCATGGTGCTGCTTGGGCAGAGCTGGCAGGGAATAGACAACTACTGCAATTGTCAAACGGACAAATCATGAGATGAGACACTGAGTAGATTGGGATTTGAATGGACCAAGGGGTCTTACCTTTTCCGAGTGGTGTTGAACATGTGTTCCTAACTGTGAACTGTCACTGGCATGTGTGATCAGTCCTGCTGAAGGATGTGACAGATTGAAGCAGAAGTGAAGCGTTGGTGACAAAGGAGTGTTACTGGGTGATTTACCAAGACCGCGTGCAGATATTGCGACGCCTTCTTGACTTGAAACCGCAGCGTCCGGCACATCATGTGGATGTACGGCAGATGAACACTTAGACTGCCCTTCACCACACGTCCAGGGCGGAGGAGGAGTAGCCGCGGACGAGTGACTCTCAACCATGGCTGGGAAACAGGCGACGGTCGCTCAAAGTGACGAGGACGGTCCAACATTATGTCACTAAAGAGAAGGCCTGACAATCACAACAAGATGGCATTTTGAGGGGTTGCCGCTTGACCGCTTCATGGTGCCTTCTTTCAAAGGGTGTCACTACTTGAACCAATAGACAGTCGCTCTCCTGAATCTGTAGTCGCCTAGTCCTTGTAAAGCGGCGGGATATCTCCACACAGACACAGAGGAACTGCAGCCACGAACTGTCACAAGAGGACTTGCAACAGGACCATGTCCAATCACCAGCGTTTGGCTGACTCCAAGGCGTCTACACCCCTGATTGATTTCACGCCCAATGAGGTTTGCGGCCGACAGACACCCACATTGTCGCATGGAAATCACATAAAGCGCAGTCCAACAACCAGTGGCGACTGGGCGCAGGAAATTGATCGCCATGCTCTCCATTCTTCGCAAAGCTCGGCTGAAGGACAAGGAGATGCGCATCCTGATGCTGTACAGGGATCTTCCTAAAGCATGGCATCCGACTAACTCGTGCTCTAGGGGACTCGACAACGCCGGAAAGACCACCATAGTCAAAAAGATCATGAATGAAGACGTCAATACTGTCAGTCCAACGCTAGGATTCATCATCAAGACCATCGACTTCCAGGGGTACTGCTAGCTCCACAAGTTTGCGCAAGGGAGGCACTAATGGACGGCCATGCAGTTACAAGCTCAATATCTGGGACGTTGGAGGCCAGAAGACTATACGATCATACTGGAGAAACTATTTTGAGAAGACTGACGCACTCATCTGGGTCGTGGATGCGACAGATCGGCTACGGATGGATGATTGCAAGGACGAGCTTAAAGGTCTGCTGCTCGAAGAGGTACGCCAGCTCTCGCCATGAGATTACACTCGTTAACAAGGACAAGCGGCTAGCCGGAGCAAGTCTGTTGGTCTTCCTGAACAAGACCGACGTTGCAGGTGGGATGACCAAGGAAGAAGTCACGCAGCTTCTCGACCTTCCACGAATATTGACTCATCGGTGGGTGGTTATTCCTTGCAGTGCGATGACCGGTGAGAATCTAGAGAAGGGCTTAGACTGGGTGGTGCAAGATGCTCGGGATCGGCTGTTCCTATACTGACACACGACGCCGAGTATTGGATAACGGCTGGCTATGGTTAGAACAAATCTGGAATCATGAGCGAAGCCGCCGTTGAGCTATGGAGATATTTGAGCCATCCACGCGTGTCCGACGGAAACAGGCAAAGCAAAAGCCACATGGAACCTAGCTGCGGGTCAGGAGAAAACGCACAGGCCGTAAATTGGTCTTTTGCCGGCCAGCCCAAAAAGGCCAACCACGACAGGGCGCAGGATCAGCCCTACCTGGTGCTTCCTAGACCCTTTTCCATTTCCACATCTTAAGATCTCCAGTTCATCGTCGCCGCATCAAGCTACAACGACAAATCCGAGTAAGAGACAAGAAACAAGAGTCCGAAGGTCGCCGGAGAAAAAGAGGGGGGAAGATAAACAAATAATCCACGAACGGTTGGGTGGGTTTTGGATTTGGCTGCGGAGACGTGTTGGGCGCGTGTTCCCGAAGTCCCGCTCCTCTTTGCCTCTCGCAACCACGCATCAAACATCAACAATTGATACAATCCACCGTTATCCTGTGCGGCCTGTACCACTACTTCCTCCCCAGGCCATCCCTTGCCGGTCGCTTGCCTAAATCACCGTTCTTTTCTGCCTTCACTCGCTTATCTTTCACACGTTCTACCTGGCAGCCATTCGTTCCTAGCCGAATATTCTCAATGCAGCGTGCGACATAATCTTCACCTTTAGAACTGCCGGTCACCTACTCAAAACCCGATCGCTTGCCGGACAGTCAAAAATGGACGCGTCCAATGATGGCTCCGAGTCCGTCGACCAGTTCCTTGCACGGATTGCGAGTCTAAGCTCAAAGCAGGGGCAGGAGGAGGCTGAGCGATCGAAGAGGATGGAGGAGGAAATGTTGCAGGCGAGAAAAGAGAGACAGGCGAGAAGAGCAGGTATTCATTAGTCGAGTTTCACATCACAAGATACAAATGAGAGGCTGATCACATACAGAACGCGCTCGGTCTTTGTCTCCCTCAAAAACCGGCCCTACACCATCTTCACGTCTAGTTGGGGACAGTCCTCGAAAACCCACACAAGGGATTGACCCTCCTGTAGCCCTCACCCCTCCTCCGCTCCAATCCCGTACACTTGGCCGCGCCGACTCGATGTCTCCAAGGCCTGAGCGAGTTGCAGCCTCCGCCTTGGACTTCACTCGACCACTCCCACCTCCACCAACAAGCGACAAACCCTCCACGCCCAACTCGACTATGAATGCCACTGCACTCTCTAGGAGTGGAACATTATCGTGGCAACAGCGACCTTCGTCCAGGGGAGTGGGTTCAAGGTCACGGCCGCTCTCTGTCGCCTCCATACCCGATTCACCCCTGCCTCAGAATCCCGGTCAGCCAAAGGATACTGATGACGTGTCGCGAAAAGATATTGCAGCTTCATTAGGAGCGAAAGACCCGTCTTGGTTCCGACAGACTGCTGATCGTGGTGTTGGTTCAGCTGCATATCGCAAGAATGAGGCGGATTTGGAGACAGCACCGTCATTTACGGGTCGGGGTATGAGACTCCCGGGCATGTCAAAAGATTCCAGTGCTTCCGTGGACCGCTCGAGGGAAGATCCCGAGAAGGCAACTCCCCCACCGTCCCCTCCAAAATCGTCTATTGCTCAGCCCCTCGACCAGGAACAGTTGTCAAACCAGGAAGAGCCAAGATCAGTGAGGCCACTCTCCATGGTATCTTTGTCACCATCGAAACCTCCTGCTTTAGATCTTCCCAGTTTCAAGCCCTTGGACCTCAATACCTCGCTCACAGCGGACACACCTGGCCTGGGAAGAACATCGAGCATTTTGTCAACCGCTGGGCGTCCTCCTTCACCCACCAAGGGTTTGGGCGGTTTCGTTGAGAGTGCTATGATGAAGAGATCAGATAGCGTGAGCAAGCGATGGAGCGTACAGGCGAATGCAGGCTTGAAGCGAGGCGATTCGGTTGCTACATCTCGCCCACCCCATGTTTCTAGTGCGTCAGGCTTCAGTCCCGGACACAGCCGTGGTCCCTCGAGAGATGTTAGAGGTGTGCGAGACGGCAATTCGTCCCCGCTGTCAAGCTCAAGGCCTGTTTCGAGTCATGGCGCTGAACCAATTCCGCTTAGCAAGGCTCGTCCACTAAGCCGCGCAGAGGACGATACCGTAGCAAATTCAGAACCCGCCATTACGCAGAGCAGTCAAGCCGGCCGTGAAGCCTCCAAAGCGCAGCACCAGAACCGCCCAACCACACCACCCCCACCGCTTGAGACGCTCCTGTCTCGCAGTCCATCCAAAACCATGGATCCTCGCCGCTGGAGTCCCACCAAGGCCAGTTGGCTAGAGAGTGCGCTCAACAAGCCAGACTCGCCAAAGTTTACTCCAGCTAAATCTGAGACACCTGCTTGGAAGCTCAATATGCAGCGTGCTAAGCAAGAGCAGCAGCAGCGGTCATCCGAAGCTGTTGGTAATGTGCAGGCGAAGCCCACTGTAGGGCCTAAGCCTCTCGTTTCGCCTTCTCTCAAGGAATCGGCTATTCTGAGTGAGCCTGAACCTCAGAAAGGCTTGTCATCGGTGGCGGTGGACGAGGTAGACTCGGCCAAAGGCGTTGAAGCAGAGTCGTCACAACCTCGGGACATACCTGCGTCGGATACGGAGCAACCCAAGATTGGAAAAAGGGAAGAGAAACCTGCTGTTCCTTCTAAGAGGAATGTCACGCCGATCTTACACGGAACAACTTTGGACAATAAGCCCGAGGCTGCAACGGTAGCATCAAACGAAGACAGGGAAGTTTCGGTTGAGGCATTGCAGGCAAACGCCTCTCCCGATCCTAAACCGCCGGTGCTGAAGCCTAAACCACAGACTCCTCCAAAAACCGATTTCAGAGCCACTTTAAAGTCGCGTCAAGCAGCGCCAGCGAGCAATAGCGATGCAGAACCTGAATTCAAAGCCGTCTTCGGAAAACTGAAGAGGACGCAAACCCAGAATTATGTCGCCCCGGACCTCTTGAAAGACAACATCACCAGAGGCAAGGCAGGATTAAACACCACGGGTGGACCACAGAAGACTAAGCGGGTTGATGAGTTCAAAGAGAGCATTCTGCAGAAGAAGGAGGCCATGAAGACTGGGGGTGGTGTGATCGGAAAACGTCCAGACGCACCCAGTCCACTTGAAAAGCCTGCTCAGGCTGTTCCCGAGGCGCTGGCAAGACGCATGACATTGCACAAGACTGGCCCGTCGAGTGAGAAGATCGAAGTCAAGAAAGCTGTCGATTTGCCTACCAAGCCTGCAGTCTCAGCGTCGAAACCCCAGAGTTATTCCGCTAAGCCAGTCCCTGACAAGCAGGATGACCCGACGCCCACCCAACAAGCATCGATCTCGGTACAGAAGGTGCCTGCGAACAAATCTGAGAAGGCTGAATCCGTCTCGACGACTATTCTGCCAACCAAAGAAGCGCCTCAAACCATCAGCGGCAATAACCAGCCAAGAGCGGACACATCTTTGGTTGCAGCCCCTCCCGCGACAGAGTCGGCGTTCAAGATGAGAGCACCCGAAAACAGCAAACTTGCAGCTCGTCTCAATCCTGCACTTGCCGGCATCTTATCCCGAAGCGGTAGCCCTAAACCCTTGGGTGAACCATCATCCAATGGCGGAGGCGCGATACAAGTCCGAGATACTCTGTTGTCCCGGGAGAATGCGAATGACCAAAATTCGGAGCTAACCCATATGACCAAGGCTCGGGCTAAGGGTCCGAAGAGGAGAGCGCCAAAGAGCGGACCATCGTCAAAGGAGACCGTAGCAAGTACTATTGAGAAGCCCATGTCGAAATTTGGCACTGGTACGGCCACCGTTTCTGACAACAAAACTTCTGTTCCTTCGCGGCTGTTCGAATCGAGGCCGACCTCCGCCAAACTCATACCAGAAGTTGAGGAGAATAAGCCAAGTGTCTCTGTCGAGGAATCAGCATCGCAGCCAAAATTGGAATTTGGAAAGCGCAGAGCAGCGGAAAATGTTGTCAGGGAGTCGAGTCCCGCCAGGCCGAGGGCTATATTAGAGTCAGACTCCAATTCAAAATCCAAACCAGCTGTGGCCAGCAAGTCGGCGGAGCTGAGAAAAGTATCCAACCCTGGGATGGCCGCCCATGTTCTGGACGAGCCCGCTCCCGTCGAGGCCGATAAATCTGCGGAGTTGAAAAAGGCTTCCAACCCTGCATTGCCACCAAAACGTGCTAATCAGCCGCCTCAAGCAAAGCCTTCTACGCCGAAGAAGTTCGAAGTATTGGCCGATCGTGCACAAGTTATATCGCCTCCTTCCCAATTCGACAATCTAAGGAAGAGTGCACCTCTTTCGCCTCCACTCGTGGTCAACTCACCTCTCACACCTAATAAATTCAAGATCAACACACCCAAGGAACCAAAGCCGGAAGTGGATAATTCTGTCAAGCCGTCCTCACTGGCTTCTTCCAGAGCTACCGGGCTTGGATTACAGTTCTCGTCTGCTTCCAAAAAGCCAGCGGCTACCCCCGAGTTGACGCCGCCACCAGAACCGGAAGCTTCGACGAGAAAATTGCCGTCCTTCAGAGGTCCTGCGTCACCCACGAAGTCTGGTCGCTCGCTGAAGCCCCAATTTGAACGCTTCTTTGGTGTTTTACCGCAAGCCAGAGAAAAGGCGGACTTTGACACCCAGGCATTCTTGTCATCTCAGAAGAATACCTCAGGCAAACCCAAGACTCTCGGTAAACAGATATGGGAAGTGTCCGGTGACGGAAAGAGAACAGCCATGCCTCCCCAACAAGAACACATACTCTTCGAAGACTGTATGTATCTGTGTGTGCATTCAATGGAATCACCTGACGGCTCAAAATGTGCCGAGGTATATCTCTGGTGTGGTGACGAGGTGCCCGAAGCTGCTGTAGAGGATGCTCAACTGTTTTGCAGAAAGGTTGCTCGCGATAACAACGCCAAGCTTGAGGTAGTAAAGCAAGGTAAAGAGAGTTCCGAGTTCTTCCAAGCGCTGGGAGGGATTGTCATAGTTCGGAAGAGTAAGTCAGCAGCCTTGTATATGCTGTGTGGCAGACGACATCTTGGACATGTTGCGTTCGACGAGGTCGAGCTATCCGCCGATAACCTCTCTTCTGGACTCCCCTTTTTGATATCTGCCAAGTTTGGGAAGCTCTATCTCTGGAAGGGAAATGATAGCAACCCAGAAGACGTGGGATGTGCGAGATTGATTGGGATGGACATGGGGCTCACCGGTGAGATTGAAGAAGTCTCCGAAGGTGAAGAGCCCGCCAGCTTCTGGGAAGCCTTCCCCTCGCGTCCGAGCAAGCGGGTGGCTCCTCGACCACGCAAACAAACGAGCCAACTCCACGGTCATGCACCCAGATTATACCGGGTCGAGCACGATCGCCCCAAATCGTCTGGCGGTTTCTGGGGCTTGAGGGCGGCATCACCCCCGAAACAAGCGGTCAGAGCCTTGGTGGACGAGATTGCCCCCTTCAACCAGAAAGACCTTGATGCTAGCCATATCCACATCCTGGACACCTATGGGGAGCTCTACGTGTAAGTTCAGCTATATTTTTGCGCCGGGTTGGAAGTCCTGCTGACGTCTGTTGTTTTTGTTAGCCTCGTTGGTGCGTCTGCCAAAAAACCTGCCGAGTTTGTAACGGCGGTACAGGTCGCTCAGGAGATTGCAGTTCTCTCCCCCTCAGTTCAGGACAGGCCGCTGTTGCCTGCATGTTACGTGGTGATGGGTGACCCACCTGAAAACATCAAATCAGTCTTCCGAAAATGGAGGTCTGAAAGATCAGCTTCTCCAGATGATCAACTGTGTGTACGGGTTGAAGAAGTGATACAGGAATTAGGGATCACGTTGTGAAAGAGATGACGGTGGACTGATGATTGGGATTTGTGGAGGGATTTTGCAGACGATCACTCGGACGAATATGGTTTGGGCTCATGGGCGTGCATGTGTATTTGGCCATTTGGACGATGGAGGGGTTTCGGCAAACCTTGACCAAGGTGTCACAAAAAGAAGGAGGGGTGGGCCAGTTTCCATCTGGAGGAATATGTGCTTTGAATACACCAATTTAGGGATATTGAACTGCCCGTATGAAGTGTATGAGCTGTATCAGTTGTACACTTGAAGTTATTGTCGTCAATTGTCACCCAATCGGAGCGTGATTAGGTAATCGCGCTCGTCATCGGCACCATCGGGGTCTGGATCATTCCGAGGCTCCTTGGCACCATTTCTTTCCTTCTGCCCGCCTCCGTCAAACCTCGGATGCAGGTATCAGTCAGTACCTGGTCAGCTTGTCCCTGACTGCTCAGAAGCCTTCGTGTCGCCTTGTGCCGACAGTCATGGATTGGGCGGCTTCGAATCTGCCTCAGACGAAACCCAACACCTCTGTCCTCTCCCAGGGTCCCACCGCCACTCTGAACCTGGACCCCAAACTGCAGCGAGAGTTGTCTCGGCTCGATGACTCGATCCCCTTCAACCCCAGAGCCCGTTATCTTCATCACACCTGGGCGCAGACGTTCTTCTCGCGCCCGGAGCTGTATTTTCAGCCCGCGACAATCCCCGAGCTGCAAAAAGTTGTCACCTTAGCCCGACGATGTCGAAGACGGGTTTGCGTGACAGGGTTCGGACACTCGCCGTCCGACCTGACATGCACCTCCTCTTGGCTGGTCAACCTCGACAAGCTCAATCAAGTCTTGGAGAAGGACGTCGACGGGACTCCTGGCCTCTATCGCATTCAGGCCGGCATATCCCTGCATGATCTGAATGTGGAGTTGGCCAAGCACGGTTATACCCTGCCCAATCTGGGATCTATCGACGTCCAGTCGGTCGCGGGGGTCATCTCGACCGGCACACACGGCTCGAGTCTCAAGCACGGCCTGATCTCCGAGTCGATAACTTCGCTGACGATCCTTCTTTCCAATTCGCAGCTCGTCACGTGTTCGGCCGCCAAAAACCCTGAACTCTTCCGGGCCGGCCTCCTGTCGCTGGGCGCGCTGGGCATCATCGTCGAGATCACGATCCAGGCCGTTCCGGACTTCAAAATCTCCTGGTCCCAGTCCCTCCACACCCTGAGCTCCGTTCTGGACTCGTGGAACTCTGACCTCTGGACCAAGGACGAATTCACCCGGGTGTGGTGGCTGCCTTACCTCCAACGCGCCGTGATCTGGCGCGGCTCGCGGACTGACGCCCCGACTCGTCCTCCAAACACCACTTTCTATGGAGGTATGTTCGGCTACTATGTCTACCACAATCTGCTCTGGTTGTCCAACACCTTCCCGCGCATCCTGCCGTGGATCGAATGGTTCGTCTTCGGCATGCAATACGGCTTCAAGCCGGACAGCTTCGTCATGTCCGCGGTGCAGCCCGCCCGCGAGGGCCTGCTCATGGACTGTCTCTACTCTCAATTCGTGAACGAGTGGGCCTTGCCGCTGGACAAGGGGCCCGAGGCGATCACGCGGCTCGCGGCGTGGATCAACCACGACGACGCCACCGCGCGCATCCCGGTCTCCAGCAAGGGAGTCTGGGTGCATTGTCCCGTCGAGGTGCGCGTCACGCACACGGGTCAGGAGACGCCCAACCGTTCCGGGGTACGCGCGTACCTCGACCCCACCGTCCCCAACGGACCGACGCTATACCTGAATGCCACGTTATACCGGCCCTACGGCCGCGACCCCCCCTGCCACGCCACATACTACGAAGCCTTTGAGTATCTCATGAAAGAGCTCGGCGGGAAGCCCCACTGGGCCAAGAACTTCTCCGACACGGCCGGCGAGTACATCGACGCGGCGTACGGCAGCGACATGCGCGCTTTCATGCAGGTCCGCGACGACAGCGACCCCGAGGGCATGTTCTTGGGGGAGTGGCACCAGAGGTATCTGCCCCTGAAGACGAAGACGAGTACGACGACTACAACCCCAACTGGATCGCAAGCTACGGGATATTCTGGATTGAGGCTGATGGAGTCAGAAGTCCGCCGGACCAAGAAGGGCCTCGGCTGGGGCTTTGGCGACGGCATCCTGTGGGAAGGGAGACAGCGAGCCGCTACAGGTGATGGCGATGGCGATGACGATGACGATGGCGACGCCTCCGCTTACGGCCGCGCGGGCCAAGAACTGCGCGCAGCTCATTTGGAAGACGACAGGAAAGGCGGGGTTGGATCTAACGGTGACGAGACGCCCAGCCCGCCAGCCACCACGACCAGCGAGGAGTCGTTCGATTACATGGCCAAAGGCGAGGCGAGCGTCTATGCCGTCAAGGAAGGGGAGGGGGAAGGAGGTGACTAGATGGGATGGGATGGGACGAGACGAAACGGGACGGGAGATGCTGGATGCCGGTGATGACGATTGATGATGCCGGTCTTGGTGGTGGTGGTGGTGATGATGATGATGATCCCGGGATGAACAGCCAGCCCACTTTGTCGTTGCGCAAAAGGGGATATATTGGTGGTGGTGGTGGTGGCGCTGCTGGTAGTGCTGCTGGTGGTGAGATGGAGCACCGGAGATCGAGGTAGTCAACTCGTGCGTGATTCACTTAGTTTTTTTAGGTCATTTCTACTGCTTCATCCCTCCAAACACAGACATATCTATTTCGATATCTATATATCGTACGAGGATCCTGTCAGGGCTAAGAACGCACAGAGGCCTGTCCACTCACTGTCCACTGTCCACTGTCCACTTCGATTCCGCCAAATGATCTATACCGCTTGTCCAAAGGCCCGTCCTTTTCATGATGGAATCGAATCTACCGCCAGCAAGGGCGAAGCGTTAACCATTAGTACTTACATAGTACCTGGTCCTTTTCGTGGCTTCGGATCCAAAACCGACTCGGCTAGATTATGCCTACGCTGCCCCGAGGTGCAAGGGCATAGCCTCAGGAGAATTTACACAGTCTACTTCTGTGTCTGTGTAGATTTCCAAATCAACACCAATTGCGCGGCGAGGTCCTCCAAAAACTCGGTGCTGGCCCAACCCATGACCCCCGCCAACGCATTAAAGAACTCCCTGGTCGTGGGCCGGATCGTCGCGTGACAGACGCTCAGGACGTGCAAGTTGTAGAAGCGGGCGTTTTCCAGCGACGTGGTATAATATAGCCAGAGCAGGAGGATGGGGCCTTCATGGGTGATGGAGAAGGCGAGAGGGTCTTTGCCTTGTTCGGTTCCTGGCGAGCGACGTTCAGTGAGCTCGGCGAGCCGGCCCTGCATGACGAGCATGCAGCTTCCAGATCCAGCGGCCTGGTTCTCTGCCTCGTACATGCTCTTGCCAGTCGCGTACGACTTCCCTTCGACGACCATGGATGGAAAGCGCATGTGAAGTGCGGGGAGGGTGGGACTGGACAAAAGCTCCTGTTCGTACTGCAGATCCTTCAATATCTCCTCAGCGTCCAGCTTGTTGACTCCTAACGACACCAATTTCTTGGCGACGACCGCGTGGAGAAATCCTATCGTAATGTCCGGGCGAGCGTTCTTGACACAGTTACTGTCAAGCTTTGGCGGAGGTGGCGGCGGTGGCGGCATGGTCATCTCGATACTCCCTGACGAAGCGCAAGACGTCTCTGCCTGCTGCCGCTTGTTCGGGCGGTCATCGGAAACGCCTATGTCGTTGAGAGACTTGTCCAGAGGATCGGAGCGGTAGGACTTTCGTTGAACCATAGGTTTCAGGGCAGGGTCCCAGTCTAAGCTCAAGTTAGCAGAACGACAATGCTGGTGCGCAAAGTCTACAGTACCTGCTTTCCTTCGGAAGGCAAAAGTTTTGCCGAATAGCTGGCGATTCATTGCTTCTAAAGCCTGATATATCAATTCGACGCAATCATCCTCTCTACTCGCGACTTCCAGGACGTCAGGAAAGTCATCGCACAAGCCATCTGCAATCGCGAAAACGAGTTTCTCCCTTTCTTTATCGAGCTTAGGCTGGACGAGGGCGTTGACTCTGTGCTCGAGGTGTTCTGGAATACATCGGTGCTGAAAGACTATTCTGGCACGGTCCAGTGAATTTAATCGGTAGTTGTAAAGCGAGAGAGATGTCTTCTGTGAGGACACCGACGCTGTATCCTGGTTCATCTCTGCCGTGCTCGATCGTCGCAAGACGGTTCCGTTTTCTTCTGCCATCCACTCACATATCCCCGATGCTGTCTCACTATTGAGCTTTTCCAGATTCTCCCAATTGAGAAGGTCCTTGGATGGAGGCAACTCCACCACCGATTGTGAACCATCCTATCGTCGCTTGTCCGGTTTCTCGTCTTTAAATTCGCGTTTCCGTTTTCCTCGTGTGGGTTGCAGAGGCTCCAGTGGGCTTCCAGTCGCTGTCGAATCCGGATGTATAGACCGGAGTGGAAGGGACTCAACGCTTGGGGGATTAGGTGAGGGCATCGATTGCGGTGGAAGGTCTGGTGGTCCTTCTGGACAGAGTGGGATTGGAAATTGGTCCATCAGATGTGCGTGGTGCTCATATCAGGGAGGTCTTGCTGGAGAAAGTGACCCTCCTGCTCTTCTTGACGCCTGCAGTTTGTCTGGTTCCTTTGAAACATCAGCAATGGCGGCTACCGAAGGAGGTCGAGAGAAACGTACGTGTTCCAGATTTTTGCACACCTCCAATTGTGCGCTTCGGAGGCATCTTGAGTGGACGAAGAAAAGTCGAGACATGAGACTGGGGAAATTTCTACTGGCGCCTATGCGCCTATGCCAGCGCGAGAGAATCGAAGAACAACTTGGGGCTCGAGAGGGCGCGAGGAAATGTTTCAGACACGGCACAGCGTTTCGCGGGGTAATAATAATAATATTGACTTGGGCCGATTCGAGAAACCTAATCTGGTAACTCGGTAATTAACCTTAATCATTCTTTATGAACCTGCAATCCTCAGAAAGCAGTAATTAATGGATGAGGCACGGTTCGGGGTAAATATATATAACGGTTCGTCATTCATTCTAATTGACAGCAATCGCTTTGGCTTGCACGCACCGCTGCTACAACAGAGCCTCAACAATTGCTGCCAGTGTAAATCCAAGTTATATGGTTCATGTATGTTTATGAAGATCGCCATCGCTCTCCTTCTCTTTCGCTAACACTTCATAGAGACGGACATCTAGCTGCCCCACGGTACCTTACCCATTCTTGCATTGACGACTCACACCGTCTTGATCTCTTCTCGCGTGACACTCGCGCGTCTCTCTGCCTCCTCGTGTTCATGCATCTCGCGTTGCTGCTCGCTAATATCCCTGACAATGCCGCGGTCGAGGGTGTACAGTGGCTTCAGCTCGGCCGACTTCTGCCAGAAGATGTAGCGCTTGATGAACCACGGAAGCCAGGTGCCGGTTTGGTATGACATGAACCTGCGGGTCGGGACCGCGAAGATGTAGTCCAGTTCTTCGAGTGTACGTTGCTGTGGGAGAAAGGTTATTGATGTTAGCCAGAGACACAAGTGGACGAGTTGGGATGGATGGTGATAATGATGTGTTACTGGAGCTTACCTTGGTTTCAGGAACCCAGAAGAAGATCATGATCAGGGCCAAGATGTTCAGGCCTGCAAAGAAGCCAAAGGCACCTGTCGGCGTGAATGCTGCGAGAATCTTGGGAAAGGTCAAGCCCAGTACTGCGGCCCAGAAGAGGCACGTCGCGACCGCCCAGCCCATGCCAACCTCGCGGTGAGATAGTGGGAAGACCTCGGCCGAGTACGTGAATGGTACAGGACCTTCACCGGGCGAGTAGAAGGCGGCGAAAAGGTACACAAACAGTGCAATGACACCCAAGTGGGCACTGCTCGATTTTGGGATGTAGAATGCAAACCCCCCGGCAAGGAGAGTCCAGGCCATATTCGGGAATGTGAACAGCAACAAGGCACGTCGACCGAACGTGTCAATCGTGAGGAAAGCGGGAATGGCGAAGAGGAAGTTGACGGCGCCGAAGCCAAAGGAACCCAGTAGCGCCTCAAAGTCGGACGCTCCACCCTCCCGGAAGATGGTCGACGAGTAAAAGGCCATGATGTTGATGCCACACATTTGTTGCGCGATCATCACCGTAAAGGAAGCCAGAGTGGCGCGACGGACGCGAGGCATGGTAAACAGCTGCATGAATCGCGAGATATAGGTAGAATCGCCGACGATGTCGTGTTCGATATCAATCTGAGTACTGATATAGTACAAGTCCCTAGCAGCGAGGAGAGGGTGGTTTCTGAGCTTGAGGAGAGATTGATATGCTTTGTCTATTTTGTCGTGCTTGATATACCATCTCGGGCTCTCACTGTTGGAAGGAAAGCGTTAGATTGGCATCATCAAAGAGCAAGTTTCGGAGGCTTCAACTGGTGACAGGGCACGAAGGAGATCCAACACAGCAACACAGCTGGAAGACATAGACTTACGGGCAGAGAAAGACCAAAATAGCCAGGGGAATGGCAGGAATAAAGGCGGAACCGAGCTGAAGACGCCAGCCAATGTCACCAGCTTTCCATACAGCCAGGTTGAAGGCAGTCCCTAGGAAAATCCCGAAAGCCGTCCAAAATTGCCATGTCATCACAAGGGCACTGCGATAAAACTGTCAGCCATGTGAGGTATGCGAGCATAAGGGATTCTCGTGACGGCATCAATCTCGGGATGGAATACTCACCCTCGGATTGCAGCAGGAGAGTTCTCAGCAGCAAACACAGGTGTCGTGGCGCCCTTCAAACCCATACCGATGCCCATGACGATACGTGTGGCAAGCAACTGTTCCCAAGTTTGGCAGAACGCTCCACCGATGGGCGTTGCAATCAGAAAGATGGCTGATGTGAAGATGGTACCTCGACGACCAAAGTAATAGTTGCAGGGGTCGGAAAGCCAGCAGCCCAGGAAAGCGCTGCCGATGTAAGGCGCCGAATTGACAAGTCCAATGATCCAGAAGTCTCTTTCGTAGCCTGGCTGTCCTTCTGGTGTATCCAGACCAAAGGCTTCTGGGAACGACAAATTGGCACCGTTGGTGCCGGTCTGATCCCAGCCTTGGACTGCGGCACCGATGGAACAGACTATGACGGTCATGTATAGCTTCATTGGATGTTTCCATTTGCGTGAAACCTCTGTGCGGAGGGCGTCCTTCTCATCCTCGGTGAGGAATGAGAGACTCTCAAATTGGCCTGGGTTCTGGGCGACCAAGGCACCTTTCTTTATCAGCTCGACCTCGGAGGCCATGCCGGCACGGTTTGCAAATTCTTCAACCTGTAGGCTACCGTGTCAGTTGCGGCTGGTATAGAATATTGGAGGTTCCTCACATTGGCCAACAACTCTTCTTGGGGGATATCGGCAAGAGGGTTGGAGATCCTGTTGAATGCTTAGCCAAAAGACCCAACAACCAAGGCGAGCGCGGCGTACTTTGCGTCCAAGTTCTTGTTTCTGTTCAAATCCGCGATGGACGAGCGCCGGCGCTCCGGGCCTGAAGACTTCTCATGGTCCGTACTGCGCCTGTTGTCGAAGCTGTCTGTAGCCTTGGTGTCCGACATGTTCATGAGTTACCGGCCGGCGAATGTGAAGGAGAGTAACTGAGAAATTCGACGGGGTAGAGATTTTCATAAGGGGAGACACTGGGTCCCAGCTTTTTCATATACATCGACCATCTATCATTCCGCAAAAACCCCGCGCGCTGATCAAGCCGGAGAAACGCACACGGAGTGCGGGTGACATCGTCTCAAACATCGCAGAAAGTTTACGTCTCAAGAACCCCGGAAGATGGCGTGCGATACGTCCAGTTCAATCGACGTGATGGTGCTTCTGGAAGGCAGAATCTCTGGTGGAAGCCTTGTGGACCGCCCTCCCCCACTTGTAACCAAAGCCCTTGGCAGCGGAGAAAACTCCACCTCATCAAGAACAAGAACTGCGGGCTGAATTTGGCAGATGTCATTTGGCATTGCCCAGAGGCGAGTCTCAATAACCTTACAGTGCTTGGTGCCCCAGATAGAAGCAAGCATAATCTTGGGTTCTGGGGTAGAGAGACCGGTTAGAGAGCTGGTGGCCTTGGAAGAGAATATTGAATCGAAACCCGTTGCTAGAGATGGTCTATAGGCACCAGAGAAACCACAGTCGCTCGAAGAAGGAGATAGAGCAGTCTATCTGAAGGGGCTGGCAGTCACTGTCAAACTTGAACCGACACTGAGCATGGGAGGTTGAACAGCGGTGGAGGAAAGGAAGGTGCCCAGGTGGGTAAGAATGTAACAGCGGGAACGCCTTGCCAAGATGCCGGGTGGATGCCAAGGGCGGAGATCATCTTGGCTTCCTCGGCGGAATCTGCACTGTGCATCCCACGGATTATTGAACCGATGGCCCTCAGCCTGTGAAGACTGACCAGCCTTCCTCGCTCAAAGGACTACGTCACCCTTCCCCAGAGGGACAAGAATAAGACGTATCATCGTGCGAAAATTGTCCTACATCTTCAACCCTCTTACCTCCTTTTGGCAGCCCTTGTGATCACCAACCCACACTGCCCACATTAGAATGTCCCTGCACATCACTCCGGGTTTCATCAGCCTGTCCGCATTTCTTGGCCCCTCTGAGCTCTAGAATTTCCGTCAAGGAAATGCCGCCTCCGTTCCAGATGACTTATTGCAAATAAGAGAGAGTCAACCAGACATGGACGGGAGAGGTCGGTCGATATAACTTACCCCACATGCAACAACAGCAAAACATCCAGGATGACTCTCTATAGATCATTTTGGGGGAGTCAGGGAGTGCACTGTGGTAGGACGATTCCACAGTCAATCTTGAAAGTAATATTGGTTCGCTTTGACGAATGGGATGGTCTTATCCCCGTCAAACTGTTTGAGTCGTTGGCATTTACCCAATGCTGCACCAAGGATGTCGGTCTTCGCTATGGTGAGATACAATGTAGCACATCCAAGGTATAGCTTGGTTCAGGCGTCAACACCGGCCGTTTGACATCTGTAAAGACACCATCGTCGTCGAACCCAAACTCGATAAGCTTTAGTGCCGGATAGAACGGCCGACCTGATGATCCAGCCACTGTAAAACGTTTAGTTGAAAAGATTTCAATGTGAGTGATCCGTTGGATCCACTTCTGTGACCCCTTGTTGAATGAAGGAATTTCTATTGGGTGGATGAAGCTCGTGAAGATGGCAGGGCATCTGTCCGCAGTGGTTGAGCTTCTGTTTTGATCTTTTTGCTAACTCTTAGCAGCGTCAGAGAGCTCGCGACTTTCAAGATTGAAGCGGTTTTTCTCCAACTGCCTATCGCTATCTCCCACCTTTCTTGGACTTTGATCTCGATCTTGTCAAAGACGAAGCCATAGACCTTCATCCTTATTTCTGCTGGAACGGCAAGAAAAGGGGCACTGTCTCCAGATGGTTCCGTGGCTTGTGAAAGCGATATCACTGACGTGATGATCCGAAGTCAAAGAATTTCCGTATGACACGGGCATCGGGATCCCGGCAATCTGAGTGCCAGAACTGACAAGGATACTGAAGAGTGTAATGGTACAGGAAAAAGTGCGAGAGGCGGGAAATGCTTGAAGGTAAAGACAAGAAGAACGAAGCCAGCAAGTGAGGAGATCAAGGAGAAGAGGCGAGGCGTGATACAAACGTGACGTTCACGGTCGGTGGCGCCCTCACTAGGACCTTTGAACGGTCATTGAGTGCGTTTGACTGGAGCGAAGAGAATCTTCAGTACCTGATGAGTGCATGAACAAGAGTTGGAGAAAACCAGCAAGAGATGACTGAGAATGGATGAGTATAAAATCAATTGTCATCCGTCAAGTCGCCACTCCAATCACCATTACCACCAACTAACGGCCAGGCAGAACTTCATCCCTGGATCAAGCGCATCAGAATCTGCATGAGGGGGTATCATTGAGACATAAGGGACAAAATTGTTCGTGATTTCACCAGCTGGTTCCGCATGACACCAACCAAGATCCGAATGTTGTCCGATGGATCCTGTATTTCACCTTGATGACCAACCACTTCATCTAGACGCGACTGCGCCGGTACCAGCGTCGACGTGCGTATCTGGCAAGCTTTGGTAAGCACACACTGATCCTTCTCAGATCTGGTGGTCAACCTTACGGTCCTTGAGCAACGGGGGCAGCCGCGACGGTCTTGCGCCTCTCGCGATGGACAAACCAGAGGCCAACCAAGGCGCTCAGGATCCAGAAAATCGCAGACAAGAAAGAGAAGGCCTCGGCAGCTCGATAGCGACCACAGAACCCATGAAAACTGATTTGATTCCAGTCAAAGGTATCTCCATCACAGCCGGTCCCGCTGGCCCATTCGACGAGAAGTCCAAAAGAGGCGAACCAGGCAAAGGACAGGATGATATCCATGGGCCCTGTTTCAGAGAGTCAGCATATATTCCCTTGGCACTCCATTGCGCTCTTTGAAACGTACAGTGGAAGAAGCCGCCGGCGAACGGGAGCAACCAGAGGAGACCGAGGAGAAGGGAGATTCCGGCCACAATCTCAATGTAGATAAAACGCGCCAGGGGCCAACCGTTCCCGTGGCGGTAGTCATCTAGGTAGGAGCCGACGATGCCTGCAACGACCTGTGCACAAGATCAGAACCGCCCAAAAAGGTGAGTTGAAGAGTTCCACATACACCCGCGAAAGCGAGCTCACAGACACGCAGGCCCATAGATACAATTCTGGAGATGACAGGCATTTTGAAGATTGGTCGATTGGTGAGAGGCTTTCCTGAAGTGAAGAGAGAATAGAAAGGACGTTGCAGGTGAACGGGTGGTGTCGCCAGTAAAACGAACAAGGTCGATGGGGAGAACTTCAGCTGCTAATGATCCAAGCGGAGGGTGAAGCAGTGACTTAAGAATGAAGAGCAAGGCCGTGACACTAGGGCGTTAACAAGGCGACACGGGGAATTCTCTGTTTGCCAGCCACCAACATCACCGTTCTGTCCTCACCTTGGTGTTCTGAATTCCTTGCTCAGGAGAGCCCTGGCCACGCTTTGCCTTGATTTTGTGCCACGCCAAACGGTGGTGTTGTCCTACCGGACCCTGGTTGGCCATGAGAGATTGATAGGCAAGGGGCGCGTGACAAAGAAACGAGTTGCAGAAACATGGCACGACGTCATAGGGGGAATTTGGATAGGAAAACATGCTACCAAAACCAGGCAGAATGCTTGAGCCTCACCAATCCACCAACCCCATGGGGGGAGCAGACAAGTAGAGCAGGGAATGTGGTCAAAACGCTAACGACAACGATAGGAAAGGCTGAGAGTTTTGGAGGGAAAAACTGGTAAGCGAGAAGCTGCAGACCGGAAATCAAGTCCATCACAAGGTGCCTATGACGTCTAGTTCAAGGTCAACCGAGACGCCAAGGCGAGGCTGACATTCTCAGCCTCGCTCACCTGCCCGCCCGTAGCGGTTTGGCGCAGCCATTGCGCACTTGCTGGGGAGTCCACCATCCTCTTGATCACAGAAGTGTGGCCGAGCGCACGCGAGCTGCCTTATCCCGGTTGCTGATCGACCCCGATCTGAATTCCAGGATCTCAATCGTGTGAGCAAAACAAATACTTGTCTCGATCCATGCGTGCCTTGTTCATTGGCCGCATCTCCTACTTGTTCACGCCAATGCCCTGGCCTTCTCCTTGACCTCGTCCCCAAAGTCAAAGGACCCGCCAAAAAAATGGTGCGTGGACGTGTCCAGAATGCAGGACTTGAACATCATGGTACGTCCCTGCGCGTCGACCCATTTTTGTCTAAAACCGCCCACTTCCATGCGTGGATACATATCATCGCTCATCAACTCTGGACTCTCTTTCACATCATCCACACCCTGGAGAGCCAGAGATTGTGATGTTTTCTCGGCGTCAGGAGGAAGGATGGGAAGGAGGTAGTCCTTGTAGGATCTTAGTCCAAAGTCGGTCACAAAGAAGAGAGTTGGGTGGGTTTTGGTATGATCAGGAAGGCCGTCAGGAGTGAGATTCATAGATGGGTGAGAGAGAAGAGCCCGGAGCACAGCTGCATGTTTGCATGCGTTGTCGAAGCGTTCTTTGGGTGATGGAAGCGCACTCATGTCTTAGTAACTGTGGATTTTGAACTTGGTGAAGAATAAAAGAGAGTGAGGGTGACCACCGGGTCCAGTCCTAGAGAGGCAAAAGGCACAGAGACGAGCAGAAGAGTGTCTGGAGCTAGCAACAGACAATTCCCATGGCTTTTGTCGGCAGCGATATCAGTGGCAAGAGCGGTGATTTAGCGGTGAGGAGAAGGTCTTTACTCTGTAGCCCTCAGGCTCTCCAGGTCGCGCTTGCCACGCCGGGAGGACGCGCAGGACCCGTTCCTGCCGTTCCTGCATTCTTTACCAAGCCTTGACCAACCCCACTAGGAAGCCTAGGAAGCCCACAGGATCAATATGCGACAACTCAGTTTGAGTAAAATCAGACAACCATCCTTGGTCTCTCCGAGTACGGGGGACCTACAGGCGTCCAAGTGGTTTATAACTTTCCGCTCAACGAGAAATGCTTACGGACGTAAGTCACCTGCAAGGACAACACCAGTACCGAGGGCTCGCTTGTCTATCCCTGGAACTCCGCCCCCATAGCATGGCTACTCGTGCATGAGACCTCCAATACTCTCGTCGAATAGGGTGCCAGGTGCTGCTGGACCACAATGACTTAGCCCTTTGCGCTTGAGTCGCTCGGCTCAAAGCCGCTCTGGATTTATCTCGTTATTTCCAAGAGAAGAGCGTCGTTTTTGCCGTCTAGTCGAACATGAGGATTCTTCAGCAGTCACAGTTGGACGTGTATCCAAACCTGATAGCTCGACTTCCGAAACACTTGACCACAGGCAATGGTGAACAGCGGGCATCCCAGCAAAGCATGCTCCAACTGCCGGAAAAGGAAGATCAAGGTAAGAAAAGGCTTGATTCCAACTCCACCAACCCCGTCAAACAGTCAGATACGTGCATAACACTTTTGTCAGTGTGATCAAAGAAGACCGGCATGCACCCAATGCGTCAGGGCTGACTGGCCTTGCCCGGGCTATCGGCCTGATATCGACCTCTTTCTTCGCGATGAGACCAAGTGTGTCACCCAAAAATACCAAGGGTGCCGATCCATAGATTCCTGCCCGTCTGCATCAGATCGAGACTCCAGGCAGTGTTCTTACCGATCGAACGACCGAAACCCAGACGCGTCACCCTATCAGCTGAATATAGACGTCGTGACCCGGGCAGTGTCGTTCTTTTTCTCCCAGTATGTCCACCAACCTCCAACACCTTGTGGGAAATTTCAACCTGGGTCATTCCAATATCTCCCGTCCCTGTACGCCCGAAGTCGACCAGATGGACCCCTGGTTCCGATCGTCCATGCGGCCGCGCTCGCCAGTTATGCCAATGCGGGAAACGTCCCCCGCTGGACACTGGAAAGCTACCGATTGTGCGGGCTGGGTATCCTGAGATGTAGGCATGCACTTGGAAATCTAGTCGAGAGAAAGTCAAACGATGTTCTTGCCAGCATCATGCTGCTAGGCGTCTATGAGGTGAGTCGTATGGCAAGTGTGGATGATTGGATCTGATCAGTACCCCGTGAACGACAGACTATTGCCCTCAAGGGGACACAAGCCATGAAGACATGGAGTCAGCATATGCTTGGCGCAGCGGCAGTGATTGATTCCCGTGGCCCGGGTCAGTTTCACGATAGATCTAGCGTTCAGATCTTCCTGCAGATTCGACGCCTCATAGTCCTCTCCGCGTATCAGCTACAGCAACCGGTGCCCTTTTCCTTGAAAAAGTGGTCAACCTGGCTAGAATACGCCAGTGTTGGTGAAGATTACGAGGTTGTTTACCTCGCCAACCGGCTTTCCGAAATAGTTGAGACGCTTGCATCTGTCAGGGCCTTTATCAAAGCATCCAAGACTCGAGAGACAGGGGACATCTCTTCTATGCTTTTGCCAATCGACTTGATGCTTCAAAGCTGGCGGAATCAGCTCCCTACGTCCTGGTTGCCCGTACCTCGTCCTGCCTGCCGTTGTGAGGACTGTTCCTCGCGCAGTCATTTTGAAGGCATGCCTTTTGATGCCTATCCCAATCTATATGTCGCCTCGCTTTGGAACAATTATCGTGGTGCACGCATCCTGGTTCACGAAATGCTATTATCCACCGCAACTTCCTCTTCCATAACAGCCATAATGGACGACAAGGAATTATGCCCAACCATCAACCTATTGCGCCAGATGAGCACTGAAATTTGCCTCAGCGTCGACTACCATCTGAGACCAATTCCGGATGACTCGTTTTCCGGCTCCGTTGGACACTTGAAAGGAATAGTTACACCCTCAATCCCAGGTGGCGAACTCCTCATCTGGCCGCTCTTCATGGCTGGAATGTTGCCTACGACAATCCCAGCACGAAGGATGTGGATATCGGATCACCTAAGGCAGATTGGGGCCAACCTAGGCATTGGACTGGCGCTTTCAATGAGCCAGGCTATGGACAACAAGCGGGACACAACTCCCTTTTCTCACAGCGAGCTGTGGGCGTATGGTGATTGCCAGGCCGAAAGTGCCTGCCATTGAACGAAGCTAATGTACAGGAACGGCCTCCTTGAATTGTCTTGATTGAGGAGTGTCCGTGTCGGATGCCTGATGCCGAAGTCCTCCTGAAAACCAATGATATAGCATCCCCCTTGGACCAATTTGAACCGACTGGTTGACCATCTTGAGATGCGTGCATATACAGAGTCTCCATCTGCAGTTGTTAATTGGCTACGCCGCAAAGCTAACCTGTCCTGGACTGGGCCTTCTCATCTGTCACCTTTGTTGTGTATAGCTATTGTTGTTGCTAACGACGAGTAAGTCGAGGTGTTCAGTTGTGTCTTGCTGCACGCCAGTTGGTCTCAGGACGATGTGCTTCTCGAAATCCACTTGTCGAGTTTGGTTCGGTTGTCCGTCTCCAGAGAGGAATCTCTGCTTCTTACAAATAGACGGCAGCCCTTTGACATCAACGATGTCGGCCAGCGAAAGACCACTGACTGCTATTGCTCAGTTGAGAGGCACAGGCAAGCTGACAACCCAGACTCAATTGAGATTGTCGACAATATGCTTCTCTCAGTACTTTTGGCATCCATTGTTGCCTTCGGGGGTACTGCCCAAGGCCTCAAGTTGCCTATCGTCGACCTTGGGTATGGACTACATCAAGCAATAGGATACAATGTGGGCCAAGATACCTTGCACCTCCGCAGCACGAGACGACTGACCCATTGCAGGATACTTTGGACTTTTATAACTTTTCCAACATTCGATACGCTCAGCCTCCGACGGGTCGTCTTCGCTTCACGGCGCCCCAGTCTCCTTTAGTAAACAGAACTCTGCAGGATGGCAGCTCCGGAGGTACCTGTCCTCAAGCATACCCTGTCTGGTACCTCTGTGGGCTGGCTCTGCTCGGTGGCTCCATCAACTCCACCGATGCCTGCGATGCTAGCCTCATTCCCAAACCCGACCCTACAGAACAAGAGGACTGCCTGTTCCTCGATGTCATAGTCCCGAAAGAGGTCTTCGCAAATGCCAGCAAAGAACATGCTAAAGGAGCGCCGGTGATGGTTTGGGTGTACGGAGGTGGGTTCACTTTCAGCAAAAAATACGAGGACGGGAATCCTGCCGGGCTCATCCAGAGAAGTCGGGAAGAAGATGCGGGTGGCAAAGGCGTTGTCTACGTCACATTCAATTACAGGGTACGCTTTTGTTCTTGTACCATTTTTCAACGCATCTGATGCAGATTCCAGGGTGGTGCCTTTGGTTTTCTGTCTGGGCCCAACATTCAGTCCTACGGAACCGCCAACGCTGGCCTGCTTGATCAGCGCATGGCTCTTGAGTGGGTGCAACAGTACATCCACCTCTTCGGAGGCGACCCGAAACAGGTTACTGTATTCGGACAGTCAGCTGGAGCAGGTTCCATTATGCACCAGATCACAGCATATGGCGGTCTGAAAGGGCCAGCGCCTTTCCAGAGGGCGATCCTACAGTCACCCGGGTTCGAGCCATTCCCCAGCCACTGGGAGCAGGACCATCTGCTGCAGAGGTATCTGGGGCTCCTCAACGTGTCGACGATTCAAGAAGCACGCGAACTCCCCTTCGCCGCGCTCTCTGCCGCCAATGTGGAGCTCGTCGCCACTTCACCGTACGGAACGTTTACATTTGCCCCGGCGGTCGACGGAGACTTTGTGCCGAGCTTACCAGGCAATCTGCTGGCGCAAGGGAACTACGACACATCGGTGCAGCTGATGACGGGCTTCAACGCGCACGAGACGCTGTACTTCACCAACCCAGCCAGTACCAACAACTCCATCTTCCTGTCCAGCATCACCAGCACGTTCCCAGGCATTCAGGCCTCGGTCGCAGACTATGTGGCCCAGACCCTCTACCCTCCGGTCTTCAACGGGAGCTATCCCTACAGCTCGTTCTACGAGCGCGCCGAGCTCACGCTGCAGGAAAGCGCCTTCACTTGCAACACCTTCTTCCTTCAAACGGCGGGAGCCCTCGAAGTCAAGTCGTCGACAAAAGCGGGCTACGGCTACCGCTTCAGTGTCCCGCCCGCTTACCACGGCCAAGACGTCGCTTACACGTACTACAACCCCTCGACGGCCGGGCCGAGCGTGAACGCCACCATTGCCCTGTTCATGCAGCGGGTCTTGACCCGGTTCGCCCTGACTGGGAACCCAAATCGCGAGAACGATGCCGCGTCGACCACTACCATGCCGGCATATTTCTCTCACCAGACAACATCAGGGGCGGGTCAAATCCTCGACCTGAACGTGACAGGTTTGAATGTGATTGCCGATCCCAACGACAATGACCGCTGTCTCTGGTGGCAGAAATCGCTTTACTACTGAGTCCGAGCAAGCATCTCTGGGTAGGTGCAACAGAGGGGAGAGGAGATGACGCCGTGGGACTAGTTAAGCCTCTGCATGGAGTGCTCACATGGTACTCTGCGGCGGACTGACTGAGCGATTAAACGATCGAGTGTTAGCTGCACACAAGGGAGCAGTGGTGGTGGTGGTAGTCTTCAATCCCTATGCGGGTTTGTCCAGCGAAAAGGCATCACAAGCACCCCACAGACCACGTCTTCATTTGAAGGGCGATAATGTTGCTCGTCGATTTTATTTTCCTTGTCTGTACGACTCGAAAGGCCGGACACGAACTGGTAGCACAGGCGAGAGGCATGGCACATCAGGTAGTCAATCAGTCAGACTACACACGAATCAGTTAATGTTTTGCATTATCAACTTCAAGCGGACGAACAAGGCTATAATGGTATCTCTGAGCTGCAAAAGCAGGTGAATACGAAAAAACAACTCGCCCTCCCGCCACCGAAATTGCTCCATCATGATACATCTTACACCGTCGCTACCTTAATCAATGCTTGCCCTCGGTGAACCACGCGGTGGCTCGGTCGACAATGGCCTTGCCGCCAGACTCGATAACGTCCCCGTGACAAGGGATGACTCGGTCGTAGTCCCACTGCTTAATTCTCTTGGCCGACTCGGCAAAGCCCTTCCTGTCCTTGCCGGCGGCGGCGTACCAGAGAAAGCGCTTCTGCCAGGTCATCTCGCCCTTGGTGTTCATTATGCCTGCAAAGAGCTTCGTCAAGATTCCGGAACCCGCGGCCACTCCGGCCTTGGAATATTGTTCGGTGGCCGGCAGGTTGAAGAGCAAATCGGCCTCGATCATGGTCCTGCTGGGCTTGTGGAGAAAGACCAGCTCCTTGTTGGTGTGGGAGTCAAAGTATTCGTAGGAGAACTCGGTGTCGAATTCGGGAGTGATGTGCATGTCAAGCTTGTTCTTTGCGGAGAAAACATGTGCAAATTTTATGCCTTTGGTGGCTGGATCACCCTCTCTCTTCTCTGGCAGCCCTTCCATACCGATCACTTCCGCTTCGGGGTATTCTTTGGCCCATGTAGAGATGAATATGTGATGCTCGATGTCCGGCGCGACGATATATTTGATAGGACCCATTGACGTGACTTTGGCCTTGACGTCCGGGGTGAGCGCAACAGGTGAAAAGACGGCAACGTTGCCCGTCTGTAGCTTGACCAAAGTACCCCGGCCGCCAACCTTGATGTGCCCAAACCGCAGGAAAGGTACGCTGAGCGTCGTGATATTGGGAGTGACATCTCTTATGACCATGACCTTCGCAGGGTCACGCGGGATCAAGGAGGAGGCGGATTTGGCGGTAGACATTGTAAAAGGTAGGAAGTGGTGTTGTGTTAGAGAGGTATTCGACCTGTTTGTGAGGTTATCGAACTGCTGGATCGCAATGCAGAGGAAGAAGTAGATCGAAGGTGCAGGGGAGGTCTCATGATATACTTTTCGCACAGAGCCCTCGTATACCAGGTCTCGAGTTTTCCACTCAATGGTTTCTCATCTTTGTGCCTTGCATTACCAAGTCATTATTCGGTTGACTTCTGCCCTGGTCCGCATGGTTCAGAAATGCGAACAGCTAGAGAGCAGAACGTCATGCATTAAGTGGACACCGCGCCACCACGGGCGTTGTTTTTTAAGCATAGACGATGCCAATTATGGAAGGGCTTCAGGGATGCCTCGGCCTGTGGTTTGCAGAAACTGTCATCAATCGGGTAGCGCCTATGGAGAAGCGAGACTTTCACCTAGTTACTCATCAAAACGGCATCCAGCCACCGCACTCGGGGTGGTGAAGGGATTGAGAGCTCCAGTGAACGTTAGTCAGCCTGTCTTGTCAACCATCCCTCTCTTGTATAGTGCCCGGAGCCAAAGCAAATAATTAGAGGCCATGCATGTGTTGCTATTTGGAATGCCCACTGGAATGCGAGCCTGCGCCCGTGCGTGCTCGGCCGTAATAGGTATTTGGAAACCCAACAAACGAGTACGCTGAGCCGAAATTACCGCAACCGCATACGACTGTCTCTTCAGTATCTTTCTCGCCGTTCGTGAGGTAGGTGACGATGCGGACGAGCAGCCCGTGGTTCTGGGGGTTTTATGGATGTAGGCATTGGGAGGGTTGATAAAATACACGATATCTATCTAGCGCTAGTTGGTACTAGTAGGCACCTGGGGTAGACAGGACATCTACCTGAGGTAGGTACTGGTAGGCACCCAAGGTACGAGTAGGTAGTAGTAGGCACCTAAAGGCAGGCAGGCTGGCAGGATAGGCACCTGAAGGAGGACTTGGATACTGAGCATACTCGTGATTTCATTCGAATGCTCAAAGGTCAAATGCCATTGCAAGTCGGATTTTTCCTACGTTGATATGCGCCAGTCGCTGTCCGTAGTCGGTGCGATAGCAGGGAGACTTAAATCCACTAGCTGAAGACGGGAAAACTGGGAATTTGAAGTGAAGTGTTTTGATTCCCCCATGCAGGGTGTCTGGCATTTTTATTTCCTCAATCAAACGTTTCAATCGCCCTTGATGCCTATTATCTACAAAAACCTGTTCAACGCCAATTTCAAGCTGTCTTCCAAGAGCCCACTACCTCCACAGACATTGCTTGTCCCTTTGGCGAACTTGCGCCTTATCTCGTCGTTCCGCATATCATTTTCTTCATCATTCACAGCTCGACTATCGAGCAGCACATACGCAGGTTCGTGATCCGATCCTCCAATGTGCTCGGCATTGTCGCTGGTATCAGGAATGTTTGCAGACAGAGAATGAACCAGCTTCTTTGTCTCCCTCCTCGGACTCTGAAGGCCACCAGGAGTGATAAGCAGAAGCTCTGGGTCATCACCCGAGGATGGATTCAACGGTGTCCATGTCTTCCTTGTATCGGAAGACGCCAATGCAGCGTCCAGCGCCTGGCTATTGAGAACCATTCCGGGCGAGCGCAAGAATAGTGCTTGATCGTATTCCCATCGACCCCACTGCAACTCTCCAAGTAGTTGTGATCGAACGTCCCATGCGTCGTATATCCTTACGGGATGGTAGATAAGGCTGTACAGTTCCTGAACGTCGCGCATGAAGCTCAAAGTTGATGTATAGAGGGGTGAGGATTCGGTCTCCCAGGTGGATGGATAGAGAAGGATGATGGATGGTTCTTTGGACAGTCGTGAAGATGACCGTTGCTGTTTTGCAAAAAGGAGTGCCGAGCACAAGTGGTGTGGCTCGAGGAGGGCAAACATGTAGGCAAGACGCTGGAGTGGGGTTTCGTCACTTGAAGCTGACTTGAACAGGTCCGGAGAGGAATCCAACGTTGCCTCATTCTGGTCCTGGTTGATTACTGGCACTTGAACCGTGTCCGAGTTCTGATCAGCCCCGACGATAACGACAGATTGCAAGCCATCTTCGGGGTTTTCCAACACTCTCGGAACGCTATCGTTTTCTTCATGTCGAAACTGCGGAGGCAGGGTTGGCACAGGTCTTCGTTCGGGTGGTCGTCGAATGGCTTCTTGTATGGAGCGCACAGATTGTTGTTGTAACACATATCCCGAGAGAAACAACAGGAATGTGAACGTGCAGACAACCCCGCTAGAGATGATGACCGAGACGGTCGAGGATGTTAGGAGGACCATTGCCCTGCTGGGCTCCAATTCGTGACGCAAGAAACAAGTGTGTTCATGCAGCTGATTGGAACCGTGATGGTGGTACGAAGACGATTCTTGGTCGGGCCTTAACTTAATATATGCTTGTGAGTACTGGCTTTGACCTCTTCTTCTGAGATGGCTTCGGATGAGTCCGGTCACAAGTAAGAGAGTCATCGTCCAGCCGGTTACGGAGGCAATGTTTACAGCCTCGTCGCGAGGAGCAACTGATTTCTTGGCAAGCCAATCGCGGAGCTCACGAGGCTGACAGTGGCGACGCCGCTTTTAGGTTCAATCAACCTGCTTGCGGCTCTGCGCATTATTGCACACTCCCCCTCTCCCGCAACTGTTCAATTGTGCTCCTTCGACCCTCACGTTGACCTTTGCAGTTACATCGCTATTTCCATGTGCTCAGCTGGCTCGCGTACCTCTTCAAGGCCTCCCTCCTCCCATTTAGGGCCCCCAGGTCTAAAGTTGTCGATCGGCAGATCTGGCCCGTTCCGCACTCTCCCCTTGTCAATTGAATGTCTAGTTTCTCCCCGGCCCGTCCTTCGCTGGAAACAAAGGTACGAGATACAAGCACTGCAGTCAACCTTGTAGGCACTTGCCTACCACAAGAAGATGGCAATGGTACAGCCGCAACTGCATGCAGCGTTTCCAGGCTCCTATGACATGCCGCTGTGTGCGTGACATGAATGCGCCCGGCCTCAGAATATCCCTGCAAATCGACCCTGGTAGGCCCAACATTCGCACGGCACACTGAAGCGAGCAGGGTTCAGACCAGGGCTGTGTGCACATGCCTAGACTGCTGAGGCTTTACGTCCATCTCGCTACGACTAGTCTGTCTGCATGTCTGGGTCGACTGCCTTCCGGTCGCCTTTTCCTGAGCAATAAGAGGTCAGCCTCATTCAGAGGACGGCTGGACTCGGCCGTGGCTGCAACTAGCCGACCACAATGCATGGCACTATTGGTTGAAAATGTAATGGTATCCTTCAGCCCGTATTCAGAGTGAGGCTGAAGCCTGACTTTGTAATGGCCCCCCTCCCTCCCTCCCTTCCCCTCGCCTAGTGAACAAGGTATATCTTTCCGTATCCCTCATTATCAGAGACCTTCCTCCTCTCCAGTAAGTCTTTGAGATCAAGCCTGGAAACCAGACTCGAATCTTCACTGTGTTGACCATGGCTAACGGCGATGTTTGTGCCGACTGTGAGCGGCCTAATGTCCGTGTCTGGCTTTGTTCAGCCTGCTCGGGCATCTCGTTCTGTGACGACTGCTGGCCAAAACAGGCTGCCCACAAGGCGAAGACCACGAATCTCGGTAACCGCGCGCATATGAAAGAAGATAGGGCGACGATATTGATGATACGCTCAATTCTGGAACCACCAATGGATCCTCAAGAGATTAGGACCCTACACGACAAAGACCAGGACTCAAGATGGTTCGGCGTTGTCAAATCTTCGGACGGTAGAAAATCAGAGTTTTATGACTTTGGCCGATACGGTCAAATGATGCTGGACAGTCGGCCACTCGGCGGGGCGGCCAGATACCCTAAACTTGTCTCCTTCATCGGGGACACCTGTAGGTCATCTCAAGATACGCAATCGAGATCTCTCTGACGTTGGCAAGACGCTGGCAAAAGCACGATTGTGAAAGCCCTGGTATCTCATGGCGGCTTGGTATCTACCGAAGCCGACCGCACGTCCTTCCATACCCCAGTGCCGGGCTCCAGAGCCAACGAAGGGACTGCCACGTCGGAAGGCGTACACTTGTACGCAGATCCCGAGCATCTAGAGGTTGCGATGCCTATCCTCTACGCTGACTGTGAGGGCCTAAACGCGGGTGAAAAGGTACCTTTCGCCGTGGAAGATTCCTCACATTCCAAGAGGGCAGCAAAAGAGTCAGGAGGGCCAAGGAAAGTGAGAAAGAAAATGCCTGCGAGGTCTGTCCCCATTGAATGGACAAAGGCAAACGATCCAGTCAAGGGCACTCGAGAATATGCTGTCACCAATCTTTACCCCAGGTTTCTCTATACCTTTTCTGATGCTATTGTTTTCGTCCAGAGAAATCCAAAGTAAGTATGTTCTCCGCCGAGGGGACTGTCTACTGACGGGCGGCAAGCCAACTTCACATCACTTACAAGTACCTTGTCGACTGGGCAAAGCGCAGCGTCGAAAAATCCCTGAACCAACCTATCCTACCCAGCGCGATAGTCGTGCTTAACGCTGTTGAGGTTGCTGGTAAAGACGAGAGATGGACGATTGAGGACGCGACGAAGAGCTTCTTCCGAGATGTTGAAGGGATCACAACCACTGAACATGATCTCAGAGAGCTCGCGAGGAACTTCGCTCCCGAAGGGGATTACCGCAGCTTGTCTGCACGCGAGTTGCTTGAATGCTACTATCGATCTGTTCGCGTGATTCGCATTCCCGCGAAGAGCTCCGAGACGTACAACTTGATCAACAACCAGATCTTGCAGCTCCGAGAGGAAATCGTCAGCGTCTGTCAGACCGCTCACTACGAGAAAAGCATCAAACGCCGGCTGGCCAACGCCGATGACTTGCAGCAATACCTACAAGCGGGTTTCGAGCACTTTGCCAATGACATTGAACGACCATTTGACTTCAGAATGGTTTCTACTCGTAATAAACTCATTGCCCACGACTTCGGCGATCACATTTTGACGTTGGCAAGAACAATACACGAGAGTACTCGTCACGAGCTTCTCCAACCGAAAATGCTCCTCGGTGGCTTATGTTCGCTGATAGCATCGTGCATCCTGTTGGACTACGTCCGGAATAACTTGCAGGGTAAGTAAGTGCTGCTATTCGGCGTGACGAAATGTCTCAATAACAGCTTCGCAGGGCCTGTGCTTGATTACTTCCCGAAAGACTACGCTCCCTTCTGCCGGACAGCTTTACACATGTTTTGTAACGATATAATGCCTTGTGAATATACAAGTAAGAGAATTCCGCACTGCTGCAATGTCAAGTCCGCCCACGACAAGGGCCACCAGAACGAGAAGGGTAAGAGAGAAATTGGACCATACAAATCTTCTCTTATGGCTTCTTCATACGAAAAGGTCTGGCTGAAGAAGATCGAAGACAATCTGAAGGCGCTGAACAGCACCTTTATACAAGAGCTTCGTTCAAGGTATCCGCTACACAAACAATCGCGAACAGATTTGTCTGGCAACCATGAAGGTCATATCTCGACAGACATGAAATTGGTGTCCAAATTACATGACGAGAAGCTCGCCGAGTTCTTCTCGTCTCAGATCAAGTCTTCCCGGGACTTCATCAGTTGTGTGAGCTGCTTTCGATGTCTGATGGCTACGCCTGAACATGCGTTGGAGTGTGGTCACATCCTCTGTGACTCTTGCATTCGAGAACATGGAGAGGAACAAGATGATCTTATCACACTGGTCGGAAGCTGTCCTCTACATGGCGGAAAGAGATACATGAACTGGGAAATCGCCAAAAAGCCCGAGTTCGCTGGTCTGAGGATTCTGTGCCTGGACGGGTAAGTGTACTTCCCAAGACTCTTGTCAGAGGCTGATATTGGGGACCAAGGGGTGGAATCCGTGGCATCGTGGAACTTGAGATTCTGGCTGCCATTGAGAATTGTATCAACAACTACCACTCGACGCCAGGGATTCAAATTCAGCAACTGTTCGACCTGATTGTGGGAACGAGGTGAGTGAGCCGGCGCCCATTCATGTGCGAATTCTGACGCGCCTAGCACCGGTGGTATTGTCGCTCTCGGCCTCGTCGCCGCCCAATGGTCTGTTTCTGAATGCACGCGCAGATTCAAGTCTCTTTGCAAAACAGCATTCTCCGAGCGGGAATTCGCAGACACGATCTTTGAGAAGCTGGCGACTTTGAACCACGGAAGCAAATACAGGACGACCCCATTGCACAGAGTTTTGCAAGAGTCCTTCGGTGACGACCTTCTCTTCGGGGGCAAGAGTAATGCCGCGAGATACTCCACGAAGGTGGCTGTGGTATCTACGTCAGGCACCGGGAACCGAGCCTTGATCATGGCCAACTACAACCGACAGCAAACTTCTGATCCTGGATACACTCTGGAGACGGCTCGGACCCCGAGTGAAGCGTTTCATGTCTGGGAAGCTGCCGCGGCTACCTCAGCAGCTCCGTCCTACTTCAAACCTTTCGTGAGGCGAGGAAGGACATACCTTGATGGGGCCATCAATCACAACAACCCCGTGATTGTCGCGAAAAGAGAGCGAAGGTTGCTATGGCCAGATGTCGAATCGCGCCACCCGGATATCTTTCTCTCCCTTGGTACGGGTCAAAACGCTGCTGAGATGAGCCGAAGACTAGAAAAGTTGTCTGGCCATTCGAGAGAGGACCATTTGAGGAGAAAGCAGCAGAATGAAGGACCGCGGGATTCTCGAAAGCGCTACCGGGCCATGAAAGGCATCAAAAACTATTTCAGCGTTCTTGTAAGTGGCATTTCACCATTCTTCTTCGGCGATGAATACCCCTTCTGACCTTGATTCTCTAGGTTGATAAGATCGACAATATCCTCGACACCGAATGGTCCTGGCACGAGTTCTACCGCGACACGGTGGGCGAGCAGTGGGCAACAGAATTCGCGTCCCATTATTTCCGCATCAACCCTGATCTCAGACAAAAGCCACCGCCGCTAGATGCAAAGCATGACGTGGATCACCTGCGAGGGATGGTAAACAAGCTGCTCAGACAGCCTCCGTTGTCCCGCGAGGTCATAGAAATTGCGAACTCGCTCGTTGCCAGCACCTTTTACTTCAAGAAGGACGAGTCTCATGTCTTTGGCGACAAGCAAAATCGCGCTTTTGTTTGCACAGGTGAGTGTCGATGAGGCGGGAAGGATGTCGCTAACCAGTTCGAAAGGTCATATTCGCTGCAAACTCGCTCACCAGGACCAGAGCATCAAAACTCTGGCCGAATTTCTGCAAAACCACATCATCGGGGACTTTGTTCCCAGCTTTGTTGCGAAGAGGCGTTTAACCTCGTCGGAAGAATTCACGGTACGCAGTTGCTTTCTCCCGCTTGGGCGGTATATCGTCTGCAAGGACGGGAAGCTGATAATGTGCAGCTCTTTGACCTCGACAAAAAGTTCCTTGACGACATGTACACTCGCAAAGTGTTCAAAGGGACGTACCATGCGGAGATCGAGCTTCGAGACCGTGAAGAATCGGTATACATCCTCCTGCGGCTGAGACAACCCAACTCGAAGCCAAACAAAGTCCACACTTGTGATTATCCGATCAGCGGCTTCCCTCGCAAGTTCATTGTGGAGAACGAGAGAAATGGTAAGCCGTCACCTAACAATCCTCATCCTCGATGCCGGCTTGGACTGACAGATCTCTAGCATCGAGACTGCAGAAGCGAGTGCAGGAGCTGGCAAGACGTCGTGAAGCTGCGAGCGAGGCGGCTGCTTCTTTGCCACTGTCACCAACCATCCAACCCGTTGCCTCCAGATCGTCGTACAACATTACTCGCGTGTCGACTACAGAGAGCCTGACGGATTCGGATACGGAGCAGGACGACGGTCTCTTGTCAGAGCAAGTGCTGAAAGAGTATGAGGCGTGGTCCATACGAGACTGATTTGTCTGCTTGGTGGAGATTTTGGGTAACGAGATAATTGCAAAATGGATAATTGACGGCAGATCAGAGGGCTATATAGATAAACTTAATTCGTAATGATGTCTAGTAGTCTCTCCGTATGCTTGTTTCTATACCTGAGAGTGCGTCCTCTGCCAGAGTCGTGCAGAGTGCACTACTGAGGTGCACAGGGCGGCATCACGCTAACCCAAAAGCGGATTACTGGCCTGGTGACGTTGATGCGGGCTTTGCAAGTCCCAGAACTTTTTCTGCTGTATCTACTTGTAGCCACACGCTCTCCCGCAAGGTCTGGTTGTCTGGCAAGCGATAGACTCTTCTCTCACTCCTAGACGCTACCATGACGCACCGCGCCGATGCCTCCAACACGCTCGATAACCGCGGCTACAGCGGTCCTCTGGTGCGCGGCCAGAATCCTGCCCTCCTCTTAGAAACGGCCATGCGCGACCGCATCACCGACTCGCTCTACTGGAAAGAACAGTGTTTCGGACTCAACGCCGCGACTCTGTGCGACCGAGCCGTCGAACTCTCCTACATCGGTGGCACCTATGGGGTAGCCATGAAACCTACACCCTTTATCTGCCTCGCATTCAAACTCCTGACCCTCGTGCCCGACCGGGAGATCGTGCTCGAATATCTCCAAAACGGAGGCGAGGAGTGGAAGTACCTGAGGGCGCTGGCGGCATTCTACGTCCGCTTGACCTTTGAGCCGGCCGACGTGTACAAAACCCTAGAGCCGTTTCTGGAGGACTCGAGAAAATTGAGGCAGCGGAGAAAGGAGTCTTATGTGCTGATCCACATGGACGAGTTTGTGGACAATCTGCTCACAAAGGACAGAGTCTGCGGGACGAGTCTGTGGAAGTTGCCGGCCAGGCAGTTGTTGGAGGACCTGGAGCAGTTGGACGAGCGGGTGAGTCCGCTGCAGGCGGAGCTGGATGCTATGGAGGAAGAGGAGGAGGAAAACGGCGAGAAACCAGACGAGGACAGCGATGTGGGACGTCATGCGGGGAATGGGACGGCGTCGGAAAATGGGCAGAGTCCCAGGTCAAGAAGCAGGAGTCGAAGCAGGAGCAGCAGTCGGGGTCGTTCGATCAGTGATTGAAGCAAGAAGTACACACTACACGGGCTACACGGGCAATCAAGCCTGAGATTGCTGACTAGAGTCTCCAACGACGATATACTCGTCCTCGTCGGCGGACGGTGATCCAACGTCCTCTGTTCTCGAGTTGGGCCCCTCACCCTCAATGTCGCCGATGCCCTGTCCTGCATCTTCCGTCCCGAACGGCGCAATCAGCGACGCCTGGGATCTGATGAGATCGATCAGAGACGTGCTGTCACCGTGGCGTTCCCACGTCGGATGTCTGACTTGTCTCTCCGGCGCCTCGAATCCCTTTGACAGCAATTCCTCTTGATTCGGGGCTTGGGTCGCGTCCCGAGTATCATCCTCGTCGATACCGCTTTCGACCAAATCCTCCTCTGAATGGGCGAGGGTTTGAGTTTCTCCATGAGCAGCGGCCTCACGAGCTACGTCTTCGTGCTCCGGAGCTGCTTCATTATCCCACTCCGGCGCCTCAGCCGGTTCCGGGTTGCTTTCAGTCGCCAAGTTGGCAGCATCTGAGCCGACAGATTTATCGTCCTCGGTGTCACTCCCGCTTTCGAAGGATTGCTCGGATGCGTTGTCGTCATGCGCAGGCGAGTCACCTTGCGGACTCCAGATTTCCTTGCCCACTTCACGACTCACGAGGTGCTGTTCCCTCCATATCTCCTGCCTCACATACCTCTTCCATTCAGGAGCATCACATGGAGCGTCGAGTAGTTGGGGCATGCTTGGGCCGCCGATGTTTGTATTTACAACATTGAGCAATGTTATGGAGAAGCCGTTGCATTGCACGTCTTCGTGACTGGTGGAGGCATCGGTTGCCATTGGTTTTATGTATGTCGACGGGCTGGCATAGCCATACACACGTACGGGCCAAATGTTCCACTGGTGTTGCAGCTCCTGGACAGTTGCATCAATCACATCATTGACCCAGTCTGTGTCGTTCGGCAGGAGAGGGTAGTCGAAATTGACGAGCAAGACGGGCTCATTGGAGTTTACGTGCACGTTTCTCGAACGCGAGACGGTAGGGTCCACGAGCGCTTTGAGCATCGAGGCGACGGTCTTTTGGGGAACATCTCTTCCAGAACCTTTGCTGTCACTGTCTTCGTCGACACTAGTCCCCGACTGTATCTTGACGTGCGATGAATTGTAGGTGATCAAGTTTTTGGCCACCAGGTCACCCACGCCACGGACATCGTCGTCGCCATAGCCACCCCATTTTGACAGGGCGTCACATATCTTGGCCACGAGGAGGATTCCCGCACCGGTGGTCTGTGACGTGTTTGTGTACTTGGGCGCCGAATCTTGTTCGCTCGAGAAAATCACATCGTCGACCGCGACCCCGATGGATCCTGGTAGGTCGAGCATACTTCCTTGAGCTTGCGCTTGCGCTTGCGCACTGGGGATAGCCATCGTCTTGTCTCTCGGGTGTGCGCTTTATCGCCTGGAGCAAGGGGGGGATCGGTGACCCTGCCTGGTCTGGAGTATGATAGTATATACTCGTTGAAGTGTGTTGTGCTCGTCGTCGCTTGTCGAATACGACTGGAATAGTGGGAGTTGAGAGAGTCCAAAGTGGTCGAAACTGGAATTGTAGCAAACGTGGGGGAAAGGTATTGATTTATCCCTCTGTACATGTGTGGTGTGTGTCAGAACGTAGCGATCGAGAGGAAGAAGAACAGGACGACTACATAGATAAGACAAGACAAGAAAAGACACGACCCAATATCTCTCTTCCTGTATTACCGAGTAACGAGTAACTGTGCTCTGCCTGCTTGCTGCGATGTACCAAAGAAATATTATCACATGCTTCATTATTCTCTCGCCCCGTGTCCATGGCACCAATCAATTCGGGAAGGAAAATCGCTGACGTTTTTCGATCGTCGCTTTTTTCTTGTCACTCCCGTCCTTTGGGGGGGCCCGTCACTACCGGCCTGGAATCAAGGCCTCGAACATTTTTTGCCTTGCAGATCAGATTCAGATCAGATCAGATAGGCCTGAGCAGCTGCCTGAGTTCTCGGGACGCCAGGGCGTTGGGGCGGGACAGGCAGGCAGGCAATAATGGCGTGGCGACGTAGATGTTTGGCCATAGGGTCCGGAGGGGAGAGCCGTCCGTCCGTCCCGTCCAACTCGCTATACTGAAGCTCGCCATCACTCGTCGATCAAATCTTCCTCTGCGGAACCGAGAACTCATTCTCATACGTGGAACTTGGGATGGGATAGGGTAGGGTAGGGTAGGGTAGCAAGGTAGGTAGGTAGGTAGGTAGGTAGGTAGGTAGGTAGGAAGGTATATATTTAGTTTTGTACCTACATTCATACACAAAAGATGGGTACTTTGCGCAATACTATGCTATGCTATGCTATGCTATACTACCGGCTGGGGTAAGAGAAATTGAGGAAAAATGATGGTGGTGATGGCCAAAACCTCCTCAAGTCTTTCTCCTTCCATGGGTCGAACGAGGTCCAAGTTGGTTTTTCATTTCGCTTCGTATGTGGTTTGTTTGTATTTTCTCTGGTGGAGGTGGAGCCCTCGCAGGCTGGATCGCGGTGGGATGGCACTAGGTATTTGGGCGTTGTGCATTCCTGGCCGTGGCTAGTGATGTATATCTCTTCTTCCTCTTCTTTCTCCTCTCTCATTTGCTGCTGGTAGTGGTAGTGGTGGTCATGGGTACTCTTTCTATCTCATAAACAACGCGCACCTCTCCTTTATACATGTTTTTCACTCGCGAACCCCCTCGCGGTTTGCGGCCGTGCCTGTCTGCCTGTCTGTCTGTCTAGTTCGACACCTCGACATCCCCAAACCCCTGCTGTCTGACCCACTTGTCCTTCCAGCCGGGAAACCACGGACTCTCGTCCAACGTGTGGTGCTGCCAGTCCTTCTCCACAAGACCCCGCTGGATCTGCTCGCGCTCGTACTCCTCCAGCGCGGGGACCACGACGTGCTCGACGTGCCACGTGTTCTTGTACTTCATCAGGTTGTCCTTGCCGTCCCGCAAAACCTTGAGCACCAGGCTCGGGATGTACGGCTCGTCGCGGAACTCGGTCACCGGAGTAAACAGCGCTTTGAAGTTGAACACGATCCCGCCCGACAGCGGCAGCCGGCGCAGCGTCTGCCAGTCAACCCGCAGGTGGATCCGCGACAGGTCCAGGTCCGGAGACTGGAAGTCGCGGTACTTTTCGTGCGGGTCGCCGGGCGGCATGTACAGCGGCTGGTCGACTTCGAGACCCCACGAGCCGCGCTGGATGGGTCTGGGTGAGGGCATCTTGGTGAAGAATCTATCGGGGACAGGAGTTAGATGTCACACTTTTGGTAGCTCATGGTGACCAGGAGGGAGGAAGCCTTACCGATCCATGCTGAATTGCATCTTCTCCTTGTAGTCCGGGATCGGGGCGTGGATCTGGGCCAACTGCATCCCGATCTTGGTCCCGACATTCCAGCCCAGCGCCGAGCAGATCATCCCCGCCCTGAAGTGGTAGTACCCGGTCTCCGGGTTTCGCAGCGTGATGGCAAAGTCTTCGGGGACGTTGTCCAACAGGACCAGCAGAGGGTGTTTGGCCGACACGTCCTGCGTGGTGCCCAGGATCTTGTTCTCGAACGTCTTCTTGTCAGAGTGCAGGCGGAAGTACTGCGGGTAGCGGGCGCAGAGGAACTGGAGCGCCATCTCCATGAGTTCTTTGCACGCCAGTTCCGACCCAGGCAGCCACTGGAGCACAGCCTCGCCGTGTTCGGCGTAGAGCTTCTTGCGCTGGGCGATGCGTGCCACGTACGTGTTTTCCAGTTCTAGCCACCAGTCGGGCTCTAGCTTGGTGAGGGCTGTATAGCGCGCTGTTAGTTAGAAGTACAACCAGTAAGGACAAAGGTACTGACACATGGTTTGATGATATGCCCATCTGAAGGGGCGGTAGGGTCGCGGGAGGGCTTTGTTGATGTCGTGTTCACGGTATGGCTTTGGAAGGGGGACGCCACTGAGGGCAGCATAGTCGGGGAAATCTCCCAGAGCTCGAATCTCTTCAATCTTGTAGCCCGTGAAGACGTATTTGTCTGCATCGGCCTTGCGAAAATCCTCGTCGAATCCCAGAACGGCTTTCATCCAGTTCTTCTCGTCGAATGTCGAGTTGAGTAGGGCCACGCGGCGGTCTTCGGGGAGCGAGGCAGCGGCTGCCGGAATGTTCTCTCTGGTCAGGGGCGGGAATGTGTTGACATACTCGGAAGCCTTTGGTGGTGAGTTGTTGGGCACCTTCTTCTCCGGCGAGAGGGAACGAGGCGGCGTGTCTGCACTGGAGATACGACGACCCCGTAACCTCAGCCTTCTGAAGACGACTTCTTTCTGACGTTGACTCAGACTCAGATAGGTAATGACACCGACGCACACAGCGAGACCCAGGTAGAGCAGGGTTCGCTCGTCCTTGAATGACGCCATGGCTAGTGAGCTGGTAAAGGGAGATGCAAGGCCGAACGGAGGGGTGGAATATATGTACAACCGGACCGAGTCAAAAGATCGAGCCTTGACAGACAACGGCCGGGTGTGAAATAGTCTCAAAGTCTCGGAGAGGGTGCAAGTCACAATCACCAACAATAGCCAAGTGGCGTAGGTCACGGGAAGCGCACAGAAGCCAAGTGCCGCTTGTCGACAATCAATGCCAGGAACGGTGAAATGGCGCTGGTATAAATATCGACCGCGAATCTCGAGGATCTCCCGAACAGGACAAAATGCCAGCAAAACCACAGATAATGGGTCAAGTCACACCACCGAGGCTAAGCAACGCTCAGGATAGCGGTAAGACACGACCCAACCGTAGAACAAAGGCGTAGGAAGGTCAGGCCAAAGGTACGAAAGATTGAGCTTGCAGCAAAGGAATGTGAAATGGGAGGGGAATCAGAAATGGGGATTTGATGATGTTGTCTGCTGCAGGGAGAAGTGAGCTCAAAAGGGTGTAGAGCAAGCAGGGATCGCGACGGGCAGTGGCCAATTGGGGACTCCACTGCTCATCGGAAAAAAGGTGTATAGAGCTATTATCAGCCCAGATATCTCAACAAGGTAGAATGGCTTGACAGGTACCGGGGGGTGGCCTATGCCCGGCCAGGGTGATTGCAGTGGTTCGTGGCAGGTTATCAAGCAACAAGCTCTGCCTCGATTGATGCCGGGAGCCCGAGAGTCGAATAAGACGGATCGGCAGAAGGAAGCCAGATCCAGAGGCGACTTGACTGGCCATCGAGGGATTCAGCGAGAGACGATGCTGGCACGGCTGGTCGTCAGAATGCAAACGCCAGCGGTTGGCTGCACGGACAGCCTTGCCAAAAGAGGTTTAGCTCGATATTGATACGGCGATAAGGGAGGCGACCCACTGACCGGGTGTGATTGGTGGATGTCAGACCCCGCGATCCCCACTTTCGCCTTCCTTCGATTGTTCCTCTTTCGGGCAAATCTTTCCCGGCCGCAACCTCTGAAGCTCTCTGTGCCCTGATAGTCCTGGGAGCCGGGAGCCAGGGACAACCTCGCGGCATAAGAGAAGACAACATGGTCGCGACAGCAGCGCGCTCACCGTGCGAGCCAGTTGAGGTCCAGGGTGCAACACATATCTGTCCAAGGGGGACGACAACAGCCAACCACTCTTGTATCTGCTCCCCTTGTGCGACGTCGGCTTGCTTCGACTCTAGCATCAGGCTGGTCGAGTTCTCGAAGCAATGATCGAAACGGCCATGCTGTAGCACAATGACCTGTGCAACAATCCTCCTATTAGCCGCGCGACCACCCAGATCTGTCCACACGTGGTCACAACTCCTCGGGTGCTTGCTAATTTTCTTCCGGCCTGCTGATCGTACGAGGTCCCTCTGTTACGAGGCCACAATATGATGAGGAGAGGATCCTGAGAAGATCCAATGACATGGACAAAGGGACGCGGTTTGTTGGGACACAGACTTCGTTCCCCAGCGACGACTGCACATCCTCGCTTGGAGCCGGGCGTTCAAACTTGCTGGCTCAGCCCAGATGTAGGACAACTTTCTTCGCTTGTACCCAGCCATCTGGTTCGGCGTTTCTTGGTGGTGGCTGCCATCATCTTCTCCTGGAATAAATTTCAGCCTCGCAAGGCATCTACCCAGCCTTAAAAGGCAGGGTTGTCTTCAGTCTCAACTCCCGACACAAAGGGACACATCCATATGCCTGTCGTGTGCGTGACGCCGGGTTGATCGACCGTGCTTCCTTACTATAGACACATCCGCTCAGAGATTTCAACCTCCAACCCCTTTGTATCGGTCGCCACTCGTGACTTGCATGGGAAGGAATTCAGGACCATCTGGGCACTGATATGAAGCGACATCCGCTCTTCTTACCTTCCAGTGTGACAGTAACATCAGTAATCCGTCGTCACAGCGTAAATGACTGTGTGACTCGGAATACGTTGAAAAATTCCAGCGTCGAGGCTCGCATTGCATGTTCATGGTACGATGCCTCAGAAGTCGATCATAGCAACGGCAATATTAATCAGGATCTCCGATACCAGCCTGTATTCACGCACATCTTTACATGGGGACCCTCGAGGAGACTCGGAGTCTCGGAAATGGGCGAAGAACAACAAGTATAATGCTTGCTAAACTCACTCTCATGCGGACAGCAGTCTGGATTTGCGCGTCATAACTCTCTTGATCCAGTCCTATCTCCCTCACACCGCTGGCGCTATTGTTCCCTCGCGTCGCATTGCCTGCAGTGCGTCATGTTCAGGACACGGAGCAATATCCAAGAGCTTTTCCGTGAATACTCGGTTGTGAAGCGCGGTTCAACAGGATCCCTATACTTTGCCGAGCAAACCGACAGTGTGATCGCCGGACCTTGAAGGGAGGGAGTTTGCCCAAACATGGTGCCTCGAAACGCAACTCTGCAAGCGGTAAGGAAGTTTTTGCTTAGTGCGGATATTGGATGGCATTTATCACAGTGAAAGTCTTGGTGCAACGACGCTTGTGCGTTTGACAGTGCCACTGAGCATTCAAAGCTGGACGGAGCACCTAGCACTTCAGAGATGAGAAGACGGCGAAACATGCAGGCTGGAAAAGTTTGGCGATTCAAAGCTGGCAAGTGCTGTCCTCGACATGTTGACGCCTCGCCAGCTCAATTTCACGGCAGAAGGGATCGGCAAGCAGAAGAAGCTGGTTCGCCTATCCATGGTAAACCACAGTCGGACGGCGCCACAGCTGATGACAGTGTAGTCGGTCGACATGGACGGTAACTGAAGCTGCAAAGATTCTGTTAGATTGAAAAGAGAATTGTCGTACAGGACAGGCGTCGCGTCAAAGCCTGTGTGGTACACTCTTGTTGTGATGAAGGGGGCAGAGAGTCCAAAGCGAACTATGCAGTGGAATTTTATGCCGGGAAGATGTGTGATTCATCCCCTCTTCCACAATCACACCCTCAAAGAATGGGTGCGTGTGTTTGACAAGCAGAAGATGAAGTGGACCAAAGCCTGATGAAGGAGAAGGAAGGAGTGCAGTTTTCCAATACATGATTCACCGTAATGATTCACTGTAAGCGGCTTTTCCAACTCCATGCGCACTTTTCATTTGCTGCCACCAAGTCTTTCCTACTTCAACGTCCTCCAGCATGCTCCAATACCACGTAGAGCCGATACGATGAGGGCAATGGCGGCAATCCTATACCCTCAACCCCAACACACAGACCTCCACCATGGGCACATTCGTCCCTCGCCGAATGTACCCGCACCTTGGGTCGATACCTAGATCCTACTACCTGGGCCACCATGCGGCCGGCTTGTCCAAGATGAAATCCATGATCTCGCAGATCGATCTTGTCATTGAGTGCCGAGACTACCGTACACCTCTTGTATCTCGTAACCCGCTGTTCGAGGCCAACCTCGGCGAACGGCCACGACTGATAGTTTACACCAAGCAAGATCTGGGGAGTAATTTCACAAACGAGGACAAGCAGGTATGCGCTGCCCCAGGGACAATCTTGTGCGTGGTCTTCTGACATTCACCAGCGGGAAAAGATAATCAAGAAATGGGATGCTCCATCCACCTCGTTCTTTGCCGATGTAAAATCCCGCGTTGCCATCAACCGAGTCCTCGAGTTTGCTCGGGCGCATGCCAATGCCTCGACCTCCCTCTTCGGCACCCGTCTTATGGTTGTGGGCATGCCCAATGTTGGCAAGTCGTCTCTCCTCAATGCGTTGCGAAATGTCAGCTTGGGTAAGAAGAAGGCTGCAAGAACCGGAGACCAACCCGGAGTGACGAGGAAAATTGGCAGCGACGTCAAAATAATAGACGCAGAAGATGGTCGAGAAGCGGTATATGTGCTAGACACACCAGGTGTCTTCGTCCCCTACGTCCCTGACGCCGAGAGTATGCTGAAGCTCGCTCTTTGTGGAAATGTCAAAGACACCATTATCCCACCAACGACCATCGCCGATTACCTTTTGTACCACCTCAACCTTCAAGATCCAACTTTGTACAATATGTTTTCCGAACCGACAAACGATATTTTTGCTGTGCTGGAGGGACTTGCGCGGAAACAGGGTCGCCTGAAAAAGGGAGGGATGCCGGACTTTGAGTCTTCAGCTCTGCAGTTTGTGCAGAAATGGAGAAGTGGGCACATGGGTAAATTTGTGTTGGACGACGTGACCGAAGACGCATTGGCTGCGAGGACTCGGGAACTGGAGTTCTTGGGAGGCAGCATGAATCAAGCTCGCAAAGCCGCGAAACAACAGAAGAAGGACGCCTATCTGGAAGCAGACTGAACCATGATCGAATTTGGCACATGACAGGGGAAACAACTGGAAACCAGGTGCCTCTTCTTCACTCCAAACCTTGGCGGCGATCAGCTTAATGTCACACCTTCGCCAAGTGTGTCCTTCTACAACCCTAACACACATTCCAGGCTTGACAAAAACAAATTGATGCCCAGTGACAAAAAGTGCAAAAACTTATCACGAAACAGCTCAACCTGCTGGTTCGTGATAAGAGAAACTCGCCCTTTCGGGTTGGTTTTTCTCGACCGGTTATACTACAAATTTATACGGGTTGAATCGGAGGGAGGAGGTTCGGAGGAGGATCGAAGGGAGGATCGAATCGAGGTCCTGATGCCTGCTGGCCCGGTGCCAGTTCGACCTGACAGGACCTGGATTTAGTCGTCGGGATCGGAATGGAAATCGGATCGGCTCGCCCTAGTCGTGGTAGGGGGTCTTGGTGTGACAGAAATTGCGGGTTTAAAACTAATATCTCTTGAATTAATTGAACCTGACCTTGGGGAGGTGGGTCCTGCCAGCCTTGCGAAGTCTGCACACGACAAGGCTGGCGTCGAAAGGATCACGCACCGCAGCTGTCACGGGTCGAGGCGGACAAGAGAGTCTGTGTCTGGAGCAGCATGGGACTTGTCAACTCAAGTCCTTGCGATGGTTTATTCTCGGACACCAAATCCCCTGTGTGGGAACAGATGAGGCAAACTGCTACAATCTGTCTGTACCGTACTATACTGTATACATATACGATCTATCTGTACTATATCCATCTATCTACAGTATCTGTACTCGGTACACGTCCTCTCGAGGACTCTACATCCTGCGTCTGATTGATGATCGATGTGTCTTGGATGTATGCCATGGAGATTGAATTCCAGCTGGACCCCCAAAACCAGAAGTATTTGGTTTGATTAGGGAACGGACAGCGCTTCTCACACGTTCTGAGAGATAGGAGGTGGGGGGGGAGGGGATAGGCCGTCGAGTAGTTCGTGAGGGGAAAGAAACGACGGGGAGAAGAAGGGGCCATTTTACTGCACTCATGGCACGATAGTACGTTGTGCAAGGGAAGAGGAGGGCAGAGGAGGTATTAGGAGGGGGTGGTGCTGGTGCTGGTGGTGCTGGTGGTAGAGAGGAGGTGCTGTTATGTGATGTAATGTGATATCGGAGCATGAGAGCAGGAGAGCATGAGCTGGAACATATATATGTATGTACATCTTTATGGAGGAAGGTAAGTAAGTACCTGAGGTATGTATATATGTAGCATGGGACCAAAATCGCCGGCTGTTCTGTTCTCCGTGCCTCATCTTGGACATGGAGACACATGCATGACAAAATACAAACACGTGGCAACGGCATGAGATATTTCCAAGCTCCCTCTCTCTGTTCCATGGCAGATGTTGTCTATGTGTCTATGTAAGTTGAGTTGCTTGCCTACCTGCGTGGTTTTATGACATGACAGATGACATGTTCTCGTGTCCCATATTCCATATCACATATCCATGGCACTCAGTCACACACACACAAATACACCCTGCTCAGTTGGTAGCTCAAGAGGTGAGACAGCTCAGTCAGACTCAGACACCGAACCTGACTCGGCCAGGAGGTCTTCAGGCAAGGTCCATATCCGGACGTCGCCCTCGTCGCCGGTCGAGACGATCATTTCCTCCCCGTCGAACCGTCGGTCTTTGTCTCGCCGCTCGGCCCAGCACACGTGGTTGATCTCGAACTCGTCGTGCGCGGCTTCCAAGACGGCCACGATCTCCCACTTCGAGGCGTGCAATTTATACGGCGCGTCCGTCTGTGCGGCGTTCTCTACGTGACTGGCTTGTGATGTGATGCCGTTCATCACGACGTCGTCTCCCACGTCTCCACCAGCGACAGCAGTAGTGTTGTTGTCGGTTGTCGAGGCTGGCGCAGTGGTAGGTACCTCCCTGTACACGGCGATCGTGCCGTCTCCACCGCAGCTCACCACCATCCCCGTCCTTTTCGACCAGTCCACCGCGTACACACTCCGGACATGCACAGCGGGCAAGGTGGCGTCTTCGACCCATTTCTCCATCGCACTCATCGGGCGGATCACGCTGGGGATTCGCGATGACGCAAAGCCTGTGGGTGCAGACTGGGTTTGCGACTGGGTTCTCCGTTTCTCCTTCTCGGTCTCACTGAGTTCTCGTCTCCACACACGCACGCTAAGGTCGTCGGAGCACGAGACGATGCGAGGCATCCAGTCCGCTTCGAATTCCCGTGTGGCGACTTCTCGGTCACGTTCGTGGAGACACTGCGACAGGTCCAGGAGAGAGTAGTTGATGTGTTTTTCCCACTTGAGGTCCCACACCGTCCCCTTGTGCTTGTCGATAACACCGACGCAAATCCAGTCGCCTTCTTCCTCCACGTCGCGCCAGAGGCGGATGGTGTCGTCGTATGAGCCACTCGCTAGGATAGGGCGAGAGCCAAGAATGTCGACCTCGTCTTCTTCATCGACATCCATATCTTGTTGGGTTCTCGTCGTTCCCGGAACAACGCCGTTTGATCGCGGGATTGTGTCTCCCATATCGACATCTCCGTCCCGGTCTCCCGCACCTCCGAGTTTTCTTCGCTTTGATCTGCGGCCGTTCCCTCTTCTTGCTCCTTGACACCAACCGACGCATTTGACGTCGCCCGTATGCTCACTCAAGACTGCAATGGTTTCCCATTCTTCGGGCTCCACCTCTTCCCAGATCCAAACACTCTTGTCTCTTGAGCTGGTTGCCAACAGACTGGCCGGGTAATGGGGAGGCGAGAACTCGATGGATTTGATCTCGGAATCGGGACCGGTGAGCAGCGTGGAAAAATGCCACTCTTCATCTTCGTCGCCGGCATGGTCGTGGGTCATGTCGACTTCATCTGTGTCGGAGGAGATGCCTCTTTCATTCTGCTGCAGTGTTTGCTCGTCCCCATTCTGTTGGTGATCGCCTGCGTCCCGAAAAGCCGTCCACCTGCGCTCATCGTTCCACACCCAGATCCCGACGTTCGCATCGAAGCTGCCGGTGCCCAACACGACGGGTTTCCTCTTCTCCGTTTTCGTCCTGACCTTGGTGCTGCCCCCAAAGTCCTTCCACGCCACCGTCCTCACGCTCCTCTTGTGGCCCCCGCTGATCGTCGAGACCAGGGCGAAATCCCGCAGCGACCAGACATTGACGGATTTATCTGCAGACCCGGTCGCAAGCAGCGGTGTGGACGGATCTGGATGCGGGCTCGATTGCCATGCCCGACTCGCCCCCGACCCTGGGGGGTGGAGGGTTTTCAAAAGGGACAAGGTAGGTGTCGGTTGCGAGGGAGAGCTGACCGCCATTGGAGGAGCAAAAGGAGATTTATTATGCGGTGGTATGTAGGACAAGAAAAGAAGGGTGGGTGGTGTGAGTCCGAGCCCTGCCTGACTGACTGACTGACTCACTTACTGCCGTGACAGACGGCGCCTGAATCTTTTTGGTGGACCTGGTGCTTCAAGGGCGCCAAGGGCCAGACGCAGGCCACGGATTACCAAGAGGGAAGAAAAAAGTGAGAAGTGCGAATAATAATGGGCTTTGGAGATGGTGTTTGGAGCAAAAATGGAGTTTTGACGATAATGGGCGAGAAATTGTGCCAAAATGTCCTTGACTGACAAATCGGAGACTGTGACGTCGGCGGGGCGGAGGTGCTCAACGTCCTTAGAGACTCCGCTATCGGCTTCAAGACTTGCACCAAGATACTGGCGACAATGGGATATGTTTACGACTACCGAGTGTATCTGTCACACAGAATGCTCGAGACTGACAGTGATCAATTATGGTAGTCAGAAGGAAGTCCTAGGCAAGGAGGTGCTCCCGCTTCAGACCCCTTTGGTTGGTATCTAGTAGTGACATCTTGTACATGAGTGGAATCGTTCTCTCTCACAACTTGGGTGGTGGGTGTTCTGCAGGAGCTGAGCAGATGAGTGGCACATTGCAGCAACACTTCTCCATGAGCTGTACAGGCGCACAAGATGCTAGTTCTTGTGGGAAGACTGCGTGTGACCCAAATATCTCCGAGTCGACCATGGCCAGTTTCATCATCGTTCGTCCGGGTAAAGACCTCTGGATCCTGGGCAAGTGCTCAATCTCTCCCTTCCACATTCGGGGTCCTTCGCTGGAACGAATAATAAACCCGTCGGCGACTTTGGCTCTCTTCTCAAAGATGGTCGAACTCCTTTGCCAGATCACACATATCCTCACGGCTTCTTCCCCACCAGGTTCGTCCACCACGAACCCAATCTAGTCGTGTCTTCCTTTCGCCTGTGCCCGTTGCTTTGTAGCCATCGAGCGTAGACATAACCCACCGCCATTCCTCCTAAATGGTCGACGTAATCGTATCTGCCCAGGCGCCCCAAGGCCCCAAAAACTTGACTTGCGGTAAGGAGGACCAAGACTGTCTGGCCGTTGAAAGATAGTTTATCCGTCCACTCGTGGGGAATGAATATGAGAGAGAAGTGATCACTGTGAGAGTCCTGTCAGCGAACCATGGATCTCCAAAAGCGCAGGACTTTTCTTTACCGGGAATGAAGGGCAAGATATGCAGATATAATGCCATAGACGCAGCCACTCGCCCCAAGAACCGAAGTTGCCAAATTGCGCTGAGCAAGATGGCGGGCAAAACTTACAAACCCTCCAATCAAACCCGAAGTGAAGTAAATGGACAGAAAATTTCCGCGGCCAACCTCTTCGTGAAGAGGAAGACCAAAGATTGCCAATGCCCCCATGTTCATGGTCAAGTGCCACAATGTTTGGTGGCTAAACAGGTTCCCAAGCATGCTGAGTGCATAAGGATAAGCGGGAACAAATAAAAAGTATTTGTTCAGCAAGGACCAGCAAGGCGGGAACTTCCAAGCCAGCCAAATAGCGGCGTTCATGGCAATCAGGGTGCCAATGGTGGCGACTGAAAGCGACACACCCGGAAAGAGTCGGTCGGACTGCTTTGGGCGAGTCCAGGCTTGGGCGAACATGTAAGAACCGCCACATAACAAGGCCACCAGGAGGAGGGAAGGAAAGAGGCGTCGGAATATGCTCATCTGAGCGATCTCTGGCGATTCGAGCGTCAGCTTAGACTGGGCTCTGTTGCGGGCCCTGAGCACCCATCTCTCAAAGCTGTTGGGCGGTCTCAGCTCTTTGGCCGTTTCGAGTCCTTGTTCTGGTCGTTGAGCGAGGGCTCTGGACCGTTCATCATGGACCTTTTGAGCTTTCTCCATTTCCTTGTCGATTTGTGCCTGTAACTCCGCCTCTTCCTTTTCGCGCCTGGCTTCATTTTCTGCACGGATCCTGTCCAGTTCACTCTTTCCATACGGGTCGCTCTCTCTTTCGCTTAGTTCGGCCTGATAGTGTCCACTTTGGGGGCCGTAGTATTGTTCTTCTGGTGCTTTATGTGCTCTGTAGAGACCGATATCTTGACCCTTCTGCATCAGTACCGAAGGATGGTCCTTTTCACGTTCGTCCTCTTCCCGTTCAATGCGGTATAGAATCGCCTCGTCTTCATCGATCGGATATGCTTGCCTCAGATAACGTAAACCGTCCTCGAAGGCGTGGGGAAATTTCGCCAACTCCGACTCGACGTCTTTGGGAAGTGGGAGATCCAGCGTTCCATCATGGCGGCGGCCATGGAGGACTCGGAGCAATCGATTCGCAAACTGGGTGGGAGGCGCATGGCTTCCGAAGATAGACACTATCTGCTCTCTGCTGAGGTCGGCATCCTGAAATTTCAAGCCTTTCTCGGGTTTATTATCGGCTCCGTAGGGTTTCAATTTCTGAACAATGGGAGACTGGCGGAAGCTGCGTGTCGTAGACTGCGAGAAGGTACGAAACTGGAATTTCCGCAAAGGAGCTTGAGGTAGAACATTGCGCGATCGCTGGATTACAAGAGACTCCTGGCTGTGACAGGAAAAGGACCTGAGAAGCCATGTGCGCGAAATGGGCGTGAAGAGAGTGTGAGAGGGAGAAGATTGTATGCCAGTCCTGGCTATTCGCAGAGCTACCGTTCCGACATTGTTCATGGCCCTCGACGCCCGAAGGCTGCCCCTCTGCAGCCGCTTTGGGAGGAGATGTTGGATTTGCGAGGGAACTGTGGTAGAGAAAGTTGATCGGCATGTATCGCAGGATCCTTAAGGTCCGCATGCACATCATGTGACAGTCCCCATTATTTTCCATTTCCCCTACAAGTACCGAGTACTCGGTGCAAATGCCAACCTCCTCCTGCGACGTTGCAGTCAAATGCTGGGCGTTTCATCCTCTACCTCGTACAAGCCTACAAGATGCCGATGGTAGCAATTAGAACTCAAGCATGGCAGCAGAAAGACTGTCGCGTGTGATGGCTTTTCGCCAACATCTGCTGTCGGAGATCTGGACCAACAAGGTACCGCAAAAAAGGGATGAACTACAGCATAAGACTGTCACCAAGAACTTCTCAGCAATTGGGATTAATCTGACAAAAGCTTTCTTGGATCAGGGGACAAATTCAAGTCCATCGTCCACCATTCATAGAGAAGTACAGCGCACGAACATCTGATGTTGATGCTACACCATCCCTGTCCCATTGGAGTCACTTGTCCTCGCACTTTAACAACACTGGCGGAGTCGATCGAGGTCATTTGCTGCTAATTTGACCAGCCCGTCGATGGAGGTCATTCGTATGACTGGCCCATATACTTCTTTGCAACATCCGTATCATGGCCAAAGACCAGCTTCGCATTGAAGAGCCTCTGCAACCGCTGGATCATCTTCAAGCTCTTGATCCAGGCGTTGTGATCCCGGGCCAACCAGCCGTGCGGATGACTGAGCTCATAATTTTCTGCAATATGGAACTGATCGGTTGTCCAGATCCACGTCCCGCTCTGCTCGAGATTGACCTGCATCACGCAAAGACCTGGCGTGTGGCCCGGGGAATGGTGGAGTGTAATACCCTGGTACAAGTCCAGATGGTCCTCTGTGAAGGTGTTCCATTTCAGACGGTCGAGGCTCATATATCCCGGAAGGTAGACGCCCAAGTCGGCGCCCGTGGCGACGGCCCAGCACGCGTGCTTGAACTCTTCTTCGTGCACATAGATGGGGACATCCGTGTCCAAAAAGTGCTCGAGCCCGCCGGCGTGATCCAAGTGGAGATGGCCGATCACAACGGCTTTCACGTCTTTGATGTCGTTGCCGGTAGCCTTGATGGCCGCAGGGAGCTTGTGCTTCTCGTCATACACAGTCCGGGGGAAAACATCGGTCAGGGGAGCCGGCCATGCCTGAGATCGACCAGGGTGATTGTGAGTTTCGTCCATCACACCCAAAACACATCAAGCACAAGAGCTTTCAACGGGATACATACGATTTGGAGGTCCTCTGCACATCCTGTCTCAAAGAGAATCAACCCGACACCAGGGTATTCGATCAAGGCCGCCAAAACAATCAAGTCGCGACGCTTGTTCTCGGGGTTCTTATTGCTTGTGGTACTGGTGTTTCCACCACGAAGCAGCCTGTCGCAAAGACGTGTCAGGTAGGAATCACCCACAAGTCACCCAAAAGGTCTTGTCCACAAGATCGAGCTGTGTGGGCTTACCATCCTTCATCGGCCTGGAGGACGCCGAGTTCCAAGAAGTGCATCTTTGTGCCCGGCGGGCACTTGAATGCCGGCACTTGAGCCTGCGTGAGCTGAGCCGCAACATTGGACGACGCCATGACTTCGAGCTAGGGCACTTCTTGTTGCTGTGCTGTGCAGTGCGGTGCGAGTTGATAAGGATGATGGCTGGCTACCTTGGGGGAAGTGAATGTACGTAGGACAGCTTACAGACTTGGAGTGAGAGAGACTGTACTAGACGCAATACACAACACATATCCACTCTCCCACTCTCCCACACTCCCACTTACCTACACTCATCACTCTTGACGTCGACCCGGATAGATCACCCTTTCTGCACCGGGCAACACGAGGCGGGGTAGCTGTGGGTTTCTAATCCCCATCTCAGATCCCCCCTCCCCTGTCGAACTTTACGCTTTTACGCCCCAGCAGGGCTCCAACAATTGGCAAATCATCCCGTTCACCCGTCCTCGATCTTCTTCTCCGCCTCCTCATCGTCTCCCTCCTCGTCGGATCCGAGATAAGAGCTGTACAGAGGGGGTGAGAGGGGAGCTTCCGGCGGGGAGACGAGGAGACGAGGAGACGAGGCGAGCAGAGGAGAACAAAAACCGACCGACCGACCGACCGGCATCAACCCCACACTTTACCGATCGCTCCCAAAGTCCCAAGTCCCAAGTCCCGAACCAAGTACTCGGTACGTACCTCTGTAAATGCAAGCCAAGTCAAGGAACCAAGCAACAAGCTACGAGAGGCACAAGGGTTTTGCAAGGATGATGGGAGACACCACCGGGATTGCGTAATTGGCCTCCGTCTTGACTCAGACTGCAGGTTTTTGGTTCTGCAGGAAAGAACAGAACCCGAACCAGAACCGAATTGTCGGGCCTTGAACCCCGTCAGTTATGTTGAGTGGGGGTTCCTCCAAAATACCCTTATATCTAAGACATAATTAGTATTCCTGAATAATCGCTTCATGCTGGCTGTTGAGCTGATCACTATTTTTTGGAATGGTGGTTCTGTGCTTGGAGTTAAAGTCTTGATTTTCTCATCTTCACGCACGCCAGCATACCTTGCTATTGGGAGGAGGGGAGGTGGGGATAAATAGGAAAAGTGGTTCGGATATTATTCTGATTATGTCGTATATCGTCTCATGTCTCAAGCTGTCGCTTTTGTCATCTTCCAACTTTGTGGCCATGTTTCTCGACCGGATTAATCCACACCCGTTGATGCTGCTTCCTTGTCTGGAGCGGATAGGTCTGGATGAGAAAGAATTCCACCTGACGCCCTGGCGAAGCATCAAGTACAAATCAACGTCACAAGTCCAGTGCTCTAATCAACCAATCACCTGGCCAGCTCCGACCCCAGTCCCGGCGAACAAGCTGCAATACTGTTAAAATACCACCCGTGATCGTCAATGCTGCTGTCCAGTTCGCCCTGGTTGCCGTCCAAATCAATCACGCCGGAGCTCTGTTGGATGTCATTGACCGTCACTGCCACGTTGGTGGGCGACGTGATCCAGTATTCGGGCGACACGTGAGCGAAGATCGGGTAGCCTGGCAGCTTGGGGACGATGTCCTGGGCATGGGTCACGCGGTAATTGTCCCCAGACTGGTCCGTGATGAATGTCGCGAGAAAGTAATTCCCTACCATCGGAGAACCGTATGTGTACTATTCAAGTTCCAATGTTAGTAACAAAACGGAATTCTGGACTTTGGGCGAAGATTCACGGGAGGCCAACTTACCAAGGCAATGTCGTAGCCAGACTCTCGCAGCTCGGCGGCGGCCAGCGTCGCCACTGCACCGCCCAGGCTGTGACCCGTGGCAACAATCTTATACGAGGGATAAGTCACTTTGGCGCTGGCGAGAACTCCCTCAATCTGTGGCTTGACAGCCTTCCAGGAGTCGAGGAAGCCAGAATGTGCGGTACACAAAGTACAAATGTCCCACGGGACCATCACCAAATTGATATCCGCGAGAATGTTTGAGAATGACGTGGTGCCTCGGAAGGACATGACTATCATTTGGTTGGTATGGTCGACGGCAACGAATCCAGTCGAGTCCGCAAGGCCTTCACTATGAGCAGAATGTCAGTAGTGCTTAACGACCGCTGTAGGACAAGATGAAGGGGGGTGAATGTCGCCTACTTTTGGAACTCTAGGAGTGACTCTGCTCCAGCTGTTTGAACAAGAGGACAGTTCCCGGCCTCGCATGTAATATTAGTGGAGGAGGAAGGCACATTATTGTCCGGACAGTAGGCAGCTGCTGAGTATTGTTCGAAGAATGCCAATTGGTTTAACAAATCCTGGGAGATAGCTGGAGCGAGATATCAGTGCGGATCTCTTTCAATCGTGGTGGTCAACAAATACCTCTCTTCTGAAGTGTAAAAGGTGCGGCATACACGAAGGCCAGAAACAGAAGGAATGGCGCACAAAATGAAGCAGAAGACATGTTGCGCAAAAGAATGAAAGTCCTAGAACAGCAAGGGCGTGGTCAAGGGAGGGGAGGCTCGGTCTGGCAAAGATCTTGCACAGAGAATGAATCCAAGGAGCCACAACAGCGGAAGAATGAAAGCCCTCGACAAGACAAGCAACGAAATGAAAGGCTAAAGCAATGAAAGAAACGAAATATGACCGGGAAAGTAAAGCCTCACGTTGCTGAGAGACATGCCCGTTGAACTGAGACGACGCCGGCGGCTGATGCTTCATCTAAAGTATCGGATACCCAAAGGCAGAACTTTGGGACGGCAACGCAGGTCACGGTTACCACTCGTAGACCCAACATCTTCCCCACAAAGCTTGCGCATCGAGCATGAAGCTAATGCAGGTACTCAATGCTTGAGCTGCGGGCGAACGACCGAGGAAGGAAATGTAATCTTGAAGAACAAGGACCGAGTAGAAATAAGGAATTCGGCCTGCGACGTTTGGACAGATTGACCAAGGGGGGATCCTGGATCGGCCAGCCATTTCCGCATGGAGTAAATCAGCCGGACGCAGAGAGTGTGATGGGTGACGGTGTCCTGACCAACCGGAGCAATAAGTACAAGGACAATAACTGTAAATAAATTGCTCCAGATGCGAAGCGTTTCCTGAAGGTTGAGGGAGACGCGTTCGCGAAAACATCGAATGGCGGAGCAGAAATGAAATGAGACGAGGCGAGGTGTTGGCCAATCAGATTCCGAGGGACGTCAATACAGAGAATGCACTACTACAATAGAGGTTAGTGTATGGCGATGTCATATAAGAGCGAGATTTCACTTTCCACCTTCATTCGATCCTGTTTCTCTCATTTTGATTCCTTCGCATCCTCGTCCCATGTCTCATCAGGTCCAATCCTGCTCTGTTCACTTTCCTGCCGCGACTGGAGATTAGCAAACGCTCTTGTGAATCCTCCGTCAAGCCTCGGTCCAGCACACTCTAACTGGTGCCATGCTAAAAGAGGTCGACCCTGGCCCATCGCATTTCCCTAGACTAGCTTCCAACGGGCCTCATCCCAGAAAAGGTATGTATCACCGCTCGACCTTCAGTTCCGAGGCAAAGCAATATAGATCTTGTTTCTTGGTCGGGGAAATACCATATTGTGACCCGTGGCTGTGGCTGTTATGCCAAATTGAGCATGGTGGTAGAAGCTGAGGCTACGGCTCGCAGAGAGGCACACGTTGTGTCCTTCCCTACTGCTATTGTGCAAGCCATCTTGATGTTGGATCCAGTTTGTTGGACTTACACACTTTTCTCGCTTCCTAGAATTGTGCCTTGTCCATTGGCTTCATTCTTCCGCTGTATCACAATCATTAATCTGATTAATCCAGTCAAGATATACATCTCCGACACTCGCATCAAGATGTTCTGACCCACTAACTTTGCAAGTCTTATATAATGCATTTGTTAAGCTTGGGGTGGGCTGCGGCTTGCGTATCCTTGGTCATAAAGCACTGAACAATTCGTTCATACGGCCTGAGTGTGGACCATTCTTGGCTTCATTCTTTCATATCGACCCTTGTCGCCATTCCCTTCCTTTTCATACCATGTTCTGTTTATAAACAGCATCCAGCATGACGGTCTGTGGGTGCACACTGGGGTTACAGCGACCCCAGAATGCGCGGAGTACAACCCACGTTTCTCTGCGGGAGCTTCGGACTAGCCAATGCTCAGCTGTCTCTAGCTCCTACTAGCAGATATTGTATTCCCACTTCCAATCCTTCCTCTGTCGCTTCAAAATCTCCCGCAGTCATCAGCAGAACCGGGTCTATCAATGGCAGATAATGTTGGAAGAGTCAGTCCACGGCTAGACAGCCACACCACGCTAGCGACACGTGCCTTGCCTAGGCCCTATATGGTGTTCCAGATATAGCAACCACCTCAACCACTTTGATCGGCCTCGCCACCGTAACTCGACAACCTATTCTTATTCTTTGACTATTTCGGAAAGGATCATCAAACTGCTGCGTTTGCTAAAGCCATCGAGATGACTGACGAGAAAAAGGACAAGGATACCTTTCACTTCGTGGCGTTTCAAGATCCTTCGAAGGCGGCGGGCCGGAAGTCGTTGGAAAAGTCTCGAGCACGTGCTCATGCCGCCCGAGTGACACATTCGAGGAGAAAAGCAAAGCGCGGACATACCGTGGTCAAATGGATCGTCGAGGGCTCAGGGACTCTTGAGAATAACACTTCAAAGTCCAAACAAAACAAGGTCCAGATAACCGAGTTCAAGATCAATCCGCTCTCGTATCTTTCGCAAGACAAGGTCGACCCATTTGAATCGAACCCTCATACGGCATTACCGCGGTATCTGCAATCAATCCTTGATTATGGTGAGCTGAACTCTGGCCAGTTGATTCTTCATGACGACTGACAAAAGGCCCAAAAAAGCCTACGAATGTATACATCCGAAACTAATAAGCAACGCCTCGGCCAATGATGTGTCGGCGGTCAAAATATCCTGGAGACGTATTGGACAAGAATGGCCATTGATGTTCCACCTGCAAGTTGCTTCTGCGGCAAATCTCGTGCGCGCGGGCGCCGATAACGAGCCTTTCCCTCACAACGTCGAGGTTCTCCGACTAAAACACCAAGCTCGAGGGCTAGCTCTGGTGACAAAAGAGCTCCAGAACCTCAAGGGCCCGGCCTCCGATTCATTGATCATGGCCATGATCATGGTGGGAAACCTGACCGACCCCAACCCGGCCCAATTTCCAGCAACATATCGGCTATCACCCTTGGCAACTGCTCAAAATCTCCATCTCTATGCCAGACTTACCGTTATCCCTTCTATGATCCAAGCACTTATGGAACTGGTCATCAAACGTGGTGGGATACAAGCAATGCAACAGTATGGACTTGTACAACTTCTTCAATTGTCTGTTCAAATATACGTCCGTTTCGTGCTCGATTCTTGCTAATGTTGATGCCAGCGCCGACCTGATGGTCAGCACGAAGCTCGGTATGCCGCCGTCTTTTCCGTGGATGTTTCCCACACCCTCCATCCTCATGGGCCCCAAGTATCAGCCTGACCATAAAGCTGCGATGATGTCAATGGTGATCTGCACCGGTTTCACGCAGTTAGACCAGATCGATATGCATCTGGCAAATGCCCTGAGGACAGCAGGTGAGGTCACCGTCGCCCTTGATCACTACCGAGAGCGCCGCCCGAACACTCCGGATTTGACAGATATCGTCAATACGGCTAATGCGACTCACCACAAACTGTTGAGTCTCCGGCCTAAGATAACTCTCGATCCGCAACAAACCGACTACTTGTGGAATCTCTGCCGCGTGGCTGGTCTCATCTACAGCGACTTGGTCATGTTTCCACTGCCACCCACGACCGGAGTCAAACCTCGGCTGGCTGGAGAGCTTCGTCTTGCCATCGATAGTTTTGAGATATTCCAGGCGGAAGAAACTGCTTATATTGACCAACGCATCGAAACAGAGGGATACACCTGCCTGGTACTGTGGGCATTGACACTTGGGAGTCTTGCTGCGCTAAACACACCACATCGGCGATATTTCGTTCAGAAAATGCAGGAATACATTGTCCGATGGCCGTATGTAATCAGCTGGGATGCTTACACCAGTCTCATGGCCACGTATTTGTGGTGGGACTACATATTCGCAGACCCTGTGGCGGAGCTCTGGAATGAGATCACTCTCTCCCTTACGGATATGGCGCACCAAAGCCAAAGCTCTGTGTTTACGCAATCGACACCCAGTCGCAGCCCTGCGACATCGGACGTTTTGACGATCCTGCCACTCCAGCAGAAAATTGCGCCCGACTTCCAGCATATGGCCGGTCATGGCATACCGACCTCGAGTGCTGGAGGATAATCCTCACAGCTATCGTGGAATGATCGATGCAGACTCTGGTTTGATTTCAAGGCACCACTGTCTGTATCAAGCATTTACTGCTTCGATGATGCTGCCTACAACAGATCAGGGTGGCTAAAGACAGGGGAGTGTCCATCGCAGTATCTACACATCCGAACTTGATTGCTTCACCATCGTCTTCTGCATGAGAAGTGGGATAGCCTGGTAATTTTCCTGACAAGGAAACCCGAGTGACATGTTGTTATACGCGACATGGAACAGCAACGCCTTCGAGATGAGACTGCGACATGGGCAGTCGGTGTTGAGACGCAATACTCCTGTTCCTCAGCTGACCGATCGGCATTGAACACCGACTTCGAAGTGGTTACATTGGTGCAACTGTCTTCTGAGCCTCGTCCCCTACTTAGGACTGTTGGAAGAAGTGCCCAAAAGGGCTTTGCCTGTCCCCATCGGAGGACTACGGAACACCATCCGTGCCCTTATGTCTGGAAATATTCTCCAGGGAGGAAGAAAAGGCAAAAGCATAAGCCAACCAACCCGCATTATACTACCGGCTTACAGCCACTTCATCGTCTCAGCCTCTCCCCCGAAATCCAGCAGCCACTTCCGCCTCTGCCAGACCATCATACGGTTGCAGCACTATTACAGCGTCTCCGCCCCCTCTTCGACCGATAGCCCCAATTTCATTTCGGTCTGCATATGAATGGGGTGTGTCGTGCTACACACATGACGCTCAGCGGGTGCATCGGCGCTTCAGCGAACGGTTTGGGTTGTTGGAGACCAGAGCATGTCCTTACAAGCCGACTTACAACTTGGATTTTAGGCCGGCTCGGCTGAATGCGTGTTTCTGTGATGCACGGATGCATGTTTCGATGTGTGTGTGTGAATGCCGAACTGTGCGCCTAGTGCTCCGTCGAGGTAAAGGACAGGGATGACATGTGTATAAGTACATACGTACGTACGTACATGCAATACAATGCAATGTCACGCTATGCTGAGGATCCTATCTGTCTGTCTGTCTGATTGTCTGTAAAGCCCTACTTCCTAAGTCGTGTTGGATGTTTTCATGCTCCACATTCAACCCTTGAAAAGCCTCCCACTTTCATCCAGCATCCAGCATCCAGCATTCACAGTCACATTCACACTCACACTCATCCCGAGCGCTTGCTGTGATGTGCATGATACACTCTCGGTCTGTTTCTGTTCAAGCTACAGCGTGAGATTCCCAAAACTCCATGTAGGTTCTGTGTCTCTGTCTCTGTCGGTCTCGGTCTCAGTATTGGCCTGGACGATCCCGTTCTCGCTCCCCGTCTCTTCGGTGGTGGGGGTATCTATCTCCGCCGTGTTTTCCTGCGCGTCATTGCCGTTGCCGTTGCCGTTTTCCGTTTCGGCTGACTTCGTCTTCGGGGCGGAAAAGACGACTCGACCGCACGGTGGGCGGTGTAGGAGTTGATGATTGAGCTACGAGCGATGCTCCCTCCGCACTCGACTGTGCCAGTCCTCTCTTTGTAGATGGTGTCATGCTCTGTATTCCTCCAATCTCGACTCTCCTCGGAAAGAATTCCGCCAATATGGACTTGTCTTCCCGGCTCTCGTACCTGCTTGGGGGAGTTTGTTCACGGTGCTGTTCTTCGACTGTGCTTTTTGCCTTTGGTACAGATTCCTTCCGATGATCATTCATGTCGTTTTATCTGACTGCGCTCTTGCCCGCTCGCTTTTCCTGCAGAGCCTTGTATTCTGTCGTGCTAAACACGCGGCCGTCGCCTAATGAGATGCGGATCGAAGGGGCATGTGTGGAATTAGTGCACGGGCCTGATTGAGATCGCCCTGCTTGTAAAGTCGTCTGGGATGGAGCATCATCCCTTTCTGATCGTTTGATGCGTTCCGTAGGTGGCCCTGAGGTGGCACTGCGAAGAGAGCAAGGATGATTCGGTGGGGTCGATGTATGTGTAGGTCTTCGGCCATGAGAGGAAGGCATCGGCGAGCTCATGCACTCTTCAGACAGTTCTTGACGAGTGGCGTCATCTGCCTGGCACGAGGCAGTTGGGCGGGAGGCTCTGTGACCTGGTTTCTTTGGGCGTTCAGGTCTTTGGTAAGCCGGTGCCCGTGTTTGTCGCTCTGGCTTCGATCCTCTTCTGTCATCTTCATGGCTTTGTATGCCTCTGTTGGGCCTCCGTTGTACCTGAGTGCCCGTCTGCGGATTGTCTGGACGCGTTTGTGTAGGTGGCTGAAAGCCGTCAGTCCCATGCTGGTTCCGGTTTTGAGGTTGATCTCGGGGGGATCTAGGGTGACGAGGCTGACGACGGACTGGACAGTTTGGGAACAAATGAGGAGGGTGTATGTTATCAAGATATTCCTCATCCTCGGTAAACATGACGAAACTATTGTGAACAGCGATACCACCTGAGGATTCATGGCGGTCCGCGTCGCGTCCGCGACGGTTATACGCACCCTGATCATTGTCCCATTGGCGACCTTTCTGGATGGAATTGAGATTACCTCCTCCACGGAGCGATCCTGTTGGGCGGCGCGGTAGAGAAATTTGATCTTGAGCTACGGCCTGCTTCTGCGCTACCCGCTTGCGAAGAGCGTTACCAATCCGTGGAAATGGTTGCGGATTTGGTGTGTCGAGCAAAGAGTTGGCACAAGAAGTATTTGTGTCTAAAGGCACCTTTTCGACTCCCGCGTCGGCGCTGGAGAGAGTGACTTTCTTGTTCAAATGCTTCTTGGGTCGCAAAAGCCACTTTCTGAGTAGAGGAAAACGCTTTCTGTGCTTCTTGACGTCCGCTTCAAGAGAAGTATTAGTTGGAAACGGCCATCCTTCGTTTGTCCTGTAGACGTCCTTAGGACCCGGCGCTGGTACTGGTACTGGTACTGATTCTTGATCTGTTTCATCCCATTTAACCTGTTGCGGCGGTGCGGGTGTGGTCGTATCGTTGGAGGTCTCTTTCAAGGAGGAGTTTGCAAGTTCTGCTGAGACGTGGTCAGAAGTTTCCTCTGGCGACGTTGCAGTTAGTCTAACCCGCTGTCTCCACTCCCTCGAGTAGATCGAGCAAGGCGGGAGATTTTTGGCCGGTCGCTCGCACCGACCAGAGAACTTGATATGTGTTTCACTCGGGTATATGGGACCAGACGAGATACACTCGTTCTGTCGCTGTCCGCAATTGTGTCCGTCCTCCCTTGTGGCAAGATGATCAAGATGCTCTCGGCGTTGATAGGGCAATCCATCTGAAAGAGCCATACCTACGCCCTCGTTGGTGTCACTCGGAGTCAGTGAACTCGTCTTCGAATCATCCCAAGCAACAGGGCTTCCAACATCAAAGCTCAAGTCAAGTTTCGAGTCCATGAAATCGAAGTCGAAGGCGAGATCCGCCACTGGAGGTGCTGAGGGCGTTTCGGACGGGCAATCTCGATGCGTGCCTCGTAGATAGTACTCTCTGGTGCGGGAAAATCGATCCATTTTTTCTGCAAGATCGAGAGTCTCCAGCGAGATCCGTTGTAGCCCGCAGTTGGATCCTGTTCCAGAAAGCAACCAGGAGGACGTCTCGAGTCCAGACGACAAGGTACGACGGTCCGATGACGGTGGCAAAAGACAAAGCAGATTCGAAAAAGGAAGTTCAGCAGCAAGGAACAGTCACTGTGAGCTGGTGACCGTGTCGTTGAGGCTCCCTTCGGGCCGGATATTGTCTGGGTCATCACATATACGAGCTGTTGATCAGCAACCGGAAGAAACGTTAGCTGTAGAGTTCGGAAATGGAATGTTGACTCCAAGCTGGCTGTGTGGACGACTGAAGTGACACCGTTGATTTAAGAGACAGGTGAAACATTGTGAATACCGGCTTGTAGTGTCAACCAGCACGATGAAAATGACCAATTTGTTGCGCTCAATAATCCCTCATCGATTCAACAGTGACCGTCAAACTGCTGGGTTACTTCCAGCTTCTAGACGCTGATTGTCTTGAAAACTCCCAGACCGCTTCCACCTGTGACCATGACCGTGCCGGGCATTTGTGGATGCCAGTGCAGTTCTTTGCCGTCTTCAACATGATGAATAAACAGTAATTGCGGAGGGACCTTTTCGGCACCTTCGCCCAAGCCCAAGCCTGCTTCTCTACCATATTCCTCGTCATCAAGCTCGACTGCGAGATCCCACAGAGTTGCAGTGTTGTCGGCGCAAGCAACAGCCACCACGCTGTCGTCCGTTGGGTGCCATTCTATCGAAGTGATGGGTTTCTTGTGGAAGTGAAAGTTGGCGACGGGACTTGGTTTGACCTGCGAACCGGGTGGCGCGCCTGACTGAGGCTTCCACTGACGCAAGTCCCATACTGCCCATTCGCCGTCATCAGCCCCGGTAGCAAGTAGATGGAACGTCTGGCGCGACCACGACATGACGTTGACATCGGTGTTGCTGATCTTCACGTCCACAGCTGGCTTGCGACTCTTACTCCGCGCATCCCACACCTTCACAGTGCCATCGGAGCTTGCAGATGCAAACACAAATTTCTCATTGGGTGACCATTGAAGTTCTTCTACTGCGTCGGTGTGGCCGACAAATGCCCTGGTGTCGGTGACCCAGCCACCACCCTCGGTGCGTTGGGTGCTGAATATTTGTCCAGCATTGTCACCAGACAGAAGCCGGCCGTTTGGATGAGAAGAAGTTGGTGCCCAATCCAGTGCGTAGCCTTCTGTTTTGTGCATTCGCAGGGTGCTGAGCGGCTTCGAGGCGTTCGGAGGCAGTGTGTAGCCAGGTGTTGAGAGAGAATGGAGATATGGTGAGACGTCATGGATCAGAACCTGACCATTTTCTAGGGATGTCGCTGTCAATGTCTGAGGTATTTGAGTCACGTCGGCATTGGCAGACGCGGGCTGGAATGCTCTGATTCTATTGGTTGTGCTTGGGAGCGGTATCGATCTCGACTCGAGTACAGGGTCTGAGGAGCCCTCATCGTCACCGTCATCGTCGCTATCGCTCTCCGAGTCCGTCTGATTACCACGATCCATCTTGGACAGACTGCTCAACCGCAAAATGTACAACTCATTCTCTTTGGCGCGTGACGACTCAGCCTGAGTCCCCGCAACCGCATAGACTGTTCTTGGATATTGCTTGCGGTCATCTCCCAGGTTATCTCGTACGACGTCAAAGGACAGACAAGGCCACGTCGTCGACATCAGGTGAAGCATCTCGTAAGTGGAAGGATCCGGTGTCAGCGACATACCAGGTTGTAGTATCGACCGGCCCGGGATGAATGTCTGCTCCTTTGTGTCAACGTCCATCGCATCTTGCGCCTGCTCCGCTTCTCTTTCAGCGTCTGGTCGCCCGTCAACACCCGCCTCCATGATCTCGTCTTCCGACTCGTATTCATCTTCGAATTCATCTTCAAAGTCGAGGGTGGGGTCGCCGTTTGCGCTCGAGTCTGGCCGTTGCCCTGCCTTGAGGGACTCTAGGTTTTCCTGGCTCTCGGCACTTCTTTTCGACATCTTGGGCCTCGGGGATCTTCTTCACAGTGTCACAATTGAAGCAATGCTTCGTAACGGCTCAGCAAAACTACATTTTTCGACTCCGCACATGAATTTCGAAATTATTTTTTCTCCAACAAAAGGCTTATGTAATGTTATCACGTGCAGCAGTGGGATCTCTGGTGCCTGGGTGCCCAAACACTTCGTATGCCGTTGCTTCTAGGTGTGTCACGGTGTATGTGAATTACTCCGAGGATTCATACCATGGGTACTTGTCTCGGTGTCCAGAGGCCCTTCCGAGGGACACCCAGTTCCAGGTAAGAATCGAGACATAGCCGCCTCTTTACCGCCTAACCATGACGGCTAATGAACGAAGAGAGGAAGAGCCTCGGCTCTTCAAAGGGCCCGCCCCCAGATATGGAGAGCCTCCAGACAGCTAAAGTCTCCCGCACTTCATACCTGCGGAATTGAGTGCTTAGCTCGACGGTAAAAGCGCTGCTCTCTTGACCTTGTCTGGAGGAGGGGAATAATAGTCGGGTCGACACCTGCCTCTGCGCCTTGAACCATTGAATAATTCATCATCTTGTCTCCCATCCACGCAGCTGTCTTTCCTACACGCCGACTTCGACTTGAAGCGCCTCGAACCAGGTCAGCCCTTGCTGTGCTATACTCCCACCTCGCCGCCGACTACATCTGCGACCCCGAGGACCCGCTCCCTATTCCTCAATCCTCGAGTCCTCCAGAGATATCAAGAACAATGACGGCTGTACCCAAAAGACGCCTTGCGGCACTGTCCAAGCAACTCGCGGAAGGCATACCATCTGAGGGCACCTTTGAAGAAATTCCTCGTGTCAGACATGTCGCAGAAAGCTCAACAGGCCCAAGAGTCAAGGGAAAGGTTGCTATCGTGACTGGTACGCCCAAAGCTCACCACACTTGACGTGCTCAAGCCGTGTCGAAGAAACTAATTCTCATGCTCTTTGATGTTTAGGATGCAACTCTCCCATCGGCATCGGTCGAGCGTCTGCGCACCAATATGCCCAGAACGGCGCGAAGGCGGTCTATATCTGTGACTATGATGACAAGTATTTGGAAATGCACAAGCGGGAAATTGCGTCCTTGTACCCCGAGTGCGAGGTCCACTGCGTGAAAATGGACGTCGGAGAGGAATCACAGGTCAAGGCAGTGGTGGACCAATGCCTGGCGAAATACGGCAGACTGGACATCATGTTTGCAAATGCTGGCATTTCTGGTGTCCCCAATACCTTCGAACATATCTCGGCCGAGGCGTTTATGAACACGATGAGGGTTAATGCACTAGGTGTATTCCTCTGTTTCAAATATGCCGCCATCGCCATGCAGAAAACGAGTCCCGAGAAGAAGTACCCTGGAGGTAGCATTATCGGCACTGCGTCGGTGGCTGGAATCCGATCGAATGCTGGAGGCACGGACTACAGTGCAAGCAAAAGTGCAGTGGTCTCGTTGGCGCAGACCATGTCCTACCAATTAAGTGGAACAGGCGTAAGGGTCAATGCCATCTGCCCAGGTGTGATCGAGACTGGAATGACCAAACCCATGTATGATGCGGCCCGGACCCGGGGCACCGAGAGGAAGATTGGCCAGCTCAACCCGTTGCAGAGAGGCGCGGTAGCCGATGAGGTCGCCAGAGTCGCCTTGTTCTTGGGGAGTGATGAGGCTAGCTACGTCAATGGTCAGGCGTGGGCCGTGTGTGGTGGGCTGAGTGCTGGACATCCTTTTGTTCCTGGTAAACTGGCTTGAAACTCATAGATCTGGCAAAGTAACATCAGCCATTCAGGTCTTTTTGAAGGACCTCCAGAACTTTCGTCTCATCAATGTTGTCCAGAGCATCCAGCTTTTCCTCATCTACTTTGTTCCCCGGGGAATAGGTTGGCAGGTTGATCGTTACTTCCGCCCCATATTGTTCGTTATACCTTTCCTCGGTAATAAATGGAGCAGGCAAATCCTGAGGGGCTTCTTGTCGAACATACAAAGTCGGGAACTCCAGAATGGTCTGGTTGCGGAGAACGTCAACCAATTTCAACTCCGGCGCAACAGGAATCAGACATTTCACTTTTGAAATTGTGTTTGGCTTGAAAAGATAAAACTTGAGATTATGTGACGAATGCGGAGTTTCAGTGCGTTGTGGATTCTGCCGTGTCGGACCATGAGTCGTGTCGGTGGCCTTCTGATCAGTAACGAGTCCGTGCACAGGTGATTCGGATTCTCCTTTTGCATGCCCAGTACATGGGGTTCCCGCGTTGACCGCTCCGGCGGTGACAGGGTGAGTAGATTGATCGGCAGGCTGAGGGGCTGAGACGGACGTTGTTTCAGCGTCACTTCGCTTGCGTTTCTTGCGGTTGACGGCGTGTTTTCCAAATGCAGCCAGAAAGGCTTCCTCAACGGTCCTCGACTCGAGCACGTTGCAAACTCTCTTGTCGCCGTCGTAGCATAGCCATTCCGTCGTCCACATGATGCACTTTCCGTGGCCCGCCCAATGTGACTTGTTTTGTTTGCTTCTCGACAGCCCTTGAGGAGCCTTGATCAAACATATTCCCCTCTCTTCGAGCTCGACATCAAACTTGCGTCTGGCCTCTTGCCCCTTTCGTACGACACCACTGGGCACCAGATCGATGCCCTTGCTCTGCGCAAGTTCGTCCGCGCGTGCCAGGGATCTTTCGACAGAAGTGATGAAGTTGAAGTCTTGATCGACAGAGGCTGGTGTGGCCAGATCAGCTCGCTTCCGGTAGGCAGTAGGGTCTCGAACGCCTGAGCACTGAGCCCAGGTCTTGTGGCGCTTGACGCATGGCAGGGAGCATGTGTGGACGCCACATCGAGGACAAGTGTATTTGATGGGATTGACGTGGCTGTCCAAGATGCAGGATTCAGTCGTGGTCCAGAAGTAGCAGTAGATTCAAGCTTACCAGATAGCACAGAGATCGGTCAACAACACGTCACTTCCTGTTTCCTGCATAGCATCGTCAAAACTAACAAGGCATAGCACTGCAGAAGCATGTAGATGTGTAAGTTATTGACGGAATTCAACAAGATGGTGCAGGATTCCTTCGTCTTCTTTTTTCTTATCGATAACGAAGGTGACACTCCACACCGGGAAGAAACTCGACGTCACTGTGCAGCCTCGTTCAAGAGTCGCACCCATGAAATACAGGGTGACAGGCAACGAGGATAACCAAAAGCTCCTGTCAACACAGCAATAGCTTTGAGTGAACCATGCGGTGATGAAAGCAGAGACTGTAGGTTACATAAGACGCACACATTGGACGATGCAGTTTGAATTAGATATGCTACTTGCCGGCGAGCCGGTTCCTGGTAAGCGGACTTCCACCTAGTATGAGCAATCGCTCGTATGACCCGAATGCTGGGGAAGATATAGGGCGGAATTGTCTGCTGCGGTAGTCGTGTAGGTCGAAATAGCTGCTGTTGAATTCCTGTAACCATACAATAATAACGACCAGCCATTTTACGATTCATTCCCAGAAGAGCTGGGGAGCTTCATCACTTTTTCCACCCAGCAAGTCATATTAGCATCAGTTTTTGAACCAAACATACCAGACTCCAACTACATTGTCTGTTAATGGGCTCCTGGAATCATCACAAGACCTCCGGGCCTTTCAAAGCACACCCCCATCAGGTTCAGTCTCGACTCGACTTTGATCCTCCCTAACAGAACGAGCCGTGGATGATGGAAGCCTACCTACCCTGGGATTGGTTCCCTTGGCTTCAGCAAAGTTCATTGAGGCCAAGTGCTGGGCCTGGAGACCGACGATATCTTGCACATGTGAGAAAAGTGGGATTGAGTTGGCCGAGACTGCTGACAGGGTAAGAGGCGGCAGCAGCAACTTCAAGCGGATAGAGCGAAGTGCCCCTCTGGTTCTCATTCTTTTCTCCATGTGAGTGGGTGTTGTAGTCACCTGGACTATCTAACGGCACAGAGAACTCAAAGGTAGATCGCACGTGGGATTCGATGAGCTGGAGTGGCGATTCATTGGGTAACGCAACAACCGACATGAATTGCCTTTACCACTCCCTTGCAGCGGGATCGGACAAAGAGCATATCCTGGTAAATCTAGATGATGTGCTGTGGCTTCTGGCGTGCGAGGACACGTACCGAGTATTGCTCCAGTTGATGGCATCCCAAAAGCTCGATTGGATGCACTCCCTGCGGCAACCCCGCGGACTCCTCTGCATGGAGCAGCAGTCGTTCTGGGAGCTGAGATCAGCCCCTGAGGCGTGCAGCGTTTACTTCTGGAAGCATTACCAGGCAACCAGGAAACCTTAATCCGCGGTAACGGACCAACAGGAGCATGTTTTGCATGCTAGACGGAATTGTAAATGCAGCTGATGGCTTGGATAATCAGCCTTGACGTGAAACACATCCGAACACGGTCTGGAATTGCAAACCAGACGGCAATCTTCTCCTAGTCATCTCCTTGCTGCATGGCGCGTGTAACTCTTTGTGTTGTTGGCGCGCGGACTCCATGATTCATTACTGCTGGCAAGATGCGGACTGGAGTAGCAAAAACCTTGAGTGAAGCATAGACCAATTGCGTGCTTGTTCTTGACATAAAGAGCATGTGGTCAGTAGCGAGGACGCGCAAGGCGTGACATTGATTTTGGTCAATTGTTCGTATTCGTCCTTGTGCGCGGCGAATTCCCACCAAATGGGTTGAAAAGAATACTCCGTGCCCAGATGTCGCGACACGCCTGGAACTCAACCTAGTTTTCGGACAAAGCAACAGAACCTGTACCTCGTAGAGTGCGGAGAGCTAGGACGGGTGTCCAATGGTCTGTACGAGGTACTCGGTACCCACCAAAGGAAAGCCGAGAAGCTCAGGAAGGCAAGCCACGGTCAAGCAAGGGAGAGCAACCCAAAGAGAAGTTGAAACTCCCCACTCTTTCTGAAAGCCAACACAAGCACTTCGGGCCGCCGATGAGGAGGAGAAAGGAGGAGGCAATATTTCACCCCCAGAAAACCCAAAAAGCCTCAGCCAGGTGGTGATGGAAGTGGCCAAAAACAGCTTGCCACAGGATGGAGCTCCAGGCACACGTCCGTCACTTGGGCCATCAACCAAGTTTGCTGGCTTATCACACACAAGTGGACCAGGATTCTTTGGTTACAACCAAATTGAGGGCCGCTGGGCGAAAAGATCAAGCCAGGGTGCTGCAGGGCACCAGGGGTAGGCTCAACCCAAAACGGCCTCGTTCTTTGTGTGGCGGACAGCCCGACCTGAATGGTGTGTGTCTCTCAGCTCCTGGCTAGACCCAACTTGGGGGGCGATGGGATGGATAGCGTTTTTGGCTGTTGGAGGATTTGCGTCCAGGGAGACCCACGGGCACGGGTCAGGTACGAGGAGGCGGACTGGCGCGGGCGCAGGCGCAGGCACAGAGATTCGCCATTCGGATTCGTGTACCTGGATTGGGGAAACTTTGTGCTCAAGCTAGGGACAAGCAGAGGGAGTCCTATTGTACGTGTGAGTAGATGGTATTGACAGAGGATGGTACTCACCAGAAGTTCTCCATCCAAGTACGAGTCTTCGTATGTGTTGTGGTTGACCTGGAAGAGAAATGAGGCGTGAAGGTACCTCACCAAGAGCCTTCGCTGTGACGGTACCTACAAGGACAGAGGGGGCACTTGGGGGCACCCATTCTCGGTTATGCTGCTCCACGGCCCAGAGTAGTTTCTGACCCTTGCAAGCCTCATCTTGTTAGCTGCATATCCGGAGTCCACCACCTGCTAGTCCCAGCACTTGATGTGCCTCCGGCCGGCTTGGCCTGACACCTCTTGTTGCGCTTTCTCTCGCTTCCAATGCCAGATGGACTCCTGAAATCTATGGAGCTTCAATTGTGCCTCGTAACAAATCTCTCCTGGCACCTACGCCTGTTCCAGTACCCGTGGTGCTTTTCTATCCTCCCAACGGTCGGAGCCCGTTGATTTTTTCTTCCTTCCTTTACACCGCGGGGGTTGTACTTGTGCCACGTCTTTATCCCCTCCGTTTGTCGTCCTGAGGAGAGACAACGTTTGTTTTTCCTACGAGGATATATCCAGATACAACGCGTGCTCGGTGGTCTGGAGCTCCCTATCGGTTCTGGGCTGAGGTTCTGAAGGATTGATATCCTAGAACCTATACCACTGCAGACGCTGAGACCAATCTCCATCCCTACCACCCTCGAACCGACACCATGGGTCCCTCGCTCAGAGGTCATACCTCAATGACTTCAATGGCTGCTCGACCTCAGACCCGCGATACGAATCGCCCTGCTACTCGAGAACAGCAAGTTGACAATGCCATGGTTCCTAGCAGAACCTCGTCTCTCCACTCACGAATCACCCAGCCTCTCCCCTCGACACTGGCAAAGTCGAATAACCGGCCTACGCCAAAGACGTTGACCCATGCGTACATGGTCTGTGGAGTGGGAAGAGAACCATCGCAATGGGTCAAGGCACCACCTCCATCACATGGCAAGATCCAACATATGAAAGGAGCTGTGGGCCAGTTTTGGCTTCCGGAGATTTTGGGGAGCAGTCCCAGACTGGAGAGCGACAATGAGATTGCAAGAGCTTTACACAGCGCCATGAGGGTCTGTCGACATCACTTCCCACGCTGTGTCTGTTACCACTGACCACCGTATAGGCGTGCTTTCCGCACGACGTTGAGATCTGCACGGGCAGAAGCCAACCACACTGCGTTCACCACTCCTTCGTCCTCCAGCAGGACTCCCAGCACACTCTATACGGCATTGCCCTGCGGGTTTGGTCACGGGCTGACGAGAAACGTGCCGAAACCATTCGCGACCTGCGCCGCAAGACCGAGCCCGACTATAGAGACGTGGCAGACGAGACCTACTGGATTCCCTACTGCCTGAGTTTCCTCTCCAGGTATCCCCTGTACAACCTTTTGGGAGACTACCTGCGAGGAATGTGGATTCACTGGAACAAGGCCACCAATCTGTTTCATGCCGAGGAGGTGTCGAGAATCCTCAGCTTTCCTGCTCCACGACTAAACGACCTTGTACGGATCGATATGAAAGATTATGCACTTTGTTATCAATTCCCATCCTCACCTACTGGATTCCAGAACTTCAACATGTGGCCGCTCTTCTGCTGCTTGAGCATCCCCAATATCGTAGGCCTGATTGAAGCAGCAGTCTCGCCTACACGCCGCATCATCCTCACCAGCCACCACCCGGCGATGCTGACCATTGCAGCTGAGACCATCAGATTCTGTGTTCGAGTATACGAGTGGAGCGGTCTGTATGTGCCTGTTGTCCATGCTCGCAATGCCAGCGAGATGGTGCAAGAGCCGGGACCATACATCCTAGGTATCACCACCGAATGCCGATCACTCTTCCAACCTCCCAAGGATGCTCTCCTCGTCGACCTGGACCGGAATCTCGTCATCACTGATCATCCCCCAAATATCTTGACCGCTGGCCAACGTACCAAGATGATCAATCGCCTAACACAAGCTCTGAATAGCGACGTCGAGATTAGCGGCGTCCCCCAACATCTCAAGTCGGCGTATGGAGGTGGCAAGCTCATCCCCGCAGGACAGATCATTGTTCTGCGTGGTGAGGTTGAAAGCGTTCAAGATCCCTCATGGTGGAACCAAGACGCCGTGATGGCGGTCATGGACCACGTGTGCGAGAAGCTCGGCCGCAACACTGGTGTCAAAGCCATCTTCGGTGGGACCATGAAGAAACCCCTGATGACCAAGATCTCCATGAGGCACATGAATGAGATTGTTCGAGAACGCAATCAATATTCAAGAGACGCACTCGAAGCATGGCAGGACTTTATCAATCTCAAGGGCCGCATGGATACAGAGCTTGCCAAGGTTGCAAAGAGGAATAACTACCTCGAGCAAGAAGTGGAGACGTGGAAGCTGCAATTCCAGAAATTCCAAGCCTTTGTCGAGTCTCTCAACAAGGAGTTGGCTGAACTGCGTGTCAAGATTGAGTCTCACAAGCGTGAGAACCGCAGACTCACTGGTCTCATCGATCAACAGAAAGACGATGCTGCTCGTCTGGCTCTACGCTTGTCTGGCACTGAGAGACAGCGTGACAACGCCCTGGAGGCATTGGTGCTCCAGCAGGGCATTGCCGAAGATTTGGAGAAGGAGCGTGCTCGCAATCGCAAGGAGATTGCTGCCCTGCAACATACCAACCAGACCCTGCAGAGACAACGTGACGAAGCTCAGCGTGTTGTTCTACACCTTCGATCCCTGATCACCGGCCAAACCCACCACATGGAACACATTGTTCGTTCCATCGGATCTGCTTCCGAGTTGGCCGAGTACATCAACGAAGGGTACGAAGAGGAGGAAGAAGAGGAGGGAGAAGGAAACCCTGATGAAGAAGAGCAGGATGGAACTGCCGAGGATGGTGAAGGGCTTAAGCATGCCAGACTGACCGCACGACCATCAAGGTCTGGCTCCATCGACGGCCAAGACGTTACACCGCAAATGGAGAACAAGCTCCTGGCCGCCAGCAAGAGAGCTAGTAAACGCTATTCAGAGCTCAGCATGTCTGATGTGGCTGATCGTCATCTCCGCGACAAGACTGATGCTATTGCTGATATCATCCGCAACATCAGTGAGCAGTGTGCTGCTGCTGTCGAGGGACTTCAGCTCGCCAATGAAGCGGCTGATGTCGAGGAGGAAGAGCAGGCCGAGGCAGATGAGACCAACATGTCGACTTCGACGGGGCATGTTCGACAAGACAGTGAGAACTTGTCTCCGGTCGACCATGGTGCCAGCGATTCTCGCGCTGGCACGGGTCATTTGACTCCCCAGAGCGAACGAAGCTCGATTCCTCCCACACCGGACTTGGTGCACCAACGATCTAGTACTGCCTTGAGCATGGCAAGCACGGCGCCCACGAACTACACTGCTCGAGAGTCTCTCAACCACAACACTCGAGGTCCTGATTGCACGAAGATTGTTGAGGATGAAGATGCCGATCGAGCCCACGTGAATGTTGCCAGCGGCACTGGTAGCGTGAAAGGCGACTCGGTGTCGGAGGAAAACATCAAGGTGCCCCCCGGTCGAGGACCAGTTCTCAGCCGTGTGTTGGAAGCATGAAGTACCAGACTGAAGATTCGATATTTGCATACCCTGGATTTGGATTTGGATTTGCATTGAACTTGAGATGGCAAGGAGCTCTGGCGCAGCAAGTTTGTTGGGAGTCAAGCGGCAAGCACAATCTCGGTACCATTTTGGTGGTGGTGTCGAGGTTTTGATATTGTCGTCGTCACTGTCCGATGTTTGGATAATGTCTCCCACTTTGTTTCTTTGAAGGGTTAATCTGTTAATTTTGGCGCGGCTTTGCCTGCAGGAATTTGCTTTGTTGGATTTACCAGTTTTTTTCTTCTCCGAATTTTTCATGACAACCGAGACAGAACTGAGTTTGAATTGGCCAAGTCGAGAGGCCACGACACTTTGGAACCTTTTGATGGGCCTGGCCTGGCCTAGCAAGAAGACAGTATCAGTAGCTTTGTGATATGAGCCAGAAAATGGAAACCAGAACAATGTGTTTGGAGTATTGATCTACATTTTTCAGCATGTCATAACAGAACTTGAATGCAATGTTTTGAGCTGTCTATCCTGTCAACTATGTAGTAGTGTGCCACAGCATTGTAGCATTTATGTATAGCTGGGTCCTTGGTCTTTTGTATGAGAGATATCAATATGCCTTCCCGAATCATCAGGCAACTTGTCCCTACTCTTGCTCTTGCTCCCTCTCCAGCTCCTCCTGAACCCTCACCACGGCCTTCAACCCGCGATCTCTCCTCCGAATATCCTCTGCGCTGGGCATCCCGTACGCACTGGCGGTCTGCTCGACGACCACGTCCTTCCAACCACTGTCATCGTCATCGTGCATACTCACCTTTTCCGCATCGTCGCTCCAGACCGCATCGATCGCCTCGCCGATATTGTCGAGGAACCCGCGCATGCCCCGCGCGCCGCCGCCAAAGTTGTACATCTGGAACGGACCCGCGACGGCCCAGCGCGGGCCCAGGCTGGCGCGCACGATCTCGTCGAGGTCCCGCGCCGTGCACACGCCCGACGCGACCAGCTGGCACGCCTCGCGGAACAGGATGAACGATAGCCGGTTGGCCACGAAGCCGGGCGTTTCCTTGTGGATCGTGATGGGGCGGTGGATCGAGCCCAGGCTGCCGAAGTAGCTCTTCGCAAAGGCCGTCGCGGCTGGCGAGGTGTGTGGCGAGGGGACCAGTTCGAGCAGCGGCATCAGGTGTGGTGGGTTGAAGGGGTGGACGATCAGGAGGCGGGAGCGGGCTGAGGCGATTGTCTCGTTTGGGAGATCGCTGCCGAGGGTTGGATCGTCGCCGTTACCGGGTGCAGTGGTTGTGAGGTGCGCGAGTTGCTGACTCGCAGGAATCCCGCTCGTCGACGACCACAGGTGCGTCTGCGGGCTCACGCAGCGCAACACCTCGGACCACGTCCGCTGCTTGAAGGGGAGATGCTCGGGCCCCTGTTCCTGGACGATGGTCGCGTGCTGCACGGCGTCGCGCAGCGTGGAGCAGAACCTCAGTCGGCCCGACGCCGTGAGCTGCTCGATTGAGAGGCCACGAGACTCGGGAGAACCCGACGATTGCGATGTCGATGGCAGATACAAAGGCAAAATAGCCGCGACGTGCTCCTTCAGGTCCGGCCGCGGGTCAAACACCGACACCCGCGCGGCCGTGTAGGTCAAGTGCAGAGCCAGGAACGAGATGCCGATGGCGCCCACGCCAATGAGCGCAATGTGCTCGGATCCATGTGGTGGCGCCGACTCCGAGGGTTGTTGTTGTTGAGAGTCTGCCATGTTTGAGGTTGAAGAGAACAGGGATGTCGATGCCGAGGCTGAGGCGTCGAGGCGTAGCTGGTCAGTCTGTGTATAGCTGTGCAGGGAATAGAGAGAGGGGGGGAGGATCCAGACAGCTGTATACTTGTTGAATTCGTCTCGTGTCGGCTTGCCTAGTCTTGTCTTGTCTACGGTGAAGTTGAGTTGAGTTGAAATCCAAGGTTGGTGGAGAGTGGGGGACATGGACAAAGATATATAAACTCTACAATAGGTATACCTAGGTACATGTACATATCCTCACGAAATCATTCCAAAGCCTCCTTGACTTGCTTGATTCCTCGACTCTGAACTTGATCAATTTCTCACCCTCCAAATATCTATACCTGTACCGAGTCCATCTATACAAAACTATCGTGTGTATATAGTCGCAGGCAATATTTCACCTGATTCGGGAGGGGGACGAAACGTGACGAGACGTCCAAACACCATCCGTCGATTGCGGCATACACGAGAAAAGGAGACAAAGGGAGAAAGATATCGTTTCATGCAAGTGACTACTAGGTAGTCCTACTCGTACAGCTCGACTTTGGCCTGTCACTGGCATCGACAAAACTATGCATCGTGATACATGTGGCCTTCATGTGCTCCATCCTCAGGGCCCAGAGTAACTCGACTACCGCCATCTCTTCTTCGGATTCAGTGGAAAATGAAAATGTTCCCACCTCGATCCACACTGACCACGCACCCGTACGGTTTCCTCAGCATCACCACATCAGTGATGGAGTCCAAGTGTGTCCGAAGCAATTGCTGCTGTGCCGCGCTGATGATTGTGTTACGAGGAGGTTTGATTGCTTGGGGCGTCGAAGGTCCAGATGCAGCGCTGGCACCAGAGTTTCGGTGCACAGTCGGTGTGCCAGGCTGACTGCCTGTAGCATTTGGCCCAGGAGTACTCGACCTTTTCGTAGGACTGGAAGCTATATAGGTCGTACCGTCTCTGGAAGCCCGTGCATAAGCCGCTGTCTTCCTCGGCGACTGCCCCGACGTGGTGGCTTCCTCACTGGCGTGGGCCTTTTCCTGGACGAGGGCGATCTGCGCCCCTGCACTCAAGCTCAACGGATGAGACACTTCGTATCTGTAATTAGACTTGATGCTCCCAGCCGACGCATAGCTATCCTCGCTCGCATCATGCAATTGCGGTCCCGATACAATGAAGCTGTTCTCCGGTCGACCAATATCCCAGTACCGCAAGGCTCGATCAACACCACCAGTCAGGAGGATCGAGTGCTTGTTGGGACTATCGGGGTTCGAGCTTTGAGTGTAGTCGGTGAAGATGTACATGGCAAGAATCGGAAAGGTTGAAGCCGACCCTGCACTGGGCGATGGACTTGTTCTCTTCACCGGTGACCCATCCGACACCTCGTTATGGTTCGAGGAGGCATGGAACTCCGGTCCGATCAGGCTGCCGTCCACAGAAACCTCCTTGGCAAACCGTGAGAGAATCTTTTCGCTGCTCTCCTCGTCTGGAGACCAAGCTTCATACGGTCGAGTCTGCCCACTCCTGGGACTGAATGTACTCGGTCGCAAAACTTCTCGGCAGACCATCTTTTCAACGTCCCACGCACTGACCTCTCCGCCAGCGCTTACCATAACCCATCTACCATGGCCTTTCGCTGGATGGATCAGGAGCCGGTCGATTCGAGAGTCGGTTTGAATCCCGAAACTCCGCAAATGCAACTTGAACCGCAAGTCCCACAAGTCCAAAATTCCGTGGCTCGTTCCCAAGAGCAGCCAGTGATGTTTCCTGTCGACACAGAAGGTGGTTGGTGTGCCGTGATGGACCGGGTTATTCATGCTGTGGAGGATCTCCATATTCTTCATGTCAAGCACAAGAATGCGACATCTGTTGGTTGCTGCTAGCAAGAGAGACTGCGAGGTGGGCGTGCGATAGTGATGAAGCCACACGGCGTATTCCGTCACCAATCCTGCAGCACTCCCGTCGGGACCACTGACATCGTTCACAGCTCGGTTAGATGGTATCAGGTAGTCCCGCACAAGGCTCGGTCTCCCATACCGTGATGTCTCACCCCCCTCGACACTCCGATAGTCGACTCGTACAGCATGAATGCTTCCGTCGTCAGCGCCGCTGAGAAAGGTGTGCGTCTCCTCGATGAAGCAGAGACTCTTGATCTTGACTCCCTCGGCGCGTCGGTGTGTGTACCGTGAACGGGCCGTCACATTCTTTTCCAACCTGATCGTGTCCCAGATCTTGCAGGTGCCATCGTCTGATGCCGTCACGAAAAACGCGTGGTCAGGTGCCGCGCACACTCGATTGATGGCAGCCGAGTGCTCCGAAAACTGGGTCAGCAATTGACCCGAAGGGCGCCATGGCTCGCTGCGAAACTTCTCTTCCTGCTGCGCGGCTTTTCCGCTGCTCGGTTGTAACACGTCCGTAGCTCTTCGAATGGGTGTTCTGGTGTCTGCGGGTGGTCGATTCCCGCCAAAGTCCATCTGATCTATAGGGAAGTTCTCCAAAAAGTGATTGTCCAGCAGTCGTAGTACATTGGCATCATTCCCTTGATATGAATGATTAGGCTCATAGAGCGGCGTCCTCGCCCCACTCCCGCGCGGTGAAACGGATCTGGACTTTGCCGCCACACTGGCCGTCACTGACAATGCTGAGGGGCCTGCCGTGCTGCGCCGATGAAGTTGTCCGTCAACCTCGACCTTGCCAAATGCGTTCTCGGAAATGGTCGAAATCTCTGCGTCCGCTTTGGCAGAGTCGGTCCTATTCATCAGGTTTAATCCGCTGTTTCGATGTCGGAGTTCGAGAGAGGCGTTCCGGCGTAGAGACAGCCCATCGCCATTGATCGAAGTGTTGCCATTTGTAATGCTTGGTCTGGAGGATATACTCGCTCTTTCCACAGCTATTGTGGGCGTGCCGTTAGATCTCGTTTCTGACGGTTTGCGAATTCGGATATCCATGGGTTGGGTAGAGGGGGTTGCCGCTCCGCTAGACTGCTCTGCAGACGAGATCCGTCTCGACATATGATCGTCGATGCTGGTTGATGCGTCCAGAAGAGCATCTGCCAAACTGTGTCTCTCATCCATTCGTGATCTTTTCTGTGCCCTCCGAGGTCCACTCGTGTTCTCCCTGATGGGCTGACGCGAATCAAAGAAGACATTCTGCGGAGTAACATCGATCTGATTTAGAGCAATGATGTTATTCAACATCCGATACCTCTCGTCTGTATCCTCCACTGGTTTGTGTTTGGAGATT